CGGGGCTGGGCTCGCACGGGGCTGGGCTCACACGGGGCCGGCTAAGGCTCGCACGGAGCCGGCGATGCCGGCTGGGCTCGCACGGGGCGGGGCACGTTATGGCCCAGGCTCACACAAGGCCGAGCTCGCACGGAGCTGGGCTCGCACGGGGCCGGGCCCGCAAGGGGCCGCGCTCGCGAGGCCGGGCTCGGGTTCGCGAGGCTGAGTTGTCCTAAGCATGCAAGACGGGGCCGAACCCATCGGGCGCGCGGCTGAAGCGGCAGCGGCGAGCTCTCTCGGGTTCGTGGCCTGGCTTGCTACTCTGGCAGGCTGAGCCAGGTATGGGCTCGCTTTACTGTACACGGGTAAAGGCTTTCACATCTTAAAAAAATGCAACAGCGACGAAGAACAGCGCTCACTCTTATTCTCGTTCACGTTCGACGTTGCAACTCTTTGAGCCTTTCAAGCTGCTTGAGTGTTTTCCTTCTCTCTTATCTTTCTCGTTTTCAAAATAGTCAAGGAAGCTAAAAAAATCTTTTTGCAGTAAGGAGGAACTTCCTAGCCCACTATATTTGCCACGTGGGGTCCAGAGGAGCAACTTCCCTAGTTAACTGTTAGTTTTACAACTAACACCTAACTAACTTCTGCTAATTGACCAACCTCTTCTACATGAATCACAACCCATCTTCACTAAACCGCATCTCCTTGGCCCTCGCGCGCTCCTCCTCCTTGCTCTTGGCTTCTCTGATGGCCGCCCTAACAGAGATAGCTCTCCATGCGCATAGCGCAGCGAGGACTAGCAACACGAGCATGACCAATGCTACCAAAGCGTTGAAAGAGTGTCGCCAGAGAGGCGAGCCTTCAGAGCCGGTGGAAGAGGTGGAAGAGGTTAGAGGAGGTAGGAAGTTGTCGTGAAATAATCAATTACGAATTTTCATTTTACCATGCACGACAAGGACATGTCATGTCATGGTACCTCTGTGCTCTACTTTTTGCGAGGAGTAAAGAGGTCTTATTAGCCTTCGTGTACCTTCCAGTTAGAAAAGCACAAAAACCCAACTGATAGACTATCAAGTATAACCGTCCACGTCTGACGCCAAGAAAAGTACTTAAACAAGAAAGTAGACACGTTGTATCATCATCCACTCGTAATGTTTTCCCCGCTCCAACTTCTAGTTCGGGCGCTTTTTCGTCTCCCTGCAGAACTCGACTCTCCTGCCCCTTTAGACTCAACCTCTGTTCTTCGCTCTCCTTGAGTCGAGTTGCTTCCACGCCAGATGGAAGTTCGTCAGTGTCGGATTGAGGTACCGTCAGCGCGTCCAAAGTGGCGAAGTGCCATCCCCATTCGATGCGGGCCGGAAGACCACGGTGACGGGCACTGGGGAAGCGGGAGAAGTCGAAGACCTGATCGTTTCCCACAGTCGAAGGACCATTGATCGCGAGGACGGACATGGTGTCGACCTAGAGGGAGAGGGAGCAAATAGGTGTTGAACAGTTTCAAAAAGAAATCAATTTCAGAATGAGATTTTTTCACAAAATGATGTTGATATCAAATGCAATTCAAATGCAATAAAGTTGCCACTCCTGCAATCAAAAGTTATTTTTATTAAGTAAATCTATGTATTAAAAATATTACCATTTTCGCCGTGACGACTTTCGAGTCGCAGCATCCACTCAAATGCCCCATAGCGCCTAGATCTGGACGACTGCAGATTGCATGACCATAGCCGATATGCGTTCGTTTTCCCTTAATCGTTTCGTATTCACTAGCCGTCCGCATAATATCCTTCATCCCAGTAATCTCTTTCACGCCTTGCTGCTTCTCTTCGAAAACACGGAAACGTGGATATTCCACGTACTTGGCCACCGCATCTGCCTCGCTGCGTGGGGCGATCGCGGATATGAAAGAGAGGAAGAACAGGGACGTGGGCTCTTTCAAGTGCAAGTTTTTCGTTGTGATTTCTCAGTTGTATCTCTTTTCATGCAAGAACGATAAATAAGAACTGTTCAGCGATAGATGAAATGAGTAGCAAGTAGCGGCGACAACAAAATTATGACCATCTGTTCATAAAAGAATCCGGCACCGCTTCGCCGCCTCCTTCCAAATGCTCTTGGATCGCTGCGAAATACGGCTCGTTGAACGACGCCCAAAAGCCCGTTTGCTCCAGTCTCGCTGTCATGTCGCGCCACTGCGATGCTCCAGGCGCCGTCTCCAAAACCGTCAGGGTAAAGGGTGGCAGGTTGTTGGGGGACACGCGTTTGCGGAGTTTGCCATAATCGACCACCATCCACTGAGAATTGTAAGCGCCAGTGAGAAGCGAGTTCTGAGAATCCGAAAAATGTTGCATCCAACTGAGACCATCAGCAGCCAAGCGCGTTACGACCATAATGTGGACGTAGTCGGGGACCTGGAATTTTTGATGTGGGATCTGAAGTTCATTCTGAACCAGAATGACTATGCAACTGACAATAGTTCTTGCAAGCTTGGGAAGTAAAATTTCTCAACTAGCAATAGCAACTACATGTCGTTTCTCCTTCTCGACGTATTTGTGTGTCCCCCACTCTCTGGAATTCGCGTTTAGACTGGTCTCTGCGATGGCAAGCTCCGTCTCTCTGGTGAGCATGAAGTCGTCGGTTGATGAAATGGCACCAGGATAGCTCGAAAACGAGATCACCTTCGCTGCAACACCGCAGAAAGGGGAGATTAGATGAGCGGAGAGGTGGACACTGACACGGCTACATAACGTGAAATAGTGATTTCTATCGTTGGTCCTTCGAACATTTTAAACACGAGCTGCGAGCACAGCAGGTGAGTAATGGTCCATTTTCAACTTCATAGCTACATTCATACCCGTTATATCTTCATGACCAAAAAAAGAACTACGTGCTAATTCAGGTGTGCCTTAAAAACTCGTATGCTTTCCAAACGCGGTTCATCTCTTCGAATGACTCCCATGAACTGTGGCCCATCATGATGTCATTCACAGCTCCCGTCTTAGGATCCCGGATCAACTTAACCAAGGCTGAGCAACGTCCAGGTCTGTCGTCCCCTCTGGGGTAGTAGAAGGTGCCAGAGTTCGTACCAGTGTTCTCCGATTGGTCAACGAGCTGACCCTCCTTCTCAATGAAGGTCTCGTCTGAAGGAGAAGATGCAGGTTCGTCATTGTTCAGCTTCTGTTCGTGCTCTTGCACTGCTTTTTTTTGCACTGCTTTTTCTTGCAGTGCTGCAGTTGAATGGAAATTTGGTCCACTCCCGCTTGAAGATGTTGTAGGTTTCTCGTTCATCTGTACCACACCTGAACCTGATTCTTGTTTTTCTTTTTCCGTAAAAGAAGAAGATGAAGCACTACTAGATGTTCTGCTTCCTCTTTTAGGATCGTACAGGGCCTTCAGGTAGTCACCGATAGCCCCATCTGCGTTTAAACGTAACAAGTCGTCCATACCCATCTGGCGAGCCTTGACCTGCGATTCTCCCGGCAGTTCCGCATCATAGCTAGGGACCTCCCTGACAGCTTGATTGTGGCCTTGGAGCATGCCATGCAGTTGCATGTGGATCAGAAACGCCTGATGGCCGTAAGCACACTGCGTATAGGCTGGTTGTGCTTTGTTTTTGCTGGCGAGGGAGGGGAGGTTAGAGGAGAAAAAGGGACCTCAGAGAGTTGTTGTCGATGAAGATCGTGAGGTTCCCGAAAGGGTTGTCACAGGAACATAGAAGATAGCACTAGGAGGCACTGTAACTACTTAGTCTTAGACGACATTTAGACTACTCATTAGAGGCAGGCTTTTGGTGTTCGTTTATCCCGCTTGTTATGGCTGTCACCCTTAGAAGAGCCATAACAAACGGTAGCAAAAGCACCTTTAACCTACCCTTAATACTTACTTTGTTTACTTGGCACTAAGACCATCTCATAATATCAGCCGCTTTGTCTTGAGATTCGCAGTCGTGGTTTCCCACAAACCTGTCCTGAGCAGTCATCACGTTCAGAACAGCCTCAGTCTTGCTCGGATTGTCTTGTACACCGGATTCAAGCTCGGTGGTGGATTAGAAGAATCAAGAATCGAAATCTTGTTGTCCATTCGCAATTAACGAAGCACTAGAAATCAACAGCCATAATTCCACAAGAAGTTCTGCATCTCCGTCATCATCAGGTAACCCTCCATATACCCGGCAGCGTAGGCTTTTATGAAGTCATTTGCGTTCGTGTCGCACTCACTCGTCTTGACATTCAAATGACTCCAGCCTGTCGATTGCGCCACTGGTGCATAGGTGGCGGTAGCGATGTAGCCAGCTGAAGGCTGAGTTGCGGAAATCTTGATCTTGCTTGACGTAGCGGAAGATGGGGTGCCGGTAGTGGATGCGTAGAGGGTGGTGGTACGCTGTTGTGGAGGTTACACGAATACGAATCTTCGAGATTACGAACTCGTAGACTAGGCAATGATTCAGATTTTGATTGCATCTTGACTGCGGGTTCATGGAGATGAGGGATCAGGGATGCGAGAATGTCTGAGACGGTAAGAAGATAGACTCAACAGTGTAGCAATGGTACATCAATCTTCGATGGCCGTCGCCACTCATGTTCCACGACAGGGTAGTGCTCGGTCGCTCCACTCGCATCTTCACCGTAAATTGCTAAGCTGCAAAAACTGAGAACCAAAATGCAGCTCTGAAATAGCCTCCTGAGAGGCTGATCCGCGTGCTGCGACATGCTGTACTTCGTGATGTCGCCTGCTGAAGAGGTGGCACTGCTGCGGAAGAAAGTCATTTTCTTTCTGCTTGCATCAGTCCTTTCAATACACTTGAATGAGAGCAAGTGAGAAAAGAGCGAGAGCTAACAAGTCGAAGTTGTAACCTCTTCTGGCTGTTACAACAAAATGCTGCTGATATTTTTGTTTTGTCCAATGTTCGAGGTCTCCACCATCTTCAGCATTTTTTCACCACACGGATTCTGTTCGAGAGATACCTAGCACGATGAATCCCGACACGCCTTTTCAACAGCAAGATCACGACGACAAATGTGAGTTTTTTTCTTTAGCACGAGGACTCGAACTTTTTTCGGAAATGACTCTACTGCCGATTCTGACACCTCATGGCGTGACTTTTGAGCTCCATGTCTCACAATCGGAGAGCGAAGCTGCAGCCAATTTCGATTGATAGATTATAGCTTCCAAATACACAGATAAAGAACTTTGAGATTCTACACGAAATTTTCCGAGGACAGGTTCGACGCTCGTGTCCAACAACAGCATCAAGTTAATTTCACGTCATTCATTTAGCATGAACTCGAAGCCATTATGCGATCAAATTCTGCTAGAGACCGTACTGGAACGAGAATCTTTGTCATTGGGTGTCGCAGCATCGCGCATGGTTTTGGTGGAAAGTACATCGCCCTTATGAATCGGTCTAGAAGGACGCGATCTTCGCAGTCTAAAAGTGGTGATCGCGATCGTGCTGATGTCAGTCCGTTGGCTGCTCCTTCCTCGCTATTTCCTCCAGCACCACCTGGGAGACTGATAATGCCTTCATTCGGAAACTTCTTGAAGTGATACGGGAATACATCGTCGATCTTTGAGCCATCGGATAGTTTATCCAGAACAGACGCAGGTAAGCAGCTTTCATAGTTCTCCCGCATTTTGGCAAATACGTCTTGTCTTCTAACTTGCAGCCACATAGAATTCTCTTCTGGTTCTTCTCTATTACCTTCATTCTTGTGTGGACCCTGTGCCACTTTCTCTAGACTCTTCTGCGGACTTCCTCCACTTTCCATCTCTCGAGCGTCCTCATCCAGCAGATAAAACTTCCGCAACAAAAAGGCAAAACAGGTTTCTATACAGTTGAGAATCTTACGATTGAGGCTCAGAGCAGTTTCGTACATCGGGTCGATCCTAGCTGGCACCTGGTGATACAAGGGGCCATCGTCAAAGGTTTCTACCATTTCGTGAAGAGTGACACCGGATATCGTATCGCCTTCATGTTTTAGAGTGGTCTATCATCAACAAAGTCATGATTATCATCTACGTTATGAAGCAGTCTATGTAAAAATCGTCGTCTCAATACCCAGATTCATCATGATTATCTACGTTATGAAGCAGTCTATGTAAAAATCGTCCTCGTCTCAATACCCAGATTCATCCATAAATATATCGGCCAAAACTGGCACAGGGATCCGCGATGCAGGGGCAACAACGAAGGATGGATGTTGACGGCCAACCCTTTTGGGACTAGTGAGAGCACTTCTGGAAATATCATTTTGGGATAGAGTACTGAGACGATCAAATCCGGCTGAAAATCCGCACTAATCGCAAGCGTTTCCTTGCGATTGCGTGGCTGCATGATGGTGTATCTGCTGAAGGTAGACGACGATTTGCGTTAGAGGTGGTCGAGGAATAAGAAGTGAAAAACCGGATTTTTCTCATAGTGGAAAACCGCATGGAAGTTGTCCCATGCTGAACTGGTACTGGTGATAAATCAAATGACGTCAGGAGTTGATAAGAAGAAAGAAGATAAGAGAGAAGAAGAGAGAGAGTTCATAAGAAGAAGACGACGCAGCTGTGTTCGTCCCGTTCGATGGCGTTATGCTCGGCGGCGCACCACTGACGCCATCTCCATGCGCCTGTGCAATACCTGTGTCGCAATTGAGTGCGCCACTACGATTCTGCGTATCCTGTTCAACAACCCCTTTCCCTATACTCACAGTCTCGCAGTTCGTTGGTGACACTACTGGCGTGCTTCGCGCTGACATATCCACCTGAGTTGATGAAGCACTCCGCGGTAATGGCAGTGTCGTTGATGTATTTCTAACTTCATTTTGTTGTATTGCAGAAGCGGATGTAGAAGTGGCGTTACTAGTACTTTGACCCTGGTCGTGAGCACCCTCCGAAGCAACTACTGAGCTCTCCTTCGACGCGGTTTTAGATCCACCTGTGCTTCTGATAGGTGTTTCGCTCGCCGTCAAAATGAGCACTGAGGTCGTTGGTTCGAGACGTTCATAGTGCATTAGCCAAGCCTCGAGTCTGCATAAAACATCTCCTCCACGCCTCGTGAAAAGCAAAATCCGATGCCCCCGTGGCTTAGCAGGAGCCATGATGTTAATTTAAGTAGTGTCGTACTGTTGCTGGTTTTCTCTGGTGCATCAACATTCGCCTCGCGGCTTGCTACTATGTATCTGTTGAAAAGTAGATGATCGGTGTCGGAGGTCGTTGGCGAGGACTCCCTAATAGAATAAATGGTCCTCAGAAAAGACTTGGTTTAAACGTCGTGAAAAGAAATGAGCATGCAGATCTCCATGCCCTTGTTTTAGGCCGCCCTTTGCCGAGAAGGAGAACAGAAAAACAGCAAATTACACGAAAACATCGACGTAGAAAGTGAGTTTGTTCCTGTAGCTAGGTCTATCGATAAAAAACATAGAGACATCTAAATTTCAGGTAATAGATCCTGTAATCCCGTTGTTTTCGTCGTGTTGTAATTGAAAGTTCAATATCTATATCTTCATTTTTCGCTTCAGATACTAGAGTTTCGCTTTGTACATGTTGGTTTCTACTTCCAGTTGTCTATGGTCTGTACTGCACTAAGGTAAACATTGGATTCGACGGCATTTATTCTTGTTCACAAAATATATGAACTTGCAATATGAACTTGCGATTTCTTGTCCTTCTTGTCCTTTTCTCCTTCAATAGAGCTCCTCCTTCTGCTCTTCTTCCTTGCTCTACGTGCATCACCATCTTCTAGATCTCCTTCGCGATCGCGTGCATTATCCCTGTCAAATAAACTGTAACTATTTCGTGCAGTCTCGTCTACGCCAAGAAGAGGATCTTCTCGATGATCTCCCCTGTCTCCTTCTCCTTTTCTACTTGAGCTTGAAAAACTGCTCTGCACCAAAACTTCATCTCGCCTCAGAGCATCACGTTCACGACCTTCAACGCCACCATCTTCAGGATCATCTACAGGTGAAATAATTCTTGACCTTAGCCCCTCTCTTTCCTCGTCTGGTTGCAATGAAGGTTGCTTGTTTGTCGTTGTCTCCTCTTCCTCCGCAAACACAATGTCTCGCATCTCTCTTTCCATACTTGGTCGAAAGTCGACACCAGTGCGCTTCGGATTCTTGTTCTTGGAGGAGCTACTAGAGCTACTACTGTTACTGGCTAGTGCCGAACGAGAGACAACAACATGATCTGGTGCCCTCTGTACAACATCCTCCATACGATTTGTATCTTCGCTGCCTCCTGCTCGTGAAAATGGTGCTCGCTCTTCAGCGGCGTCCAGTGATGCTTCTTCTTTGAAGATGGCAAGAAGCGCATCTCCATCTCGTCTAGATCCTATAGAGCTCAACGAAGGATAATATTGAAGGGAAGGGATGACTTGATCAACTTCGTCGACACTCCTCTTGTTTCCATCAATGTCGACACCTCGACTACTCCTTGATGGAAAGGCCGTCATCTCAACTCCGTCACCGTCTTTTGTGGCAGAAAAGCCGACTATCTTGGTTGTTCCTTTTGCGCTTTTACTACGTCCTGTCGCAAGCGAGGATGTCGTGGATTGCTCTGGCGAAGAATCAGCTTGATTCAGGTGGTGTTTTTAGAAGTCAGTAAGGCTACTGGTTCTAATAGTCTATATATAAGGTTCTTGTTCGTTGCTCTTGATATTGTTGGTGGAGCATATCTAACTAGAAAAAACAAAAACCGAAAAAAGAAAAACCTTGCTCTTGATATTGATTTCTAGTAAGGTTGCAAAAATAGGCTGATGTAAGGATAAAGTTTATCACGTACACAGTTTGAGATGTTAGTGTTTATCATTATCTTCTTTAAGTCAAATTAACTATAACTTCAAGGTCAACACGACGACTAGCACAGTATCAGAAACACTACTTCATTCATAATCTTCATTTGCTTCTGCCATTCTCATTACCTCTCCAAAGGTTGGCTCTTGCGCAGTCCGTCTATACGTCATCTCAAAAACAGCGGCAGTCGACCTATCGGTTGGCCGGCTTAATGTAGCAGTAGGCGGTCTACTGCTACTGGCTGTCCGGTCTAAAACAGCGGCAGTCGACCTGTCGGTTTGTCTTCCACCTAAAGCAATCTGCGCAACTGTTTTTTTTTGGTTCCATAATTAGAGGTTGTAGGGCCTTGGTGTTTCTGTTTCCCGTTTGTTCTGCCTTTCATCTCCCTTACGAGAGGCAAAGCAAATGGTTCTTGTAGCAGGAGCACCTGTAGCCTGCTCTTAAGATGATAAGATACTTTGTTTTTTCGTTATCCGTGCCAGTAAAGTTTGCTTTTTCCAGGTGCTCAAGGATATTTGGTAGTTCGGTCGAATCGAGGGTTGTAGACCGTTTCGCGTATAGGCTCTGGACAAATTCATCTGACGACTTGTCTCCCTGGTGCGATATCTTCTGACCTCCCTCATGCTCAGTTTCATACTTGCTTTTAGAGGTGGTTAAAGTTTATTCTTTAGTTGTAAAAAGGAATGCTAAGAAGAAAAATCCCATTTGGGAAGAAAGCCTCGACCTTGTTTCTCTTTCTGCCGTGGCGACTAAGAACTATAATTACGGGGGCGCCATAATCTTTGGATGCCTCTCGTTGTTCCAAACCTTGTCGAAGCGGTAGACAGGATACTCTGGCCCTTTGAGTCTTCTGGTTAGAACTACGAAACAAGATGTAACATCTTAGATCCATTTTTGGACTCTTCTTCGAACTAAGAAGATGATTTTTCTTGTAGCCTTAAAAATGTGGAGACACATCACCGCTGAAAATGTTTCGCAGTCCTGTTGCGGTACTCCTGGCAACGTCACCCATTGCGAATATTACAGGCAGAAAGCTGCCACTTTCCCGCTCGTCCTGCACGACTTCACGCACCACTTCAGGATCATAAGGTGCCGGAGGTATGTCTACGTCAACAGCTAAGGAAGCATCAATATCGGAATGATCTTCTCCGGAATCGACGTGGTTTTCCATTCTAGGAACCCCAGAGGGGTCGACTTCGACGAGCTCTAGCTCCATATCGAACCAGTTCAGAAAACGTCCCAAATTACCGCGAAACTTGGGCTCTTCGTCGGCATCTGAAGCTCGGTCAAGGAGAACATCCTGTTCTACTTCTTGATCTTGTCCCCGTAATCCGAATGAAGATGATGATATCATCTGCGCATCATCCGCCATAGCTTCTCCCTCTGAAAATTGTAGGAGTCTACTGCGGGTATGGATACGAGTCGAAGTAGATCGGTCCTCTTCCTCGTCTAATGCTCTCGATCCGCGTCCTAAACCGCCACTTGCTGACCTCCTGTCCATGCTTGCTTTTGACGTCGAGCTCGACTGGGTACTATTAGAAAGACCAGCAACTAGAGCTAGAAATCTTTTCAAGATTATAATCATGCTCTTCAGAAGATGAAGTTCTTCTGCGTGCGCGTTGCCCAGAGCGTATCATTACAAACAAACAAACAAACAAACAAACAAACAAACAAACAAACAAACAAACAAAGGACTTCTTCTAAGTACCTGTCTTAAATAAATAAACAAACAAACAAAGGACTTCTTCTAAGTACCTGTTAGTTTTCAATTTCAACTTTCTGCAACATCATAAAAGAACTAGAACTTCTGCTACCAGTAGTTACTGTTCTAGTTGTTCTCGTGGTCGCCCTTGCTTTGCAATGAATCTGCTTGTCCAGATGTCTTATTCTTCTTTCGAGATCTTCTTTCTCTGGTTTTCTATTGTTGCGCTTCCGCAGCCACTTACTGAACTGACCGGCGCCACTACAGCAACATAGGATGATGAATGCTTTCGTCACGAATATAGTGAAAAGGAGCAGGGCTAGCGCTGCAATCGCTGACATTTCAGCCAGCAGCAGGTCTCCGATGCCGCGTTGGATACTTGTCTTAGAGCAGGTGGATAAAGGAAAACGAAAAGTGTGTACTTAACCTATGATCAAGTTCAACTTCAAGCGTGAGTGTGCAGCTGCCATAATAAAGTCACCTTGGCAAACGAGAGTTGGGAACTCTCGTACTGGCCAAGGGTCAAGACTGCCTGCTTTCGGAAGGCTCTCTAACTTCTCCATTTCAGGTTCTTCTTTTCTAATTTTTTTCGCAACAGGCTTACCAGCAAGTTGACGTTGAGGTTTTGGTTTTCGAAAACTACCTCGACTCGACGAACTACTTTTCTCCGTGCCAGCAGCGCCTTCCCCACTAGGCGTATCGGCCACTACTTTCAGTTCATCAAACGCCGTTTGCTTTCCGACTTCTTCGAAGCGATCCGCTTCACCAGCCTCCGCTGGCTCTGCAGCCTCCATCATCCTCAAAGCACTGCCACTAGAAGTAGAAGTGTCAACATTTGCCGCCCCTTGACCTTCTTGTTCACCGATCTGTGCTTCGGTTCCTCCTCGCTTTGAGGTTTTGCCAACTCGGCTTGCTGTCTGCGCATAAGCATTTTTAGCTCGTCTTGCTGCCTGTTCGCTCAACAGCAATGCCTTGTAGCGTTGGTACTCCCTGCTTTTCTCCGGTGGCCCTCCACGAATTGCATAGGGAAGCTTTTTTTGCAGATTGGCGACTACGATTAGGAGGAGCTACAACAAAAAGTTGTCGTCACTCTAAGCACTTCTTCGTCGGAATTATTGCTCATAGATGAAACGTATTAACTATTCTACTTCTTGTAAAAACGATGTCCTATAATTCTTGACCTTGGCTCGGGCTCCAAAAATTCAAATAACTGCAGAAGGCGGTGGAACAGCGCAAAGGTTATCTATCAACCGAAAGGAACAAGAAAGATCTTGCTTATCTCACCAGCCCAATATACATTCCACCGATGCCCATGCTCGTTCTTCTATCTCATCCGCTTACTCGTTCCAGAATTGAAGCCCTTCGCTTCGGCAACTCGAGTAACTCGTTACTAGTTGCAACGCGAGTAACTCGAAACCCGATATTTTACTTACTCTATTAAATATTCTCTTTCCTCCACAAACAATCATCGACGACCAGAAGCTGCCTTAAGTTAATCCTGATCTCATCCGGACGCGTACAGAGAATCTCTGCTGAGTCAACACTCACGAGGCTGTTCTCAAGCCATTTTATTCTCCACTGCGGGACAAAAAATGAGCGGTCTACAGGAAAATAATCTGCAACTGTATCGTCCCCAGAATTATCATCTTGTTCACGCATAAAGATGCGCAGTCCAGGCTCAGGATCGCTAGTTTGACATTAGAAGAAGACAAGAAAGCTTGGAGAGAATAGAGGCCACACAAGATAGAATTAGTAGTAGTACTAACTTGCTATTGCTTTTCGCGACACCACCAGCAGCATACTCCTGGTAGCCATCTAAGCTTCCTAAACTAAGTACCCTGATAGATTTCTACCTCGTTAACGAGACAATCGCCTTAAGTTCCGTTCTTCTCCCCAGAGCCAAAGACATTTTGTATTTTCCCAAACAATGAACCGAGCCAAGAAGAGGATCTCGTACTCGCAAGACTTCCTTCATCCTGAAACATAGCGGGGCTTCCTTCTCCGCAATGTTTAACGCCACCAGCTCTCTCTCGTATTTCTGTTCCCCGTGCGGTCTGCTCCTCTACCTTAGGAGAGCCATAACAAACGGCAACAGAAACACGTAAAGCCTACCCTTAACTGTAATTCCATCATCACCTACAATCAATCGTGCAGGCGACATAAGTAGAACCGGCCTCCCCGTCGCAAATTGTTCTAGTTCGAGCTTCAGATTGGATCCCTCACAAATATAGATGCCTTTCCTGCAGTACGATGCCATCACACCAGTAGACTTCAGAAACGAGTCGAGCCGATTGTTAGAGCTACCGCAGTTACATCCTTGGTTGCATCCGTGACTGCGTCTGCCTATGGGAAATGGTCAAAGACCGAGTTGAGGACTCCCTGTACCCTTTTTCCCCTGGACAAAGGCGCCAAGGACGACATGCTCTTACAGAGAAATGCTCTTCGTTTGGTCACCTTAAAACTGAGGTTCTCCGACGCCAGAGCGGCACCTTGCCTATGTTGACGGAATTTCAAGTTTTTGTTCTTCCTCCCCAACTTTGCCACTGTATCGTCCACACACAAAAAGGGCTCTGTGTCTGTTGGTACCAGGCCAGCTTAGATTAGAGGATGAAGAGGAGTGAACAACAACAGCGTGAAAGTGAATGCTGTCGAAAACCAGGATGACAGTGACTTATTGTTGCATGGGATAAGCATAAGCCTAAAGGTGTGGAGGTGAAAACTAACCGGCTGCTTTACTTAGTGCTTTGAGCGTCGCAGGACCTAAACCTTCACCTAAAAGGTGAAAGCCAATCAAGCTTTGCAGCACACCTCTACTAGGATGACAATTTAAGCTGCACTACAAGTACAACTCCAGCAGGTCTCAGGCTCTACTAGTACTACAACCAGAATAGAAAAATAACTTGTAGACTAAATAAAACAGATATCAAGCATAACTATCTTCTAGTCTTAACAGTGGATCTCTCTTCCGATCTTCCTCTGCAGGATTCTGCATCCTCATGTTCGTGTTGTGGCTGTGATATACACGCGGCCCAGCTCGGATGAAAGGAAAAAAGTGCACCTGTACTGTCGTTCTCAAGAAACTAGAACTACTACTAGGCCATCCTGCCTCATGAAGCTTCTAGCTCTAAGAAAGTAGGTACTTTCCACTTAAATAAGAGGCTGGTGCAAGTGCCTGTTTTTACTTTTCCGCTGTTCTGACCAGAAAAAAAAACATTGAGGTCGACGCAAGGTGCTGCCCCTTTTGTGTTGTTTTAGCTAGGAAATTCAAATTGAGTACTTACACTGACTAAGTATTTTTCCATCTTCCTGTCAATCATCTCAATGTTGTCATAGCTCGTCTTACAACTATCGCAGAGCCCAGATATGCGGATGGGCACCGAACAATGATGGAACTGGACGCCAAATCGGAGGAGAGGTTAGCGGCATGCCAAGCGTCGGACCAGGCTTTCGAGGAATATTTCGGAGTTGCTTCGGTACTAGGACTGCTCTTCACTTTGCTATTTCCTTCATCTCTAATTAGACGAGCTTGGCATCACCCAGAATCATTCCAAAGACAGCGGCCAGACACAGCGGGAAAAATGTAAATGACTATGAATACAACTTGTAGATTCAATTAAAAATTCAAAAAAGATATTATCCTGTGCCTGTCGTGCCTTAATGATCTAAGATTCGTCTCCTTCTCCGCATCTTCTGTGTTCGTGTTGTACTCGTTTTTTAGGTCGTATTCTGTTGGGGAATAAATGAGATGCGGAGGAACGCGAAAAACACCAAATGGCCTCGTAGTACTCGCTACGCCGGACTCTCTTAATTAACGCTAGACACACACTGTCACTATCCGTATTGCTAGAGTGCATCAGACACACACTTTCCGCATTGTTCCTGGCTGAGTGGATTTCCTATCCCTTCCCTCCTATGTATAATTGCTAGAATCCCCCTGTGCTTTCCTGGCTGAGTGGATTTCCTATCCCTTCTGAATCCCCTTGAGTTGAAGAATCTGCTACTTAAATTCATTCTAGCGAGAATCCTATCCGCTCAGGAACAGGATAAGTAGATACTTCATCTTCACAACACCAGGTATTGAGCAAGCAGTGCTGTCTAGCCATAACTCAAGCAAAGATGGTTCCGCGTCCAGCCTGTGATCCCGTTTCGTCGTCGCGCTTCTAGTAACGACTGAGTCAAAGGAGATCGTTCACTGACTGGCACCCCCATGTCTCTTATTTAAAGCCAGGCAGTCTTTCTTTTGCCCTATCCACCGTGGTTGAGCTTGAGTGAGTGGCTTACTTTCCTCTTCATTTCCCTGTCATAATAAATCAAGGGAGCCGCCACTCAGGATAGATACCTCACACCGGACACTGGAGGGCTAGCCTTAACTTATCTCTGTCTCATCCGCACCACAATGAAACCTGTATGTCCCCACACCTTCTTCTTCCGCGTAGTTCTTGCTTTAGCGTATGTAACGATGTTGCTGGACAAGAAGTTGTAGAACTGGACAAGAAGTACTACTAGAACTCGAGGATATTTATTCCTTCTCTTTTCATCCCTTTTAGTAAGCTCTTGAGATGAATTCTATTTACGACCACTCAATGCCTCAAAATCTACTGGAGCTATTCACACTCATCCCTCCTTAAAAACTGGAGCTTTCCCCTTCTTTGCCAGAAGACGGAGGAGGAGGCGGAGTAGGTAGCATCTTCATGATTTCAGTTGACGCCATGTTCTCGACCCAGCTGTCTTCCTGACTTGGTGCGGCTACAAAGGTAAGAGGAAGATGTCCTCGAGTATTAGAGTGGGTCTGGAGCTAGAAAGGTGCTTAAGGGAAAGAAATATAGATCCAGATAGAACAAAGGTGCTAGCATGAGAAACAAATCCTCCATGGCGTAGTGGATGTATCGATGGTGTTTGCCCTCCCTAGGGTACAAGACGTATCAATTTCAATGGTATGAGGTATCAAAATCAATAGTTATAGTATTCTTTCACCATAACATCGCCAGCCACGATCTCTGACGATAAGCCCACGCGGCCTTTATAATCTTTATACCCAGGTATAGCGGAGAACGCATAGTGGTTCAAATTTAGCAAATTCTGAATCACAAACTCCGATCCAGTCCCAGATCTGCATGTGTACTCTCTGCTGTCACATTGATAGCGACTCCGCGATGTTAAGAAGCAACTCTTAGAGCTTCCCTTCCAGCATAAAAAAATCCTGGTGGAGTGAACCTTTTTTTCGCTTCAAACAAAGCTGTCCTCTAAGGATGCATCCTGGATGATGGATTCAAGGCTGATGGACTCGTGGAACCCATAAAATCGATGCCGCTCATTCCAAACCTTGGCTGCCACGTGCGGCCATCAGCAGTCGGAGGAAAAAAATTCCCCACAAAATCTTTGCTGTCTGTGCAGACCTTAGAGATATTGGAAATGAATAACAGTTAAGCTTAAGTGCGAGACTTGCCATAGACATCTTCATACAACGAGCGTAAAACAAGGCATAATAGTCGGTTTGTGTTTGTCATTCTCTCTACCTCTAGTGCTTGAATGCTCGAATCGATCTTGATTTGACCCATTCTTAAGTAGTTGTATTTTCTCCCCCCTTGCACCACAAAAGAGTTCCCCGGCTGAACCGGTCGCAGTCGGGTAGAGATACTCGATACTTTGAGGCTCTCCAGTGAAGGCGTAGTGGTATTCTGGCGGCACGAGGATGGAAGGAGAAAAAGCTCTCACCTGGACCCCTTCAGCCTCACCAGTATCTGCCTTATATTAGAAGAGCTACGCCGGGCTCTGATCCATCCCTACACATGATAGGGTATCTATAATCTCGAGGAACAAAATGAAAAACGTGAAAAAAACTGCTTCTCTCCTTCACGAGTGCCATTCTGATAAGCGGCTTGGGGTACGATTCCCGCTCCCACATGGATGATTAAGTAGATAGATTTATACTTAGTAACTAATGTTGCTAGCCGTAAAAAATACGGTGCGAATACGACACTCCAGGAATGAGGCCCATTCGCGTCAGGCGAAAAGGATCGATCTCGATAAAGATTTCTTCAGGTTGTAACACTGCTGCAAGCTGTAGGAACTCACGACACACATAGAGCCCACGACATCCAGCACCACTTACTTGCGGGTGGTCACTTTCAGGAGGCATATTTCGATATTCATTGACCGATGTTGACTCCTCATCGTATTCGTAGTTAGTGTCTTCTTCTGCATCTTGTATGTCTTCTAGAGATAGTACGCTCTCGTTCTCGGGAGTGATGTCCTGGCCCTGCTGAGCAGCTTTTCCTGCAGCATCAGGTCCCACTTTTTTCAGCATTGACCGCACACTTTTGAAAACGTCGCTGTTCTTCTTGTCTCCTCCTGTGGACTTCGACATCTCGTTCACGTCTTGGTCAAGCACATTCGTAGTCTCCGCAACATTATCCTGCGCTGCGCCTCTAGAACGCGGTGCATCATCAGGAGCCTCTTCTTGCTGTCCTTCCTGCAGCGAAGGCTGTCCTTCCTGCGCAAATGGCTCTCTTTGGACCTGGACAGAAGGCTGTCCTTCCTGCACAGGAGGTGCGCCCATGATTGGAGGCAAATCTGGAGGATCAGCCATCGTCGTCCGAACTACGTATTCACGGCCAGTGCTGCCACGAAGAGGAGCATCATCATGGTGTTTCGTGATCCATCTTGGTGCTTCCAAATACTTACTATACTACGATATCGCTCGTGTTTCAAGTCTCTCTCGATCGGTACTCAGAAGCGCCCCAGGAGTACCAGCAATCGCTCCGCTCAGAGTTTTGACAACATTTCTATCCATATAGACGTGTACACGCTCACATTTCTTTCCACATCCACAGGAGAGCGACACCGCTAAAAACAGAGCCTTCATGAAGCGCACCAACATCAGCGGAAGTCGTGCATTGGTGAAAATAGGCCAAGTCTCAGCTCCTGGCGTGTGGAACGGAAAAAATTAGTTAGGTCAAAATGGGTCTCCAATGGGTGGTTTTGTGTTACACGGGCGATGGGATACCCTTCAGCGGAGTTTTAGTTCATCGTTGCACGCTTGATGCATGTGAGGTAGAAGGTGCAGCGCCTCCACCTCCAGCCCCCTGAGAGGACGCCGGCTTTGCACTTGTGGCGGCTGTGAGTTTATTTACTAGCCAGTCCATTCCCTTGTCTACGCCTTCACCCGTTAGAGCACAACATGGCATTATCTGCCAATCGTGTGTTTTTATCTCCGCGAGGCTAAGGTTAGAGCTTCTCCGAACCCATCCCGAAATTCAACTTGGGCCGGTTATTCCCCCTTATGGGACGGCCCCAAGATTCTTCAGGAGATGGATTCGAGTAGGCCTTAATCAGGTCAGCAACCAAGTCAGCTGCCGTTCTGGCGCCACTTATATCCTGCTTATTCGCAAAGACGAGAACAGCCTTTACAGTTGTCCGCACATTATGTAAAATCAGGATATTCATCAACTCCATTTTTGCTGTGACCTGGATGACGGTGTGGAGGTGCATATGCTGAGGATGTATATGCGTTCGTCCCATGATGAACAGCCTCTTTGACGTAGCGCAATTTACTCAAGAAACCACACGATCCTTATCAATATGTTGATCTTGAGGAAGAGTTAGACGGAGTAGATTTAAAGTGTAACATTTAGCAGCGACCGTTAGTTACTTTCCTGTTTCCTGCTTCGTTCTTCCGTTGCTTTGTGTTTCTTAAAACTGTCCATACAGAGCAGCTCACTGCTTCTGCTACTTTCCTTAATACGCTTACACATGAGTACGACTATCAGCCTATATTGGGCACCAGCGCCATCTCATGCACACAAGCCAAAGACAAAAGCAGAATTGCTAGAAAGTCCGTCCTCCATTGCCATCCCCAACCTCCCCCTTCAGGCTTCGCCACCTTTCCCTACCCCTTCACCGATCGCCACCCCTTCACCGATGCCGCCTCTCTTGCTCCCTCCACGCACGTTGCGGCGCCGCTTACTGCTACACGATCGACAAGCGAACCACCTGACGGGGCCAGGAGTGCCACCGGGTGCGCCATCCTCGGGAGCCTTCGGGCGCCCCTGCGGAGTCGCGCTGGTCAGGCCAAGCCAATCAAGTGCATACGTCAGGCCAGGCTGGTGGCCTGCTCCTGAGCTCAGGCGCCGCCACTCTCTGGACGTTAATCGCCTCCCACTTGTCCCCCCACGCGTTTCGTCTGCGGGCTTCTGTCGTGTTCGTTTCCCGGGGCATTCGCCGCGCCTTTAGCTTTTTGGCCCCGCTGTCGCTCAGCGATCAGCCCAATAACAAACCGGGAACGGCGACCGCCCGGCTTCAGCAAACGGCAAAAGTGCACAGCTCAGCGCCCCCGCCACCGCGTGCGTGGGCATCACAGGCCCCCCCTGTCGAAAGTCAGCGCAAAGGCGGCGAGAGTGCTCGCAGGAAGCCCTTCGACTTGTTCCGCGAGCTCTCTGCCCGCCGGCGCCAGTGTCTTTCCCTGCTGACTTTTTAGCCCCTTCCACGAGGTTAACAGTGACAGCCAGCAGCAGTTTCTTTCTATTACCGCACTAGATGGGAACTTGTCGGCGTCGGGAAGTCCTACCATGCTTCTCTGCGCCAGCTTTGCCAGAAAGACATCCGACGTCTTGATCTCCAACACCACCCACAACATCTTGATCTCCGACACCACTTGTTTCCCCGCCCCAGTTGTCCCTGCGCTTGCTTCAGCTCCTGTTCCTGCTGCTGCCCCTGCCCCACACAGCCATAACCTCATCCAGCTGCGCCGAAAAAGGAAAAATGTTTTGAATACCAGTGATTCCACGTCATTGCTATCTACGACGAAGATAATGGCATCTGCGAAGTTGTCGGATTTGAAATATGACGGCCAAAGATCCCTTAGTTTTTCTTGTCCCCCTAAATCCCATGCTGTAAATTTTACTCCTTTGTACCTGTACGAAGTTTTGTCGAGGGTCATTTTTCGATAATCATGATACATATCGTAGAAGTGTGAGTGTTTGGGTGCATCTTCTAAAATTATAAGCCAGAAATTGAAATTCATACTGATCGTACAGAAATAAGAACTGAAGTGTTTCAAATATCTACGCAGGGAAAGGCTAGTACGATAGCTCCTCCACGTTGCACCCTATTGTTGGCTGCGTTATCACAGGCTGCCCAAGGCTTAGTCTGTAGAGTATCGTTGTTTTTCCCGCGTTATTGAGACCGACAAGAACGATTTTGTACTCTGCACCTTCTGCGCCAAGAAGCTTCCGCCACAGAGTCGAGAGTACGAGGCCCATTTTCTTGGTGGCGACTCGTGTCACCAGCTATCTTCCTCGAGCAAAGCTTATGCGCTTTTTCACAAATGTTTCTCCAAATCCACGACGCTAGCTCAAGGGCGTTGTAGGTGATACGCGTTGCTATCTTCTGGTCAACGTTCCTTTTCGGTCAGGAGCGTCCATTGCGAAGGGCGTCTTTTTTTAGGACACTTAGGTATTCGCGTCCAAGCCTGTAGATGAAGGTAGAGCTAGATACCCTCGCTCAAACTGATGCCTAATCCGGTCGCAATGATGCCACGTCTCTTAATAAATGCGCGTGTCTTAGTCTTGGCTGCCAGCAGTGCTCGTGTGACTTATGGGTCTCGTCCTTCGCCAACGTCGCACGAAGAAGTTGCGACAGGCAAAACCGTCTTCATTTTCTCTCATCGTTGTTATCCCTATGTCTTGTCAAGTTTTTACATTATCCAAGAACACTAGAGAAAGATGCGCCTGCTGCTGCTACGATCACGTAATTTCATGCTTTCTCTCCGGATCATATACGCGCCTGCCTCTAAAACATCAAACAACAACATCACATCGCATCCCGGAGAGTAAAGTCGTTTCCTTTACTTGGAGGCCTTCTGCTTTGTAGTTTCGAAAAGAATGACCGTGTGTTCCTTTAGGTATCTCTTCGAACGTACTCCTCTTTGACTACTTATTGTTCCTGAACAGGAACTGATGGAGTACCGATTTTAGAACAACGAGCTACAAAAAGTAGGAGCATGTGCCTGTATCCATCAAGGGAAAGGGCATCCCATATTCATCAAGGAATATATCGTCCTTCTTTTTGTTTGTGGGAATCTTCCCTTCATGAAATGATACAGTCCATTTACAACATCTTGTCGTTATGTGAGTACACCTCGGGAGGTGTCGGGTAGTTGGGGATCGAGCCTTCAAAATCAGTAGTGTGTTTTAATAGTCTTGATCGACCTTCCTCATCGAAACGTCATAGTAGTTCGCTAGATGTAGGTAACACTCAAAACAATTGGGACATGCGGCCATAATCGATGGTCATGGTCATGTGCTTCAGGTTCGACCCTTACTGGCCATTTTGAAGCAAAACTTACACAGAGGTAAACTCATGGTAAGGAATTTACAGCGCAGTGCGGATTAAGATAATCACAGATGTAGTCGACCACGCACTAATATACTCTCAATTAGCAACATTGGGCAAAGCTAGTTAGCCGCAGCAGGAGGATGATTCAGCCAGGGGATCGATGTCGTCACCTCCAGCATCTAGTAATTATTGTTAAAACTACTACTGTAATGGTTTTGGTTAGTGTTAGTCGAAGAGGTCGTAGAAGTTGGATTGTTCACTAATTGTGGTATGACATCTCTCACTGGGTCCACTTCAACTACCATTTTCACATTCACCCGGTTCCCGCGAAGTCGCCAGTCTCTTCTCCCCACAACTTTTTTCGCTGTCTCGCGACTGTCGAACTGTACGAAGGCAAAGCCACGTCCTACACCAGTCTTCGGGTTCATAGGAATGTTCAGAGACTCTACTTTGAAAAGCTTCTTCATTTTCTTGTCTCGTCTCTTTTCTTGCTCGCCACTTTCTCCTTCTGCATCATTGCCTTTACCATCTCCAGCATCGCCTTCTCCGTCGTCATCTCCCACCTCTTCTTCCGCGTCAAACAAATCTCGGATTTGAAACTGTGTGACGTCAAGCGGCAGGTCGCGCAGCATCACGGAGTCAAGGTCTTTTTGGGAGGCTCTAGGAGATCGGACACCCTTGATATCCTCCACGCGCAAATCCCTTTTGAGAAACTCTAGAACTGGCAAAATGGTAGCATGGCCGGCAACGGAGAACATGCAACCGTTGTAGATGGGGATATTAGAAGAAGAAGGAGTTTCTATAGTTAGCACAGTTTCTATGATCTTCAAGTGAAGATCGTTACACGATTATAAGAAAAAACGAACCAAGTGAAAATCTTTTGCCATAACTTTCTGCATTGCTAGGCGTATTGCTTTTCGCAACTCCTTGATCTCCTCCAACGCCTCAGTGTCCTGCACAAACCCCGTCCATCCATCGAATTGGACTTGGTTGCCCTCGTATTCAAAGTTTCGAGAAGCCAAGAGAACCGTGTTAACATTCACAATACTGGTTTCACCCATTTGGAGGGGTCGGTTCTGGGCGAACGAGATCAGTTCTTCCGTGTAGAGAGCGAAGTAGGGGGAAGAACTCCTGTATGGGGTTTTGGATTGGCGATTATTTTGAGTTGATCAATGTGGTACTCATGATGTTCGTCACTATATGGCAAATGGCGTGAAGCCTGGGTAAGACTTAACCTTAAATGTACAAAATTTTGAACCACTTGTCCTTGCCGGAGGTGCAAACTATATTTTCATATATAAGCGCGCGTTGTGAACAAGGTGAAGCAACAGCAAATTGATCAAAAGAACTACGAAAGAAAACAGTTAGTAGTACTGTCTCTTATAAGTGATCCCTTCTCCAGCGAAGTTCATGTTGAGCAAGAGCGGGTCGCTATTGTTCTCCGCGTTGCTCAGATACGCTTTTGTGATCTCAGGGTTTTCCTGTTCGGCTGCTAAGAGTTTGCCTTCTTCCCTCTGTATCCTCCACGACATTTTGCTGTTGACGCTTTGATTGCTCATCTTCAACTCCTGCATCTGATCATTGACGAACGAACTGCCTCGAAGCATCGCAAACCTTGGACAGTAGCCCAGTGCCAGAGAAAGCTTGAAAAGTAGGAACCTGTCCTCCGATAGCGCTTTCTGCACAGTCCAGAAAGGCGAAATCAGACGGTAAGCGCAGTCCTCAGCGTTGTATCCGCGATCTTTCACCATTAAGTTGAGATAGGCTTGGATTAGAAGTTGCAGCAGAGAGTCTCATGCACATTGGATGCGTGTCTACTCTGACGTGCTGAATTGATGTAGTTCTTGCTCTGATTCTAAAAGACGATGAGGGTACTAGGTGCTCGTATCAGGTTTGATTTTTTCTTTGAAAAACGGGAAATTATTGTATTTCGTAGCAGGGTATTTCGTAGCCGGAGCAAGAGCTAAGATAGCGACTGACTCATGTAAATGCATCGTCAATTTCAACCTTTCCATAACTTTACATTTTGGTCTGCCCCGCTCACTAGTTCCTTGACCAATCCGTGTTTTTCGAAGTACATAGCTGCGCGCTTTCCTGCGTCTGCTCTATCCCTATCGCAGAGTTTCTGTTCTTCCGTCAAATAACTAGCGTGCTTGTAGCCTAAAAAAGCATTGACGAGTGCTGCATGATCTGAGTTGTAGCGGTCGCCTAGGACACCACGGCCACCTTCTAGTGTGCCCTTTGTTTCTTTTTTGATGTCGAAAGGAGACTTTTGGCCCATGAAACTCAAGGCTGCGAGCACAGGCATTAGGACACCAAAAACTGCAGAGTACGACATGGCCAGAGTTGCGCAAGGGTGCTGCGGGACGTTGCCGAGCCATTGACCTGAGAAAATGATTTGGGAAGCATATGAAAGTGCCTGCACGGTAGCGCTAGTCCCCATAGAAAAGCTAGAGCTTCACCCCGCCGCAATGTTATGGAAGTATCAGCTGCATCAGACCACCCGTGCACAAGAGCGGTAGAACTACGACAAGTAGGAGGACGAGCGCGCCTACCGTTTTGGACTTGCGCCCAATGCTATAAAACCGCCCAGGTACCACACTCCGCTGCCATCCGTCTTTCTCGCGGGCGTCGATAACTTCCCTGAAATTCAAAAGCATCACCCAGCGCACCTAGGTGAGCTGGCTCCAAAAAAGAAGACAGAGAGGAGACCCGAAAACGACCATACCAGGAGGCCCAAGGCGCTTCGGTGCGATGAAGTAAAAAGAAACAAACGCGGGGGCTTTTTCCTCGGTCGTCCTTCCGTGTTGGTTCAGGTCAGTCCAGCCGGCTCTTTGGGGGTGCGTCCCGCTCTTGGTTGGAGACCTCTCTGCGCTGCTTTCAATCCTCAACGAACAACGGCCCTTGTTTTCGGGGTCGCCGAAGGTTCAGCGCGGAGGCGGGGTAGGCAAAAGTGCTAGAGGACGCGCCGCAGCGGTTTGCCCCCTCCTAGGTGGGTGAACCGGTTAGGGGCGCCCTTCTCCCCGAGTCTCACGCCAGGCTCTACTCTAAAGGAGGCGGACCTTCGACGAGCCTGCTTCACGTCCGTGATTGATTTGCGCCGGGTACGCAGCCACCCCGCCACGCGCATGCCCGCCCTGCAGTGGTTTTGCGCGTGGTTTCTCTAGCTCTTTCATGTGCGAAAGAGCCGAGCCTTCCTTTTTGTCAGCGAGGCAGGGCGCCCGGCCGATAGCACTACAAGCCCCCCTGCCTTCTGCCCAATCCTGGCCGCGCGTCTCCGGGGAAGTCCTCCCCGCAATTATTGCCGCCGGCACCTGCAGCGGCGGCCAGGGCTATGACTTCCCTGGGGGGGTGCCTGTTGCGCCAAGGTTTGAGACGCCGCGCGAAGTGCGCGCGCCGACGTTCAAGCGGTGCACAGGTGGCAAGCGGGCCTCCCCTCCAAGCTAGCCCACGAACACGGGGACGAGAGGCAGAAACCCAGAGAAGCCTCAGCAAGCGGAGGGCCGACACCGCGCGGCGCTGGTGCTAAAAAACCACCAGCGCGTCTCGCCACTAAAACCAAAAAGACCCCACTGCACGGTACGACTTGCGCTAGTGGATGTGAAAACACGCGCTAAGCTTAGTAAGTACCCAAGTCAGTGAGCTGGTATTTGTTGAACTCGTTCAGCTCAATAGCTCCCAAATTTTCGAGAATCTCGATGCCGCTCTGCACGCGATCTTCTGGCGGGACGGACACCGTCCTCTTGAAAAACTCCACTGGATCTCCCAACTTAAGGCACATCTCTTGCAAAATGTGCTCTTCCAGAGAATTTGACAGGATTTCCGGGAATTGGTAGTCCTTCATCGTATGCAACATGTATTGCGGGAATAGGTGAATGCATATTCCTTCCTGGCATCGGCCAGCGCGGCCCTTGCGCTGGGTATTGTTCGCTCGCGAAATCAGCTGGCCCTCGAGAACTCCGGTATTGCGCTGGCTGTCATACACCATCTCCTTCGCAATACCTATGATGCAGATGAGAGATGGAAATGGATATCAAGAGAAGGAAGGCCTAACCTCCTGCCGCGACAACCCAATGTTGTCATTAAAAGGTTGACCAGTCCTAGCACACGTAGACATAAGAACGCTCTCCATGGTATGACACCACGACAGAAATAGTCTCGGAATCTTCACATAAAAAGAAGTGAAATAGCCACAACTGGTAAGAAAACAAAAAATGCGAACAAGCACTACCCATATTCAACGTCACATAGACATTGAGAAAACGGAAAAAATACCGGTATTCATCACATAGACGATGTCGCTGATTGTGACACTGGTTTCTGCGATGTTGGTTGAGAGGATGATCTTTCTACGTCCTGGAGGTGCTGGATCGAAAACGCGTACTTGCTCCTCTGGAATCAGCTGACTGTGCAACGGTAAAATATGATACTTCCTCTGTGCTTCGATCACTGTGCCACGCTGTTGTTTGAGATTGGGGTAAAAAATGGGGATAGACTTAGAAGACATAGAGATTGAAAATTATTTAAAGGATCATCCTTTAAATAAGAGAGAAGGTCAGAATTGATATGAAATTGAAACAAAGTCGATACTGATATCCAGTACAACTGGTGCTGGTCCTGAAAACTACATTCCAAAATTGGTCACCTGTTTGCGTTCTATATTACAACTCAGAGCTAATTCTTAAAAAATCGAAGTACATCATCTTTCGTCTCGCTTTTAAACAGGTCCTCTCCGAGATCGGTAATGTCGCGCCAACCAGGTAAGAAAATGAGCACTGATCCACGACCGTTCTCGCCTTTGATCATCTGTCTGGCGTCAGAGTCAATTTTTCGGACCATATCAACGATAAGTCGCCTCTTCTCGAAGCTGACCCACTTCGCATCATCGATCACCAGAGACCGTAAGGTTTGCTCGGAGTAGGTCCTAGGTGTGAATTCAGTTGTTGACAGTACTTAGATGGTGTGTGCTGTTCTAGGGTGAGATTACTTAGAGTTAGGTAATCGGGAAGTACGGATATTATTGATTAGGGTGTAGTTTTTTTCCTTTCCGAGCGAGCAAAGAAAAAACAACAAGTCTAAAAAGTTGCAGTACTTCGTATCATCTGCTGCATAGAGTTTTTCGTCAATTTCCTGCAACTGAAATGTCGTGACGGCTCCTAATTTTTCCGGGTTTGCGAGCTGACAATCGGTCCATTCCAAGGCGTCTTCCAAAAAATACTCCTTAATGGGAAAGCATCGTCCTTCAAACATCAATACGGACTCCGGGTCTCGATCGCCGTGTTGAACTCGCAGTGGCTTGAAAAACGGCACGAATGTGCTTCCTGCGAAGGTGGCTGTCATCAAGACCAGCTTGATGTCCATGTTATTAGCTAGAAGTTTGTCTTTGATCGTGGTGAGTAAAAACTCAGAGTGGATGTCTCGTTCGTGCACTTCGTCGATGATCAGGACTGCGCATCGTCTCAACGCTGGATCCTCGAAGAGCCGTCTCAGAACCACTGCAGTGGTACAAAACACCAGTCTCGTCGTGATGTCATCCGTCTTGTTGTGGTACCGGATCTGGTATCCGACTTCGCCTCCAACGACACTGTGGCCCCGTTCTGTCGCGATTCTCTCGGAATTCGTAATCGCGGCAATCTTTCGAGGCTGTGTGACAATGACGTATTTCCCTTTGGGAACGATCTTCGGATCGTCCATTAAGAATTGAGGAACTTGCGTCGTCTTACCACAACCGGTCTCACCGCAAATAATCGTGACACGGTTTTCTCTCACGTGGCTTGTGATCTTCTCCCGGTACTTCATCACAGGTAAAGGCTCCTGCTTCTTCTTCACACCGCTTTTTAGTTGTTTCAAGGTCGGTTTTTCCCACTGCGTGACCCGCATGCCACGATGGTGGTAGAAAGGTCGATCACCCATCCAGAAGATCTCCCAGTCTTCACCAAGCAACGTCGCGTCATCAGCTTCGGTGTCGCTCTCTTCCGTTTCAGCCTCCGTTTCGTCGCCAGCATCGGGATCCTCGCCCGCTTTTTTGTCGACGCTTTTCTTACCTTCTGGGGCAGACGTGGTCGTGATCGGCGGAGCTATAACTGGTCCTTGTTCTAAAAATTTGGTCATCGAATTAGAAGACTCTCGCTCTTCCTGATTGGAAACAACGGCATTATCCTTCATCTCAACCGCGTCTTCTTCTTTCTTCAACTGTGCCTGCTGTGGTCCGCCAACATTCAAAGTCGACAGTGATTTCCTTCGAGTGTCGGAAGCTTTCTCTATGCCTGCGATTTGGATGTTTCCTCCTCGAATCGCGCCAGCTTTGGACATCGCTGAAGCAAGGGATAATCGAGGACGAGTCGTTTCGGTCGCGGTGGGAGGCTTACTAGGCTCCTTATCATCCTCTTCTACAGCTGCAGTGACCTGTTCTTCGGTTGTAGAAGGCTTTATTCCTTCATTGTTGCCCATCGTGTCGTCTTTAGGGACCTTGACATCTTCTGACAAATAACCATGTGCTGTTGGTGACACAACAGGTGTCGACGCGGCCTTCCCCGTCTCCAAAGCAGGCGTTGGAGTTCTTGCAGCTGGATCAACACCCGCCTTCGTAGAAGTACTACTAGATGGGGTAGTTTTCTTTTGCTCCGCACTTAAAGAAACTGGTTTCTTTAGAAGCACGATGTTTGAGGTTTTCTTAGTGCCACTATTCGCCACATCGTCATCATCGAATCCAAACAAGTCAGCCATTTCCTCGTCTTTTTTAGACCGCTTCAGCACTGGCGAATGACTCTGCTTCGGACTACCCAATGAAGCTTGCTGGTCCTGCTCCCGTGGTCGCTTTTTATTACCAGCTACTAGATCCGTTGCAGCTGCTTGGTCCCCGTGAGGAACAACATTCGGAGCCTTTGCTTTCTTCTTCTTTTTCTTTTTACCAAGCTTTTCGCCCACTGCATCCCCTTCTCCTGTTGAAACACCATGATCTGTAGCAGCTGGCTTCTTCTTCGCTCTTATCGTCACAACGTCTGAGAGTTTCATACTGTTCTTCAAAATCGGGGCCGTCGAAGATGCCACAGTGATAGTGCACATATCCGTGTCCCCAAGCATCTGCAAGTGCATCCGCTCGACTTCACTAAGTTCCGGCGCTGCCTTCGGTAGAGCTGCAGTCTTAGGAGATGTTGTTCCACTTGACAATGCAGAGTTCCCAGTGGCTTCGGGAGCATTGTTCCTGCTTCCCCCTCTAGAGGCTGCAGAGGCGGTTCTTGGCAATAGAACTACGCTTTTCGAGGGTTTTACTCCTGAAGGAGAAGGCTCCTCCTCGTCCAAGCCGAATAGCTCTGCTAAAGACGCCTCCTTGCCAGCTTCTGACTCGTCCTTTTCGACGACCTTGTTTGGCCCTCTTCTAGGCTTAAAGGGAGCAAATGCTTGCGGCTTTTGATCAACTTGTTCGTCCTCGCCTTCATGTTGGACTTTGTTGTTCCTGGTGCTTCTTGATGAAGCAGCGTCGACTTCGTCCTCTGCCTGTTCTCGTTTCGCTTCTTGTTCCGCCTCTTTCTCCAGCAACGCCCTACCTGCGCCATCCCCCTTCACAGCTTCTGCCATATTAGCTAAGTCTTCCTTTGTTTCTGCAGTAAGCACAGTATTTGCCACAGCTTCCAGCCTTGAATCACACAGAACGGTGTTTCTGAGCATCTGCATTCTCAAAACTTCGTCCTCCTGTTCGCGTCGGCCCTCATCGTAGTCGTGCTGTTCTGCAAACTTTTCGCGTCGTTCCTCTTCTTGTTTGATCCTGTCCTCGAGCTCAGCGAGTTGAGCTTCGGCGCCAGAAGAATCGGAGATTTCCTGTAGAACAGAGATGTATGGTTGAAATTTGCAAGTTATATTCAAAAAATGTGAGCACGTGCAACTCTACTAAGATGGATTAGGAAGGCACCTTTTTACATCCAAGTACACTTATCTAAATCTACGGATGCAGAAATGAATCTAGTACCTCTAAAAAATCCATCCCATTTAATGTCTCAAGGACGTTTTGAGCATCGTTCTCGTCCTCGTCGTCTTCGTTCTGAACTCTATCTCCTTTTACGTCTCTTCCTTCTGGCAAATAAGGCGCCAAACCAGAACCTCCGGCTGGACCAGAAGAGGAGTCCTTATTCGTTGAATCACCATCGGCTTTCCTTCTCTGTTGCGGCTCAAACGCCTCTTCTTCGTATCCGCCACGTTGATACTGTGAGCCTGATCTCGACATACCTTCTCCGGCTCGCCACCTTTCTCTATCCCTTGATCTTGAACGACGCATTCCACCGGCAGAGTTCATGCTGGACATACCAGGTCCTCCATTGGGGTTATACCGAGGAGGCGGCAACCCGCCATTATGCCCAAATGTCGAGCCAATCATGGGTGCACCACGAAAAGTTTGGTCGAACGATCCATATTGATGTTGACCTCCTGCAGCTCTAGGTCCTGGTGTCATAATATTACTCCCTCCACCGAAAACAACCGGCATGCGGCCAGTGCGACCATCTTGATGATGCTGTCCTTGTTGATATTGCCCTTGATGACCCTGACCAGGCAACATATTCCTCCTCATGTTCTCCGGTCTACTTGAAAAGTCGTGTTGAGGACGCAGTTGTGCTGCTCCGCCAGCAAAGGGAGCTTGTTTGGAAATGGCACCGCGAAGTCCGCCAAAGCCGCCAGGGCCACCACTGTAGCCGCCGCTACTTGATGATCCATGACCAGCATATTGATCGTATCCGCCACGTTGTCCTCCTTGACCCCTGACGTACTGGTCACCACCATAAGAATTCTGGCTCTGGTTGTACTGACCGTTACCATTTCCCCTGCTGTTATAGCCATCACCACGATAAGAACCTCCACCATTTGGGTCTCCACGACCAGGAGGGCCACCGCGGTGGCGACTTACCGGTTGCCCGAAGGCACCTGAACCATGATAACTCATCTTTTCATCAGTGAAAGACCCACTACCATACTCATCTTCTCTTAAAAAGTTTTACAGTTTGCGGCCTCTGCCGGTCGTCGAGTATTTTGAAACACTCACAAAGCTGAAAAATACATTGATTTGGACATCAACGAAAAGTGGGGGAGATCCTGCAAACGCGAATTTTGTTTTGGGCAAGTAAGAAACCAATCATCAAAAACGACTTCTCTTCAGAATAGTGACAACACATAGCGACTTTGAGATGAATCCATACTCAACGTGTTGGGTGTGAGAATTTTATCTTTGGGTATACGCATCTTGATCGTGATCCCGTTTCTTTCCTCATATCTCCTCGGTGAGAGACTCCACACTCTTGCTTGATCGCCACTGGCCTCAAAGTGATAGATCCATCACGCTTCTTGCAGTTCTTGTAGACTACGTTGTAGTTTCACGTTATTCCTGAAGCAATTTCTCACTGCAAAACATTCTTATCGTGATTTTTATTTTGGTACGTTTTACCACGGCGAACATCAAGCAAATGGACAAGATCCGACTCCGGCATCTTGGAAATGAAGATCACAGAGACCACCAGCACACTCACACTACTAGGAACGTTTCCAACACAAGGCTTGATTCAAAAGTGAGGACGAACGAGCGACCCCACGCCCACAGCATCTCTATTGAGATAAGAAAATATGTATGCATTATGCGAGACAGACAAGGCAAACGAGGAAAAAGTTTTTGTTCTAATCCAAACAGGGGGCTGCTTGAGAAGACTGAGAAGTGTGAGGACTGCTGGGGGTAGACAGGTCGCGGTCTATGCGAACAAAGGCGAACAAGGGTAGTTGCGCAGATTCATCTTTCTTCTATGTTTGATTTGACGTTGTTGACCCTTAATATTCCGAGGCATCTGCAATAATCCGAGTAAGTACATCTGGCTGCTCAAACTCCCATCTGCGTCATTTTCATCCCCATAGCCTCTAATTTTTTCTGCTGTTCTCTTTGTTGCATAATCTCCATTTCAATCTTCTCCGCGTCCTTTCCTTCTCCCCTCTTGTACACGAGATCCGCCACGTCTTTGATGCTGATGTCAATCGGCTGACCGGTTTTACGATCCAAACAGGCCACAACAAAGACACCTAAAGCCGCACTGCCGATCAAAGAACGAGCTGCGGGGTTCTCTGCCGTTTGGTTCTGGAGAAAGCAGTCGTCATACCAAGCTTTCCAGAGCTTTGTTTCCTTGGAAGCGAGGTTGTAACCTGGTAAGTACGTGCTGCCGACTGCACTGCGCTCTTGGAGGACTGCGTCCCAGCCGAAACCGGTGAATGTAGTTGACGATGATATGGTACAACTTGTATCACTAGAGGTGGAACCGAATGGATGATCCCCTAAGCCTTGTTCTGCTGTGTCGTCTTTCTCTCCAGGAACAAATTTCTCCACAGTGAAACCTTCATGTTGCTCTACCTCCCGCGATGCTCCTCCAGCTTTCTGGTTCGCCTGACGACCATATTCTCGCCATTTCCCGTCCAACAAGCATGCTTGACCCAGCTCTGTCGCTACTGGCTTCAAAACCTCGGAGCACAGCTTCTGCTTCCCACCTGGAATGTAGGCCTTGGGTCGGACGGCAAGAAACTTGTGCTTCTTCTCCGTGAACTTCTTATCGAAGGAGTTAGCCTCTTCCTCCTCAGAGTCAGTGCACAGGTCGGCCGCAAACTTCGACCACTTGTCATAGTTGGTTGCCGGCATTTTTTCTTGTCTAATTGCGGGAGATTCAAACACGAGGATGGAATGTATGTGATGAGGGATGATGCTGTTAGCTCAAAAAACGCATCTAGTTCTGGATCTTCTACTAGTAGTCACAACGATGATGAGTTTCAATCAACCACAAATGAAAACATTGCGATGCGCACCTCTGCCTCTGGAGAATGAAAAAACCAGCCTAGATTATAAATATATCTTGTGCACCGAAATTTCTATTTCTCTAGTTCTAGATCCCCAGAGATGGAAGCTGAATTCATTGGTTTCGCATGCCAGATCTACCGAATGACCACAAAGAACCAGAAAGGAATGATGATCCTGTTCAAAAGAATAACACTGGCAAACTACGGCGTTGCAACTTTGCCTCGCGCTGCGTCAATTTCATATCTTAATCAATCGTTTTTTCATTTCTGTGCTGAAAAAAACTTTTCCACTAGAAACGATCTGTCAAATGGCCACCAAGTGATCTTTAAGTGTCCTCCAAAGCAAGTGAGAGAGTCAATCAACTCAAATCTGTCGTCTTCAAGATGGCTAATCGTGAGCTAATTTCATTCAGTTTTCGTCAAGGTCGTTTTTTGAAGATGTTTAACGTTGTGATCAAATCGGTTTATTGTAAGTAGTGGAGGTATTCTGTCTATTCTGTGTCTGTGTTTCAATTGTTTGTTCTGGTCAAACAGTCTGTACATGAGTTTGATTCAAATGTGGTAAAAGCAAAACAAGGTGACTCTTTATTTAGAGAACCAAAAGTTCAAGTGTTCAAGTGTTCAAAGTGTCTAAATTCATTACATACAAAGGACTAGGACATCTAAGACTAAGTGTGAGTCTATCAAAATGAATCGAAACAAAAGCTAAGCCGTCTCACTAAATTCCGACGCATCATCAAGAAGTGATAAGGCGTTTTCAACATCCGCTGCTGCCGCGACACCTGCTCCAGCGTTGCCTTGACCTCCTGCTTCAATCGCGTCAGAATATTTTTTCCTTCTATAGCTTTTTGCAGGAAGAAAAGGAGGATCATCTCTAACATGTATTCTCAACTCCTGCCCCTGCGCTCCGCTTTGGCGATGTTCTTCTACCTCAGATGCGCTACTAGAAGCTTGACCCTTTGTAGTTGTACTATCTTGCTCCTTAGATGGATTTCTCCACACAGCCATACCTGTCAGCCGATTGCGCCAGAAGAACTGACCTTTCTTCTTGGTCGACTCAACACGCTGCCAAACATCTTCAGCTTTCTCAGCAGCGGCTTGTTCCTCTGCGCGTGCGTCGGCTCCATAGCGATGCCGTATCCTAACGTTCTGAGGTGGCAGGTCACGCTGAGCGGCCACTTTTCTCGCCAAAGACCCACGCTTATTGGCGTCCTCGGTGTATTTGTATCTGAAGAGGGTGGTGATGGTGGTGGTGGTGGTGATCACGCTTATGCATAAAAGTCAACTGCAGAAGTAGCGATCGAGTGATGTTTTTGCGAGTGCCGTCGTGTAATAATTATTACACAACGCTACAGTGCCTACTTAGTTACATTTATCAGAGAACCACGGAAAAAATCGAAGTCCCCTACGATAAGTACACTCCATGCATCCCTGCTTGTACGACGTCTGTTCGATTATCAGCCTCCGACGTCATGGTGCCACTCACGTTATAAGCGTCTTTCTCGAAGAAGGATGCCAGATATCTTTCTTCTTCCGTCATCTGATTGACATCCATGGAGACCTGTCGCTTCCCTGCTAAGGCTGGGTTCTTCGCTAGGTTCCTAACTTCTCTCATCCTGTCCAACTGCGCTTTCATTGGACTTACCTGATCGCCTCCGAGTAGTTGCTGAGGTTCTGGATGTCTGAACAGGCCTTGTACTGCGGAGAAGGGATGCTTCGCAGCTGCTATTATGGAAGCACTAGAAACATTTCGCCCTATGGGGAGGCCTTGCGGAAGATGTTCGTCAGCACCCTTCTTGCTTGTGCTACTAGATGAAGACGGAATTTGGAATGTTTTAGTCGACTTGCCATTTACATTGTCATTCCCTGGCACAGCGTTGCCTGCTCCTCCTGCCTCGCCACTATCTGCTACCTCCTCTCCATCCCCGCCACCACTTTCTGGTTCTTTCTCGTAGTAATCATTGATGTTCATGAATTTGCTCTTCCTCACAGGTTGTGAAGACGCACTCGAGGCAGAAGAATGACTCCAAGCGAGCGGATTCGCACCCGGGTCATTCGACGGAGGTCCTGCTGGCGTTGAAGCAACTACTAACTCTTCACGCAGCTTCGTCAAGCTAGTGTTGTAATCAAAGGATGGTGGTAGTTCGTCGCCATCAGTCTCATCTTTATTTCCGAAAGGTTTAGTACCTTTACCACCTAATCCACCTCCAATTCCGGAGGACCCTGCTCGCCACCCTCCATTGTAGCTCGAAACTGAGGATGTTGACAAGAAATGAGCGTCTATATCAACCAAATCTTCCTCAGCATTTACTTGGTCGTTTTTGCCCAATATATCCCTTTTCATTCTCCCAATCTTTTCATCCGCTGATGACTCGGCACTTGATGAAGCATGAGGCGCAGCGCTATGATGTCCGCCTTCCTCGTCGTGGTTTGGTTGTAATTTTAGAAGAAAGTGGAAATGATGAAGTTGCAAGCGAGAAGATGGAGATGCATTTCATTCACTATCTATGATCTTGATCGTAGAAGAAAAAGAAAATCGTAGAAGCGAATGAAAATGTCACAACTTAGTTAGATGCAAATGAAGCCGAGTCAGACACTCAGAGTCAGAGCAGTCAATTTTTGGAGCCTTAACATCTTGTTTGCCTCAGACGAAGCTGAAGATCGTAGAGAATCGATACTCCTATCAAACGTCAGCGCTCGATTCAAAGGTCTATCACCCAACTGGTCTAAGCTCGGTTCTTCTTCATGCGGGAAAAGTGACCTCGCAACGTCGTTAGCAGGTTGAATAGGTGACTGTGGAGGCGCGGTGGACGACGCGGGTGCGACTTTGCTCAAATTGCGAATAGATGATTTCCTTGTATTCTTCTCATTTTCTTGACCAGCCGGTTTATCTAGTGATCCCTTTCCAGGAGAAGTTGAAGCTATTGTTCGAAAATCCTCAACGGCGTCAAAATTCAGCTTATTGGGACTATTTCCGCCAAAGAAACCCCTCTTCTTTCTTTCGGAGTCGCGTTGCTTCTTCTCGTTCTGCACTTTTTCCACTAGTTTCTCAGGTGACATGTCAGAAAAGTCTTTCAGACTTGGTCGTTTCATCGGAGGTTGGTCGGCATCAACGTCGTCAAAATCGAGCGCTTTCTTCAGTTTCGTTCCCGGACTCATACCAATGCTGTGTCTGAAGGATTCTGCAGTATGAAAAAAGGAATGGCAGAATGATACTATGCGCTGGTACAGTGAGACGGCAATATTACTGAGAACATTTACGTTACAGAGTTTAACAAAAACCATAAAATGCATTCTCGAACCCCTCGACCAGATTATTTCTAGAAGAGTTGTCGTTTCGTCTAGCTGGTCTTCTCCAAAAATCTGTGAAGCCAATAAGCGTCGTCCGCACCATGCGATTCATACGCTCATTGTAGTCACGAACAGTCTCATAACCCAGTAGGGTCTTGATGTCGCGACGGCCAGCTTTCTGAGAAAGGATAGGGAAAGTCAAATGGGCATGGTACAGTGCTAAGCATCGCGTAGGGAGACTTGGATCATTGTTCTTGGCAGTTATTGATGGTACGAGCGGATCACTTACGATGTCGAGTCGCGTTCTCAACGATCTCATTGGCCTTAGAATTCAAGAAACTACGATTTACGTTCTCAACGAACTGAATGTAAGTAATCTACTATGTAGAAGTAAATATAAAAGAACTGAAATGAAGTTAAGAAGAGAAATGTTATAAAGAAAACGTAAACTAGTACTAAGAGCATTCTATTACCCTCTGTCTTTCCTTCAAATTCTCCAGAATGTCAATCGGACTTGCTCCAGGCGCACGCCGCCTCTCCTCTGGCGATAGTGGTTCTTGCTCCAACGCCTTCTTTCGCTCCCAATCTACGGGCATAGGCTCGGCTCCAAGTGTGAAGTAACAACAGATTGCGAGTTAGAGGCGTAGTTTCACAACATAGCATGATCAGAAATTCGATTTCATCCAGATCACTTGTTTTATAGAATTCAGAAACTCAATCTTAAAATTTCCAGAAGTACAGTCTCAGCAGGACTTCGATAAATCAAAATCATCCTTGATATTCAGAGAGTAAGATGAGTGTCAGTTGTCTCCACGAAGCATAAAACAATCCCCCCACTCCCGCACTAGCACACAAAATCACTATCAGCACTAGCGGCATCTCCTCACCATCGTAGCATTCGAATCTGTGACTGTTGGGTTGATAGTCTGGGAGAACCGCCTTGTTCCCAGTCTGCGTCATAGGTGGTGTGAAGCAGGCTCCTGGCTTCACCGAGAACGTCTGATACGGCATGTCGTTGAATTCGTTGATGGCTGAGGGTTAGAGATAGAATAAATAAGTTGTATCAGGATGGTTGCACATGAAGATAAGTAGGTCCACATTCACTAAATCAAGGTCCGCAGGGGCCAACATATTATTTTTATATATTTTATGAGGAGATGGCTTAGTAAATCACCACTTGGCAACATAATTGAAGCTGCATTTCTTCTGCCCTCTCCACAGTTGGAAGCGTACTACGTCAGCATCAGTGTTACACTCCAATATCCGGAAAGAGGAGGTCAGCTTGGTGCTTTTGAAGTCGTCTACCGCTTCCTGTTCAGCCATCGTTTCGGGAGCTGCAGTTGTTCCAGGCTCGCGGTCAAAAATCTGACCATCTAAGTTTTCGCGCCAAGGGATTAGAATCGTACTAAACGCAGGAAGAACAACTATGTCCTATGTCCGTCGATGTCATTGAACTAATAAGCTTTGAAGCGGAGAGAACAGTGCTAGAAATGAGGAATACTAATGTCCTTGAACTACTATAAATTATATCAAGAATTAAAATATGCACCAGAAGAAAATAGAGATCACAATAACGAACAACATGAAGAACAAGAAATAGATGACTTTTTGCAGTACTCCATGTTGTACACGAACCTACAAGATGAACCCAAACCGACACAGCCACCATAATGAAACGCATTCTTTCATGAGCCACGTCTTCCATTTTAGGTAGTCGTCTGGATTAAGCTCATTCTGCCTATCGCAACCTCCGGTACCGGTGTAATGTCGTACCGTGACCACGCCAGAGGCACCGGCGCTAACGAAGAGTAGTGATGATGGGCTTACGGTCGTCGTGATCGCAAGGATGGAGACCAGATTTCTGCAGGCAGCGACGTCGAAAGGCGATCGTTGCCTTCTAGCGTCCATTGCAGATGGTCTTCGGGGAAACGCCTTCATCTTGAAATGCTCTGAAGGCAACATTGTGTCATAATTTCAACGTAAAATACTGGAGGAAGCGCGCGAAGGTTTCCATTCTCTTTGCTCAGAGTATTCAAACGAAACATAATGGGCAGCGTCCATCTCTAACTCCAGATTCTATCTCTGTAACTCCATTATTCCATCTCCCGTTTTTATGATGAACAGGGCTTTGTTACGCAAGTGCGGCTAACCTTGACGAAGTTCTTGCTTTGTTTGACTGATCTTCTGAAATTTGCTTTTATCTGGGTTGTGAGTGCATCTCGTTGTCAGTAGAAGTTTTAGCTCGTCGTAGTTTGGGTCATACGTAGATTTGAGCCTCTCTTACGAGCACGAGAGAGCAAGGAAAAGATAATAGAACGAAACGAAAAGGATCATCTCCTGTCAGAAGTATTCAAAATTTTGTCAGTAGTAAGATCTTTACGAGGTATAGCTGTACAGTGTCTTAGGAATCATAAGTATTCAACAAGTAGATAAAGTTGATACAACATGGGGTTTCTGTTTAGACGATCGAGTGATTTCGATTGACTAAAGAATTTATACAAAAAATTACCTATAAAGAATTTCCAATACAGCTTTCCTTTTTTCTACTCAGGCCACAACCGCAGCCGCCGGCCGCAGAAACGGGTGCACACTGCTACTTGCACTTCCAGCAGCTAGGACGTCAGCCGCTAGGGTTGGTGGAGCTGGGCGATATTGCGATCCACTCGCCATCGATTCAGGAATACCAAAAGCGCCAGCTGCTCTCACGTCTTGAGCATAATTATACGCTGGCGGTGGCCGCGTAGTATTGACCAAATTCGCGTTGACGCCAAGATTGGTTGGTGCGCCGGGAGTGAGGAGAATGAAGTTGGGGCTTGAAAGGTTGATTAGGTGAATGCGATATAGGGACGATTGCAGTAGTTATGTTGAGCTAACATATCAGTTTTAGACCAAGGGCCTCGATTTTTATTTTGTTCGGAAAAGGTACTATAGATCTTAGACGCGTATCATGTAGTTATGAGCTAACATATCTATCAGCAGATCATAATCATTGCGTAAGTTTTTACAGTTAATACTGGTCTTTTTTGGCGTGCTAACAAGTGTGGAACATCACTTTTACACTTCATGATCATCAACGGCAAGAAAAACGAAGACTACTAGTACTGAAAGATCCCTTCATACCAGTTCCAGCGCTACTTGGCATGGTGATGTTTCTTCCCTTCTGCTTGTCAAACGGCACACCCAACGTGTCTTCCAGGTAGCTCTTTGGTTTCGGTAACTCCGGATAACCGAAGATGCTGTTCGCCACTTTTTTGGTGCCATTCGGGAAAACCATACGGTAGACTGGGACAGGAACTTTCTTTTTGGTGGGGAATTCGTCAAAGAGTTAGAGTATGAAGATGAGGTTATTGTGCTATTAACAAAGAGATAGGATGGACATCGATCGCTGATCTTTTCTTCTGTAACGTCAAAGAAAACAAAGTAGAAACAAAAAGGACTACGAATAGCCTTAAAATAGAATCTTGCTCACTTCGACAGTTTGATTAACCTCCTGCATGTCCGCTGGTGCAAGCACGTGCGGCTCTCTGCTGTCGGAAGTTAGAGGAAAGACACAGAACGATGAAGACGAAGATCAAGTACACCTCTTACGATCATGATTAGAACATCAACATGTACATGAGAGCATAACATATCATCTGGCGGCAATTTCAGATTCTTCATCGGCACATGCATCCGCATGGCAATTGGCTTCTCCACAAACCGTCTTTGTGTGCGCTTTTCCGTCACGATTTCCTCTTCTTCTCGATCGATAACCACTTCCCGATACTCCACCTTTTCTTCGTAGGTGATGTTCTCCTCGTAGCTGACTTTCGGGATCTCGATAATGCGGTCTTCATACACGATCTTCGGCACGTAAGTGAGTTTTTCTTCGTAGACGATCTGGTCGTGAGGGAGGGAGAGGAGAAAGTAGCCACACGTGGTCACTCTTCTAGATGTAGTACAACCTGCTCGAAATCGTTCAATTATTACAGTTTGGTTACACTTCTTGTTAAAGCTAGGCAGAATCAGACATGCGACAAAAGTTGTAACTAATACCTCCGGCACTTCCACCGTCTTCTCAATCGTCTTCACAATCGGTATTTCTTTGACTACTTCAAATTAGAGGGTGGTGCTGCTTGTATGTGAATGTGCGGCAAGACGAACCTAGTCTCAGCACGTCAATTCTCCTGTATTGGTAGCAAGAGGAAACGGGAGAAAAAACTGGTCGTGGTTACTATCTTCTTTTCAGACGCAAAAGAGTCATCATATCTAGTGCCGATTTCAAAGCCTTCCATAATCTTTAATCTCGACTTTGGGCTTTTCGATAATCCTCTCGACGATTTCCGGCTTCTTTACAACTTTTGTCACTTCTTTGACCACAACCTGCGGCACCTCGACTATCTTCTCCACCACACGGAATGTCTTCACGCCCACCACATAGCGCTCCTCCAAGACGCGCTCGGAAATGAATTTGCCTGATGGAGAGGAGGTTGACGGAGAGGAGGTTGATGGAGTCGTGATGAAGACACCACCTGAATGGGAATTTCGGTCTGAAAGTTGTTGTTGGGCAAAGTAGAGTAGCAGCAGAGTTCTTCTACTGGTAGAACCAGAGCAAAGTCCTACCTTCTATCCAATTATCAACATAGCTCTCCACTTCTTCGGTAGTAGTAGGAGGTTGATGGAGTCGTGATGAAGGCACCACGACCCAAACAACGTTCAGTCTGAAAGTTGTTGAGCAAAGTAGAGTAGCAGCAGAGTCCTTCTACTGGTAGAACCAGAGCAAAAACCACTTCTACTGACTATTACCTTCTTGAACATAGCTATCCACAATCCGTTCCGAGTCCTGCGAATAGGTGTCGGGGTTGTCTACCCCAGGGATGGGGGCAGAATGAGGCATCGGCATCGACATGGCCTTGATATTGTGGTGTAATTGAAGGCGTACTCAGCTTGTTATTGTTGTAGAGCCTCCATCTACTTTTTGATGTTGCTTTTCTTTTTTGTGTTTCTCCACATGCTGTACATCTTTCAGGTTTTTCTTGCCTAATTTATCAGAAGTGGAGGGTCATGCCTTTCAGTTTTCTCGCTTTAAGGAGGACCAGTTGCATCAATGATGGTCAACCATCTTGCAACTGCGTTCCTGTGGAAACTGAGCGTAGCTCCGGAGCATGCTGCTATCAGCATTCAAGCATATTGAAAAACTGCATGTGGAACCTTATGTGCAAAACAAATCCAGAATACTCGATCTGCCCAAAGTATGATGCAGACAACAAAAAAATAATATCAGGGTGATAAGCAGGCAGGGAAATGTAAGTGCGAAATAAAAAAGAAAGTTCGGGTTGTATTCTCAAATGAATGTCAGTGGGACAAGCAACATATTTATAAATATAAGTCGAGTAATCAGCTCGCCTGTTTGTACTATCAATCACACATCTACTCCTGTATCTCGTCCTCCACACTCCCAAAACTACCATCATAGTCTTCACAAATAGTCAAGGAAATTTGTGAGAAATCTAGCAAAGAACTACACGAATCTTCATCTGTGTGCTCCTGACCCTGTAACGGATGTCGCTTCTTCAATAAGCTTTCCACGTCTTGCAGCGTTGCCTGGTTCCTACCCGCGAAAACTGTACGATCCAAATAAGCGCCCATCCTTGCTCCCAATCGGCGCATGTCTAGCTCGCGTGGGTTCGTGATGCAGCGTTGACGTAAGGTGATCGATCTTTTTTTGCTATCATTAGTAGAGGTCGTAGAAATAGTACAGGGAGTGCGAAAGAAACAGTTTCCAATATTCATGAGTAGACTTCGATTTTTGTTTCAAAGCCATAGTTCTAAGCACTTCAAACGGATCAAAGCCACTCCGCGTTAAAGCAACAAAGAGTGCCCGCTCAATCCATGCCCTCTTTGGTCGCCAGCTTGCCGCTAAGAGACGAAGACACTCTGCATGTTCTCCAATTGGTATATCGCCGTGTACTTTCAAATCGTTTACTTGAAAGTGTAGTTTACTGGTACGAGCTTGTTCTTGAAGATGGCCCTCAAATGGAAGATCATTGGAGGTACTCCTTTCTTCTTTGCCACGCCTCGATGACACAGGCGACCTCCTCGACACCGGTGAAGCTCTAGTGACCTCAAAGTGTTCTGAAGAAATGCATGCTTGCTGTGCTTCGGCAGGATAGAGTGCTTCTCTAGACTTCTTCCACAGGAACAAGAAAATTGGACTTCTCTTTCCAAGTACTTCATCTTCATCTGAAAGTCGTGCTTGAACTTCGGTGTAGGATGGACGCCAATGACGAGCTATCCAATCCCGCCGTCTCTGCTCCGTAGGTGTCTTTCGAAAATCAGCTCTGCTTTGTTGGCCCACTTCTTCCGTCGTGAGACCAGGTTGTAGCGATGAAGTTGGAGATGGATATGGTGCTTTCGACGTTGTTGTACTGTAGCCCTCCAGAAGTTCTGACACGCAGTTAATACCTTCAGGATTTGCGCAGCAACGGTTGTCCAATACGCCAGGATTTATGTAGGGCGCAGAGGGAAGAGGGGCGAGCTGAACGCGCTGGAAAAGTATTAGAGCATACATCACAAAGACCAAGAAGCCGAGGTAGGGGCTGCACTGTAACCGAAGGAAGAGACTAAGCATCCAGATCGCCCAGGTGTCCCATTTAGTACCACTAGCCTAAAAATCAAAATGGCGGGACAGGTATTTAATACTAAACTAAAAGAACAAATAATAAATGTTCATAGTAATATCGACGAATGAAATTCAAGCTGCCTCGTGTCCTTAACATCAGTATTATTGCATAACCGAGTAAAGCGACGTGAAAAGCGACGCAGATACCCACTCCCACATCTCGGCACAGGTGTCCAATCCGACGACATATACGGATCCTCGCGGTGTATTTAGAGATGGAGAGGGTAAACAATCATGACGCTCCGCTTCAGAGCAAAACACCATCAGCGACATGGGCACCATTCTATTTTCTTAGTGTTAGTTGTAGTACCAAAGTCATAAGATTTCTACCCCTCCGCAACAGCGACACCAGTTGTCCGCTTCCGCGAGTGGGTAAGCCTGCAGTAGCGAATGTAGGTCCTGAGGAAACCCTTGTCGAGCCACGAGGCGAAGATGTTCTTGATCTGGCGTTAGCGTTTGACATCCTCGTAGAAGATGTAGTTGTAGAACTTCCAGAAGCGCCATGGGGTGTAGCATTCGTTTTACCCCGAACCGCGTCAGGGTCCCGACTCCTGCTTCTATGTCGTGGTTGCTCTGGTACAGGAAAAATCCTCACAGGCCCATTGGCGGCCTCGCGAATACTTTCTGCTTCCATCACTTGCATGCAAATGGGACACCTCGCATGTGGCGGCCCGTGGTCCAGGTTCTGCATAAGCAGGAACCGCGCCCGCTGCCGCTCTGCATATCGTACTCGCGCGACTCTTTGGGATATGAACAAAATGGAGTGAGGCGTTTCATCTTCGCTTTGGGTACTTAGACCCATTCTCTACAACTACCTGTTTGGATTTCTAGGTGAGCGTAGTGGTGCGAGTTCTTGTGCCTGACTCTCAGAATAAATCTAAGAAATACGTTTCCTTAATCATCTTCACGACATAACTTCCACCCGCCTAATCTGCGCATCAAAGATCCACGACTGCGTCCTCACGTCTCCTCTCCAACGACTCTGGTCAATCCAGTTCAAGATGCATGGTCTGCAAAACACATGGCCTGGTCGGTCAGCCGGAAAATCTGTAGTACAGTGTACACGAACTATGTCACGCTCGGAGAGGTAGCAATCGGGTCGAGAAGTTGTACAAGTTGTATCTAGGACTCCATCAGTATGATCTTCGGCTCTTTTTGATGAACTCCGCGTCGGACAAGCGGAACTAGACGAAGACGGAGATTCAACATCCGTAGTTTCTACAGTTTGATCAGAAGGTGACAGGCTAGAAGTTCCACCCGATGTTGCAAAAAGACTGCTTCCTGATTCAGTTGTACTAGCAGGACTACAAGCACTGGTGGGACTCGCCGTACTACAGCTAGACGCAGAAGGACTTGCACTTGTTCCACCTTGTTCAACATCTCCTTCTCCGCTTCTGCGTTCTCCTCGAGTGCGATGACTAGGATCTTCATTCCCCAAAATCACTCTGACCCCAGTTCTACAGCCATCGCTTAACTGATAGATCGGCCCTCGTGGAAGGCTGCGTTTGGAAGAAGAAGTTCTTGAGTTTGCACCTCCTCCACTGCTGCGCCCAGGCGCCACGTCATCCTCCTCCCCACAAATTTCTTCGAGAATCACAAGAAATGTCTTTAGGCATATAGCGCACTGCTCTGAAGTAACCAGATTCCTCGAGGTAGGAAAGGTTCGCTCTCTGGCACTTGAAGGCGTGGAGGCTTCTCCAGCTTCGAGGGCACTACCATCTGCAAGGGTGCTTTCGTCCGAGGGCGTCGTACCCGTGCGTCGCGGAACCGGAAAAGGAATGACGCTCCGAGCACAGCTTGAGCTTCCCAGCTGGCAATAGAAAAGAACGAATGCGGATAAGCGACTTCTTGGAAGCCACATTTTGCTTCTTACCGTATTTGTGACAGGTCTCTTTCGCCTCTCGCAACTCCTTAAGGACCACGGCCCTAGCCAGTTTTGCAGAATGAAAGCCCGAAAAATGCTGGAGGTGTTATGAAAATCTCTACTCTCAGTCTCGCTCTTGTTAGGACCTCTTCTACAGAAAGATATCTGACATGAATCAGCCTGAGAACAAGAAGGTGATGGTATGATAGATATCGCATCGGCATTCTCCATCACGTTCATGCTTCGTATCTGCAAGTAGAATGACTGCCAAATCCTCATGACAACATGCTCACACACACTTGGTTATGACATATATGCTTTTGGTTGGTTTACGAAAAGAAAAACTGGAGCTGAAATAAGACAGTGAAGAACAATCTGAGATGTTCTCTAGATTTTTTCTACGGAATCTGCGGAACAATCGGTATTGTTCAACGAATACGAATATCGGGAATTTACGGAATAAACTGAGGAACTAACAAAATTGACACTGAGCTAGCAACCACAACAAAAATTGGAGAATAAAAATACTGACGAACAACCTAATGATCATGTGCGAGTATCCTTCTTGGTGTGATTTAGATTTTTCTATAATCTCTAACTCTATATTCTTGCATCTCGTCATCTACTTGGGAAACTATGCACATCAACAACTATGCACATCAACATGATAAGGGTACACTTAAAGTTAACGCCTGCACTTACTTGTTCATCCTATTTTCGAAAAACTGAAATAAGCGAGTAATTACTGAAACTAGGCGAGATACTGAACAAGGAAGAGTAGCCCTGTCAAAGCTACCTCCCTTATTTCAGTCACCAACTCGGTTATTTTCAGTTTTCAAGTAAAATCCTCAAATCTAATTTCCACCGTCCTGCCCGTGGTCGTACACTTTAGCGTCTCCTTTTTCCCTGTGCACATAAGCTGCTCTCGCTAAGCATATGCCTGGCGGAATTGCTGGTTGCAGGCACACTTTTTTTGCAACGACTAGACCACTCGTGAGTTCATTATCATCTTCACAATTTTTATCTTCACCAAGTTGACGAGCAGCCGTACCCTGGTGCGCGCCTCCTATGTTCTGATAATGATCCTCATGACCATGGTGTCCTTGCCTTCTAGTTGGTATCGTGATCGGTTCTTTTCGACCTCCAATTTTATGCTGTATCGCAGACGAGAACGCCGACGAAAGAGGCCTCGTGCGCTCTTTCTGATACTCGACGCGTGGCCAATCCGTATGAATGCCTGGTATCAGCACAGCTGTTTGCTTTAATGGAACTCGAGAAGGTACTAGTTCGTCCTGTTCTTCCTGGTCCTGGTGCTCTCCCACCGCCTCTCCTGGAGCTAAGCTCCTGTCGTCCTTCACCATGTTGGTCGCATTGACTGCTCGAGACCTGATTGCACCATCATCGAGACGTTGTTGCTGTGCGTCCTCTATCTCTTCTGCCGTTGTGTAACACGTCGTATTACTTCCACCTAGCATTTCTTGTTCTCCGGATTGTGTTGTCTTATAGAACTCCTTGTTTTGATGCCGCTTCTTTGCTGCAGCAGCGCCAAAGCCTGCACTTGTTACAGGTGCGCGTTGAACAGTGCCAGGGAAGCGGAATTCAGTCATAGGTACGTTCTGATCGTCCGATATTTGATCACCGCCAGTTGTTGATGCTAAAGGAACAGGCTTAGGCCCTCCTCCATGGGGACCATGATGTGCACTAGAACTAGAAGTACCTCCACTCGTTTTATAACCACCACCAGCAGTCGTAGAAGAAGTCAAAAGATGCGGTGGATTCACATTTTTCACGTAAATGCCGGATATTCCTTTACTGTTTTGCCTGACATTTGGAGTCGGTCCTCTCGATAACGTCGAATCTTTGAAAAGAACCGCCTGTGGCTGGTTCTTCATCAAATGAGCTCTATAATTACTGCCACCATGGATGAAGTCGGCCGCGTGGTCGCCATGATCTTCATCATCCTCTATGATTCGCATGTCATCCTCCATGTCTGGTTGTAGTTGGCTTTTCTTTGTTCTAGGCCCTGGCGCAACTCTTGATCTACCTGTTGTTGATGTCCCAGTCGTACTACAAGGACCCTTAGAAGTACTCGACATTTTCTGCCACTTTGCATTCTTGTGTAGCTCCGTCAAGAAAACGCTCCCCACATCCTCACGAGAACCCAATAACACTCGTTCGTCGACGGGTGCTATAGCAGCGAAGGAAGTGGTCGCTCCTGTGCTGTGATCACGTCGAAGTAGAGCTGACTCCTCTTGAGGATCTCCACCAGGATAAAAAGCGCATTCTTGTGTAATAAAAAATCCACCAACGCCGTCGTCTGCTGGTGAGACAGGGGATAGAAGGCATGCACCTGATTCAGTGTGGTGGTTGGGAGGTTCGGGTGTGGTGGTTGGGAGGTTAGGGTGTGGTGGTTGTGAGCTTACTTACATTTTACATTCTTTTCTTAGTTGCAGGTGTGAGTGTCGTCTTCTTCATACTGCAGCTGCTTAGAAGTAGGTAGTTGTTAAGATCGGAGCTACATCAAGGATCGTCTATTTGGTTTTTCTCCGAAGTAGCAAGTCGCATCAAAAGACATCAAGATAACAGATCTGGAGATGACCGATCAGTAACTACTTAGACCCGATCTGAGAGTACCTGTCGATCCGAGTCGATCTGGAGGTGACAAACTGTTGTATTGCACGATTCTCCCCCCTTCACCTCCATATTGATTCATGTTTCCTCCACCACCTCCACTTTCGCCAATTCCGCCATGAAACGCCTGCCCTTCAACAACAGCATGTTGAGTAGTCTGTTGGGCATTTGCCTCTCCCGCTTCTTCTCTCACTTTTTTGTAGCGGTTGTACAATTGCCTCTGAAAGCCTTGGGGCACTCGACTGGAGAGGTAAGCTCCGAAACGGTGTGGCTTCAGAGGTGCGAACGGCCTCAGACTAGGCATGCACATCTCCTCTTCGCGTTTTCTTTCGTTGTACTGCACGCGACCACCTGTGTGCTGGGCTTCGCCGGGCGGGGGGGTTAGAGGAGGAGAAGGGGGATGAAGAGCAGGAAACAAGATGGAGGACAGTAAAAATGCACCTTTACCGTCTACCTGGTGCGGGTGCCACGTCATAAAAGATAATAAATAAGTACCTGACCACCTGCTGAGGTCGACGAAGTTCTTTCAACTATTGTTCATAAAGGATATTGCTCCTCAGCATTCCTGTCTCCTGGAGCGCGCAACTTGCTTCGTTTGCTCACTGTCGTACGTGCGTAGCTGCGTTTTTTCGCCTCACGTTCGTTACCAGATCTAGACAACAGCCGCCTACCGTTACCATAAGTTTCATCTTGGTCGTTTTCCTTGTCCTGTCCGCGTTCTCCTTCTCTTCCCTCAGCATCCTGATCATTCCCCTCTCCTGTGTTGAACTCCCTAGCCCAGTCTGCACCTGTTGTCGATCGGATGTTCTGTAAAGCTGCTGCAACGTCACTCGGAACGCGTGATCCCTCATCTTCCTCCATTCTCGACTTCTCGTCTTCTTCTTTTGCTAACAACTGCGCTGCTATGACGCTGTTGCCCAACATCGACCTTCTATGATGCGGGTGCGCCCCAATGGGAGAGCTTGGCACTCTCTCGTGGTTTCTATGGCCAATCAGAGGTCGTTGCGAGGATGTTGAGAAATGTTGAGCAGTATGATCTCCAGCTTCACCATGTCGTGATTCTACTTCCTTCAACATCAACGGGTTTCTAGGATCCTCTTCTCGGTGGTCTTCTATTGATTGCAGCTTACTTGTTCCCTCGTTTATTCCTCCTCCTGCACTAGAAGACGATGCACCTCCTCCTACCCCGCCTATTATTCCCCCATCTTCGACTTCTTGCTCCATGCTATTGTTCAGATGAGGGAGATAAGTTGCAGCAACTGTATTCTTCACAGCAGCCAGGAGCTCTTTGCAAAGCGCGTTGTTCACCGAAAAGAGGCGACCGCCTAGACGACCTGGGAAACCATTGTCCCACCTCGTTATCAGCAGCATGACATTCTCCAATCCAAGCGTGTCAGACAGTAGACTCAGCAGTTTACCTCCAGCACCTTGCTCGCCTCCATCCTCGTATCCACTACGGAGGCACATCGAAACTCTACTATGAATACTAGAAGTAGCTTCTCTATGACCTCTATGTTGAACAGCACCGGACCTGCTAGTGCTACTTCTTTCTCTATTTGCGCGTTGTTGTCTTGTTTGCTCGTCTTCTCTTCTGTGTGATGAAATCGAAGCACCGTAGTCGATACCGTCTATGAAGTGTGGCTGTTCGTCAATGCTATTTTTCATCTTCTCCATATCACCTTCTTCTTCACTCGAAGAAAACGCCAACCGTTCTCGCAGGTCTGCTCCGCCAAACGTGTTGTCGGCAGACAGTCCTCCAGCATCGTGTTCTTCTTGTTGAATCCGATACGCATAGATCCAATTTCTGACGTTGTGAAACCTTCGATCCTGCTGCAAGATAGCCAGCATTGGAGCCACTTGCTCCTCTGAAGTGACACAGCAAACATGAGCTTGGAATATGCTCTTGCTCACCACGCGCTTCCTTCCGCTTGTCAGGGTCGAGAAAGGCAAGGACAGCAGATGCGATTCATCGGTGACGGGACCAAGCAGCTCTGAAAACTTGGCTTCAAGCTGGTCTTGTTCATGAGCATGGATCGGACCTAGCTCGTAAGGCATCACTTGATGTTGGACGGACATCATGTTTTGTTGTTCTCTGTGAAGATTGTTTCACTACTATCTGAACATCACGGGAGAGTGGCACTAGTGGGACACTACGACTTAGTACTGATCGACTAGCCTGGTGTGGCCGATGAAAAATGCAATGGTGGTTTGCTCGAAGAGAAAGTGGTCAACACACAAGAGTTATGAATGAATGAATGTACCCACTCCAGCAGGGGTATAGAAGACTACTACACTACTACTTCTTCTTTCTGCTAGTACACACCCAAGAATTATGCTTGATGCCTTGGAAGCGCCTGGGAAATGTTCGTACAACCTACGCAAATACGGGCTCAAATAAACTCGGACGGATGTTGTGTAGATATTAATTGTACCGAACAGGAGGAACAGAAAGATGACACACGGATCTTCCACCGCTTCAAGAGCCATTGTTCCTCGTCACAGAAGTAGACCGAGTAATACATTGACACGACCGAACTAAACACTCTTGTTCAGCTCTGCACTCGTGCAGGAAGTTATCATTATCGACAAAACCGACCTCCTGGATAGCATGACAGAAAATGAAAACGATATTTTTACTCCATCTTGCTGTTGTATGGCTCCATATTTTTGAGACGGAGCTCGATCGGGAAAATGCGACAAGCGACTTTGTCTTCACTGCTTATCCGAAACTCAACACATTCAGCTGGTGGTTGTTTTAGCGCGCGGAAGCTTCGCTGACGGTTCTAACCCAGAGTGTTGACATCTAGATGCATAGATGCTTCCTCTTAGATGAGTGCTTTCTCTCTCAGAGTATCTTCTGGATAAGTCTGGTGAAGGTGGGACTTTAAATGTCGGGGATCATGCGAGGGGAATTGTTGTAGAGACGCAATTCAAGGAGGTCTATATTCGCCATGTTGTCCTTCCCGAACATACTCCTCTTATTTCATTTTGCATTTCTGATAAATGGAATAATCTTATTTCTTGCATTTCTGTAGGCATTCTTCCAATGCTCCAATGACTGTTTTCACGCACTCTTTGCGATTATTGTATCCCATGAGGCCAATTCGCCAGCAGACGCCTTTCAGCGTTCCAAGCGCACCTCCAATCTCGATCTCGAACTCGTCGCGCATCATGCCGATAACTTTCATCCCATCCACGTCGGCGGGGATCCTGTGTTAGAGCTGTCCTGGAAGTGGAAGGAGACTCTATTCAAACTGAAAGAGTGAACTTTCTAAATCCCGTATGCGTATCCGATTCCGAGACTCTATTCAAACTGAAAGAGTGAACTTTCTAAATCCCGTATCCGTATCCGAGACTCTATTCAAACTAAAAAGAGTGAACTTTCTAAATCCATATCGCCTAAATCCGTATCCGAGAACAAAAATACTAGATAAATGCAGACTGTAGCAGGTCTAGGTGTTCTACTGATCTTGCGTCATAATTAACAGTCGTTAGGCTCGGCACTCGAATCGCTGGATCGACAAAAGGCTCTAGACCAATTCGCTTCAACTCTGACCAGAAGTATTCAGCATTTGAGCGATGACGTGCGTGGCACTGAGACAGGCCCTCCTCCGCAACGAGGGTAAGACTTTCCCTCATAGCATATGCCATGGAAATCGGTGCCGTGTGATGGTACACTCTGTTGGTGGGATTAAGAGTTGATGTTCGAATCGCGTCAACTAAGAAAAAGACAATTCCTGTTCATTGAGGAAAATAAGTGCTTTTGTGTTCTTGTTCTACTTCGTTCTTTGCGTAATAAATAGGTGGATGTACTATCAGTACCGGTTCAGAGTTGAATCCAAATTCACAAGATCCTAAATTGCAATTTCTTGAAATCATTATAACTGGAACATTCAGACGCCAGGTGGCGCCGGCGACCGGTCCGAGTCCGAGCTGCGAGCGACCTGCACGAAGGTCCCCTTTGGGACCGATCCAGGAAAAGATCCCAAAAATCTGTGTGTGGGTCTGAATGTTCCAGTTATAATCATAAAAGCAACTATAATATAGTACCGTGGAGCCCCATCCACTGCTTCGACGTATTTCCTTATCATCGTCATATCCAAGTACCAGGAAGCAACTTTGGTTTTCCTCTTGTCCAATTTTGCCATTGCTCGAGGACGCAGGTTAGATGATCTCGGTCAGGAGATCACTCAAGAAACACTACTACATCAACCACTAATCAACAAGTCTCATTTCAATTCTTGTCAAACTTTATGTATCTATGAAAGTGGTGGAGCCAACCTCACTTCTAGGAAAATGTAGATATAAAAACAAGAATTAGTCTAAAATCTTCTAATGGCCATGTTTATTAGTATCTACAAGTTCAAACAAAGAGCCCACTAAATCTAAGAGGTTCTTTCTCATAACAAAAGTCAAAGGTGCGATTCCTGGTGGGCAGCCCATGCACTTCTGACCACCTGCGTAGGCTGCGTCAACCTTCCACTCATCCAAATAGATCGGTACTCCGCAGATACTCGTAACAGTATCCAGCATCAAGAGGCAGTCGTACTTGCGACACAATTCACCGATCTTGTCGATGTCAGGTTGGCAGACACCTAGTGTTAGTGTAGGTATCACAGGCTAGCGCAGGGATGGCGACATCCCTGCGCTGCTGTTAAGTTTATTAAGTGCGGTCGGTTTGTCTCGTATAAGATGAAGGAGTCGAAAAAGGTGACGAGAGTGGAGAACTATTAGACCGAGGGGGTAGGCTAGAGCTGAGAGTAGGGGAAAGAGGTAGAACGGAAAAACCGACTATGCTAAATAGCTTAGCAGAGCACTGAGGCAAGAACTGTGGAAAACGTGCGACGCTGCCGATAGCTGAGCCCGATAGTTCGAGAAAAATGCGCGCCATTTTTACACACTGAGCCCTTTTGCATTTCACTGCAGCCAAGCGGAAGGCGATAGAGATTGGCAGACGTCTGCGCCGCACCATGTGGCAAAACGATAACAGAGCGCCGATAGGAAAAGCCACAGCGGTGCGCGTTTTTTTCTAGCTGCTTAACGCTTTCGGGGTAGTTTCGAGCTGTTACAGAATACGCCCGAAGATGATTACGAAACCGAAACGATAGAGAGCCGCCCCCACTTCTTTTGTAGCAAGTGCGCGTCGCTTTTGCGGTTATTGTCTGACCCACGCCGCAGATGTTTAGCGAAAATATAACACACGACGTGCGAAGCAAGTTACTTCTTAGCAAAAGCGAGCGCATCGCATCGCTTGACTGACATGGGCCAACTCCCTACGGTGCACACTGCGCCGCTGAACATTAAGGAAATCGAGCGCATGGCGAGCAGTCACGCGCGCCGCTTTGCTATACTTTACGGCGGTCGCCATTATCGACGAAACTGGTGCGGTCTGAAGATGTTGCAAACATCACAAAAAGAACCGCAATCACCTGACTCGGCGCCACAGTCCGAGTTTGGGCCTGTGCCTTCTTCAGAATGTGGATCAGAAGCAGCAGAATCCTCAGACTGGCAAAGCCGAAGACATTGCAGAGCCCTGCGCGCAAAAAAGTCGAAACCTGCCCGGGAGAGGTTGCTAGGCTTGAAGTTAGCACTGAGGAACCTCGTCGATTCTTTCTAAGACTCGCCCTGACTCTTCAAGATTATTAATATCTTACTCGCTGCTTTTTCAGCTTCTCACTCTCCAGCCCAATACCCATCAGCAGCGCGGCCTGGTAAGGTGTAAAAACCCAGCCGACGATCTTGGATGACGTTGCAGAGCGTTCGAGGCGCCCGCCTTTGAAAACTGGCGCGACAGGTACCGCCTCCACGCAGCACCCGCGGCGTCTTGTCCCACGTACTACGAGGGCGCACCTTTTGCGCAATCTGCTCGGCTCCGATTGCGCCATAGAAAGGCCGCAAGCTTATGAGAAAGCCCCGACATGCTTCGCGCGCACTGTCATGCGCCGCGTTTTTCTTTGTGCAGGTTTTTGGTGCTCGGGCTTTTAACTTTTTGCAGCGGCGCGGGGTTTTTTCTATGATTTTGCTAATTCTGTCGCGCTTGACATTGTTCGCCAGGCGCTTTAGATGTTTCTGAGGAAGCGGCGCGGAGTATTTTCTTCATGTTGTGGCAGACAGTGCGCTGCTGTGCCCATTTCAAACACCGCGAGACGAATCTCCTTCCTTCGTCAGCTGTTCGCTGGAGTACACGTCGCAGCAGTTGCAAACTCCTGCGCCCCCAAGTCAGTCACAAATGCATCAGCCTGGTAAGCCCCGAACAGGCGCGCCAGCTGTGTAACGGCATTCCACGGCCGCGCTTTGCTGAAGAGCTTGGCTGCTGCTGTAACTGCGTCTCGTCTCCAAACTTCTCTGGCTTTCATGTCTGCCCTGCTTTAGTGGAAAGGCCGCCGATCGAAATAGTGAAAGACTTGGCTGCGAGCCTGCTCCCGTTCATTCCGGGCGCTGAACGCTTGCGGAAACTGTTCGGCGTGCACAGTAAAAGCTTTTGGCGCCAGCGGGTATGTCTCCTGCCATATCTCGCAGATTGTGAAGAAAACCAGCGGCCAGCTATGTCGGTGCAATTGTGTCGATTTCGCGAGCAGTTTGCATTTCTAGCCGTTGCGTTTCGTGCCTCGCTCTGCTGGGTTCATTGACATTGACTGGCGAAGAACTAACGAGCTTGAGCGTATGGGGAGAGGTTATTAACAGCGTTGCTCTCTCACATAGTGGCGAGAAGTAGCCGCACGAAGTCGACGGCTTAGCCAGTTGCGCCGCGGTTCCATATTCACACTCTTCCTGGCTTGGCAATGCTCTGCAAAGACAGCAAACGAGGCGCCTAAATGCGTGAGGGTGGCGCCTTTGTTGATTATTCTATAACTCATAGGCGACACGTTTCTGGCTGTTGACTGTGAGCATGAGAGCAAAGCTGCCCAGAGGCTCACTAAGTTATTGGGCCAAGGAGTGCGCAGACTTAGAGGCAAAGCGAAGCTGCCTCACAGAATGGCTGACGACTGTGAAAAAAGAGCAACGGGAGACTATGCGCTGCGCTCCATTTTAGCGAAGTTGGAGGACACGGATAAGAGAAGGAGGGAGCGAAGCTCTTTGGCAAGTTATTAAGCCAGGCGGTGGCGTCGGTGAGTGAATGCGGCTTGGCTAATGAATGACATGCATCCAAAAAAAAGAAGCGACGTCAGTGCTGCTGCATTTTATGGAAGCCGGGCGCCCTTCTGGTTGTGATCTCGGTGGGCCACAGTTGAAGACTCAGATCAGAACACAACGCAAATAGATATCGAGCGAAAAACTACACTCACGCTAAAGTCTAACTTTTTCAAAGTCTGAGCTTGAGGGCAGTCTCTTACCCGATTTTATTACGGAAAGAATAACGAACGCTATGAAACACATTGCGGGGGTGTATTGCCTCAAGACATTCACAAGATTCGTGGGCTCTGAGGCTGGCCAATGGCGTCATACGTCTAGGAAATTTGCGCCATCTTCTGGCAATTAATTTAAAAAGTGCGCTGGTGCCATCCTGGAAAGCTGTGCCTGTCAAAGTAAGCGAGCCGTCTTCAGTAAGAGAATAGGCGCCGGCCTTTCTCAGTCGTGAAGCGAAATGAGAACTCTTCACTTCTGCTGCGGCAGTCTTTTGCTGGTCTCCTGTGAAAGTTTCTTATCTTTGTTGCGTTTATGATCAAAAAAAGCGCTGAGGGGTTTGATGGCGTAGAGACAAAGACAGCGACGGGCCTCAGATAATCTGACTTCGTAGCGACTAGCTCATCGTCGACTTCCTTTGTCTCTCTTCTTTGTCTTTTACCTTTGTCAAAGCCTCAAAAGCCTCTCCGTCTGGGCCCATCTTTAGGCCAAGATATAAAGGAAAAAAATGCAGTATACCGTGGCGCAAGAGAGAAAAATGACGAGCGTCGACTTTCATTCTAGCTTATACGAGATACTATGGAGGCTGTTTTGTTTGTTGTTGTTCACGTGAAGATCGTCGCTACTTAGAAGAGTGTATGAAAGAAGGAAAGCTGCTTATCATGGACAAGTTTGTTTCTACTGAGGATTCTACAATTGTCTCTGTCACCGAGTCACGAGTATCTTCTGGTGAAGTTTACGCCTACTACGCAATCAATACCAGTGCTCGTCTCCGCGTGGCAGATCCACATCAACGTCGGACTGTACTTTTTCAAGCCCTCTTCCACTTCTTCCACTGAAAATGCTTGCCCATATGGTTTGCTAATGCTTTCAATCTTATCCGTGTATCTTCCATGCATATCCAACGCCCTCTCTCCGAAATAGCGAGGGTTAGATAGAGGTGAGGTGGAGGGGGGAATCGGCGGAGAAGTAAATGGGCGTCAAGTTAAGGGCCAACCTCTCTTCTTGGTATTCTCCATCACAATTGCAAGGGTAGGAATGTGAGCGACAGCATGGTAGGGTCTAAACCGTCGTAGTCATCATATGTTGACCTTGAAGTTGAAAATGACCACGATAACAATCAACTGATTCTTCATAACATTGATGCAAATCAAATGCGTGTCACCCCACTCGGTCAAATTCGCGATCGCGGCTTCCCATGCAGCAGACCCGGTACCGGAGACTGGTACCGTAAACGGATTCGACGTTTGCCAAACATACCTGAAGAGGAGAAGTTGTGACGATGTTGATGACGTCGAGATAATTCAAACGTGAGGGGAAGTTGTGACGATGTTGATGACGTAGAGATAATTCAAACGTATGGGATCATCTGTGAAAGGCCATATTCAACGGACAACAACACGATTTTTTTTAGTATTCATAGAATAGACAATCCGGTGGTGCTCCTGATCCTGCTCAACAGCACTTTATCGGTTCAAGAAAAAGAGCAATACCTCAACAGCACTTTGATTTCCTCCATAATTCTCATGAAGTCCCCATCCATATGCCCGATTTGAGGAAGGGCCATCGCAGAATGAACCCTAGGATGAGCATTTTGAGGGCCAGGACCTAGAAGCAAACGCCTCACTGGGTTTAGCTGGGGCCGAATCTCCTTCGTTTCGAGAGGATTCTTTACGATAGTCGTCATGGTTCCTGCGTGGAAGCTTCTGGAATCGACTTTCTGTCGTTTCAAGACAGGAGAAGACGGAGGACTCATGCACTTATTGATTTTGATGTCAGAAAAAGATTGTATAGATAGTAGGTTTTATGAATATGAAGTTTTTGTGTTAATTATTCTTGCGTTCTTGTTGTGCTTGTGGTCGTGGTACTAGTGTTGCACTTCTCGAGAAAGCCTGCGCACAATTACGAAAATTGTTCATTAAAATATTTGCTTCCTGATAGTATCGGTATCCTGTAGAAAAAAATTAGAAGTCAAGGAGAGCCTAAAGTTTTCTGTGGGAAGTGGGAAACTCTCTTTAGAAGTCAAGGAGAGCCAGTGGGAAACTCTCGGAACTCCTACTCAAACTGCATGATCATCATCACCTTCATCTCTGCCACTTTCCACCTCAGGACTGCACGGAACCAGAACAGCGAAGAATTCCTAGTTATCGGCGAAAGTCGTGTTCCTCCTGGATGAATTTCACATTGGTGTGGATATTCTTGGTCAATGAATTGAAGATGAATGTCCTCGATAGCTATGTATAAAAGCTTCTACTCTTTTCACATTTTTTCGGTGGTCGCCGTTGAGTTGTTTTTCATAGAGAAGTTCGTGAGCAACCTTGGTGGCTGATTCAGAAGAGGTTTGGCAGCAGTTCTTTTGCTTGGAAAATTGGAATCTTTCATGATCCGCTCCACCGTGCTGTAGTAATCTTGTATGACCAACTTGCTTTATTGATCATGCGTTTTACTCTTTTCCCGAGAGTAATCACTACCTCCATGGTAGTTTCTAATATCTACCATCTACTTGGAAAATGTTACTGCTAGGCAGTTATCTATATCTATAACCGTCCACATCTTGTATCTTCAACTTCAATGAGTAACTAAAGGTCGACCCAACTTCGATCCCCTAGTCTACCTCCATATCGAAGAGTCAGAATCATTTGTCGCTCAAGGCGGCCACTCCTGGCAGCACCTTGCCTTCCAACAGTTCGAGCGACGCTCCTCCACCAGTAGAGACGTGCGAGATTTCGCCAGCACGACCAGCATTCTCCACCAGGCTAGCTGTATCTCCTCCACCGACAATGCTGCAAGCTCCGGCTTTCGTGGCCTCGCAAACGGCGTCCAGCATAGAGAGAGAGCCTTTGGGGTCCTTAGAGGGGTTGGTGTCTTGAGGGTAGAAGACAAGCCGGGATTAGATGCCATCTGCACCTTTGGTTTTGATGCACTGGAGTACGTAGTTGTTCTGTATCTATAGTACACTTACAACCGTCAAAATTGAATTCAATGGTGGTTCGGCTCTCCAGTTGTTGTACAAAAGAAACGAACCGGCTTGATTCACCGAATGCTAACTAAAGTTTCACCATAACAAAGTTCTCGAATTCGAAGACTCCTTGAGGGCCGTTCCAAACAATCGTCTTCGCTGTCATGATCATCGCTTTGTTGGCCTCGATAGACTTCGGACCACAGTCGAGACCCATCCACCCGTCTGGGATGCCTGGTGGCGTCAGCGAGGAGGTGGAGAATTATATGTTGTTTATAGGACGATGAGGCTCTTCAATTATGTTGGTATATAGAGGCGAATTCCGGGTGGAGGTGATGAAAAAATGTACTCAGCGCGACTGCGCTCTGGGACTAGTACAACTAAAAGATGAGGTCTCAAGACCAGAAAGACAAGTGAAAGAAAATGCTACCAGTAGAGTCATCAGCTGCTTTCATCTCAGCATCTGCAGCGAACTTATCAGCACAGAGATAATCCGTAGGAATTTGGATTTTTACTCCCTTTTCCTCCGCTTTCTTCAAAATTTCTGGAACAATTGCTGCACCCTCTTCGTCGTAGAGAGATGTGCCTGAGGAAGGTAAGGTGCGGGAGTAGATTGGTGGCGGTATCCAAGACTTGAATTCGCGAAACCAAGTATTTCCTCGACATCTACGACTAAATTGCTTAAATGCTCGTAAGTACGTTCATCGCCAAACCCAAATGATCATGCACTTTTTTATATGTCTAGTATCTGAACGTGAACGTTGATACCAATGCTCATGCCTGACATAACTTTCTTGAACGTGTAGGCCATGCCACCGCCAATGATCATCAAGTCGACCTTATCCAGAAGGTTCATGATGAGCTGAATCTTGTCCTTCACCTTTGCTCCACCCAAGATAGACAAAAATGGTCGCGCGGGTGATTCAAGGGCCTTTGAGAGAAAGAAGTGGTTTACTGGGTGTAAGGTGTTGGACGGATATGGAAGATAAATCTTCTCATGTTTGTACGACATGAGGAAAAGGCAAGAGCAAGTCAGTGTTGTGCTTTACTCAGAGTAAGAGCTTGCGACTTCATCACGACTAGTGCAGGCACGGAATTACATCTCAAGACGTGCGGGAGACAACGAATGATTACCTTCGCAAAGTAGTCTAGCTCCTTCTTCATGAGGAGTCCAGCCGCCTTCACCTGGCAATCGACGCCGACCATTGAACTGTGAGCTCGATGCGCAGTTCCGAACGCGTCATTGATATAGATATCCGCGTAGCTCGATAACGCACTCCTGAATTTCGTGACATCATCCGACGATGCTTTCGTCTTGTTACCGTCTGCGTCGACCTTGTGTGTACAAAAGGTCGCATAGGAGAGGGTACGAGTGATTACGGCAATCGCAAAAGAACGACAGACGGTAACTGAGGATGGAAGACACTCATTGAACAGAGTTTCCAGACATCAGAGAAGCGTAATTATATGAAGTGGACGAGGAATGCAAACAAGAGCGACGTACGCCAGAAGCAGGAAAGCGAACGTGATGTGTACCCCCTTGCCTTCTTCCTCCACGAAGAAGCGAAGGTTTTCGAGCAGCGCGACCTCCGGTAAAGGTTGCATCTTCTCCAATTCACCGACCGCACTCGGCACAAAAGCAACGGACTGTCCCGGGAGCATCTTCTCCAGGCAACCGACAACCGGTTTCAGGGAATATTTTTCCTGCACTCGACCATCAGGTCGGCCGAGATGTGACATCAACACCAGCGATTTCGGCTTATACTCCAGTACTTTCTGGATCGTCGGTAGTGCTGCTTTGATCCGAGTATCGTCTTTCACCGTTGAGTTTGTTTCCTTGTCTAGCGGCACGTTGAAGTCAACTCGCATGAGCACACGCTTATCTGCGATGGCGCTAGCGTTGACATCATCCAGTCCGAACTTTGAGGAGAGCACAACCGTCATTTTGTTTCTGGTATGTCGTGGAATGGCTGATGCAGTAACGCTAACGGCCCGTATATAGTATAATAAAACGAGGTATTTGTAGTGGACAGAATGCAATGACACAAAACGAGATGGACTTATGACAAACACTTAGGACAAAGACACTGCCTTCACCTCACAATTCTGTGTTACACTCGTTCCCTGTTGATGTATTAACAGACCAGTGTTTGCTTTCAACATTCTCTCCATAATATGACCGATGGATGGACGAAATCGGGTACCTACACAATCGCTGATCCATCGTTGTTTCCTTAGTTTTGGCACTTGAATCGATGAGGCTTCCATTTCTATTCTTTGTTGTATTTCATTCTGGCAGGAAACCGATTCGTGTTGACATCAGACTTTTTTCAAACCGACAGAACTGACAGTACACCTCCATGCAAGACTGAACGCTGCCTCTTCAACGTGCGATAGCATGTGAACAACATCGTACTTCACAGCCAACAAAATCCCCTGCGGTGGCGCCCAACGCCTAAACTTTTGATTTTACGCCTCAGCCTGCGTTGACATCTTCGTCTAACTGCAAGGGATCAAAAGCGTCTTGTGTTCATGAAATCATGATCACGTCTCAAACCTCAGAGAGGTCTTAGAGGAAGTGATTTACATGGGCTCCATGTCGTACTCACCCTCCTCTTCGTCGAACTCACCTTCCTCCTCGGCGGTGGCGTCCTGGTACTGCTGGTACTCGGAGACGAGATCGTTCATGTTGGACTCAGCCTCGGTGAACTCCATCTCGTCCATACCCTCACCGGTGTACCAGTGGAGGAACGCCTTGCGGCGGAACATACCGGTGAAGTACTCGGCGACGCGCTTGAACATCTCCTGGATGGCGGTGGAGTTACCCAAGAAACCGACGGCCATCTTCAAACCCTTCGGCGGGATGTCGCACACGGAGGACTTGATGTTGTTCGGGATCCACTCAACGAAGTATGAGGAGTTCTTGTTCTGCACGTTCAACATCTGTTCATCGACCTCCTTGGTGGACATGCGTCCACGGAACAGGGCGCACGCGGTGAGGTAGCGTCCGTGACGCGGATCGGCGGCGCACATCATGTTCTTGGCGTCGAACATCTGCTGGGTCAACTCCGGAACCGTGAGGGCACGGTACTGCTGGGAACCACGAGAGGTCAGCGGGGAGAAACCCGTCATGAAGAAGTGCAAACGCGGGAACTGAAGGAGTTGGTCGGGAAGGCGATTGAAAGATTCAAGAAGGTGAGGTCCAGAAAGGTCGACTCTTCAAATACTCAAGAGATGAGAACTTCATATTCTTGTACGAAGAAGGATCAAGTTCTCACGGAAATCAACACTAGATGAAATCCTCCATGGCTATGATCTGGATTAAGATGACATGCGGAGACACGACTTCCAGGTTGGAAATGAAAGGTCATTTCTACCAAGGATGCAAACTCTAGTTTCAAAAGTGAAAAGAAATAGTACCGGAATCATGTTGACGGCGACCTTACGCAAATCGCAGTTCAACTGACCCGGGAAGCGGATGCAGCAGGTGGTGGCGGACATGGCGGCCGAGACCAAGTGGTTCAAGTCACCGTAGGTGGGGGTCGTCAGCTTCAAGGTACGGAAGCAGATATCGTACAGGGCCTCGTTGTCCATCATCATGACCTGATCGGCGTTCTCGACGAGCTGATGGAAGGACAGCACGGCGTTGTACGGCTCGACGACGGTATCGGACACCTTCGGGGACGGGATAACGGAGTAGGTGCTCATGATTCTGTCCGGGTACTCCTCACGGATCTTGGAGATCAAGAGCGTTCCCATACCGGAACCGGTTCCTCCACCGAGGGAGTGGACGAGCTGGAAGCCCTGAAGGCAATCGCAGCCCTCAGCCTCCTTACGGACGACATCGAGGACGGAGTCGATCAACTCGGCACCCTCGGTGTAGTGACCCTTGGCCCAGTTGTTACCGGCACCGGTCTGACCGAACACGAAGTTGTCCGGGCGGAAGAGCTGACCGAACGGACCAGCGCGGACGGAGTCCATGGTACCGGGCTCCAAGTCCATCAGGACCGCGCGGGGCACGTAGCGGCCACCAGTGGCCTCGTTGAAGTACACATTGATGCGCTCCAACTGAAGGTCGGAGTCACCGTGGTAGGTACCGGTGGGGTCGATACCTGAAGAGAACGTTTGATTGTAGTATGAGACAGGCGAGATTCGGAGGAGATGAGAGTGATGTTTTGGAAATTGACGCTCAGTTCCGTCAAACGGTCTTTCGTGAATCCACATACGGATATCAGGATCACCTTCACATATATCTACCCTCAAAAGGAGAGATATCTGCAGAACTTACGACGTGTTCTCAACCTACAACATGGTATTCGAAAGCATTTGCAGTCGCAGATTACGCTTACACCTACACAAAAACTACATACTAAGGGGAAAAGAATACCATGCTCATCGGCGATCACCTCCCAGAACTTGGCACCGATCTGGTTGCCGCACTGGCCACCCTGGATGTGAACGAGCTCACGCATTTTGTTGTTTTAGCGCCCAACAAAAAACAAGACCGCTACAGAATTTTGGTTTTTGAAATGGAATGAAGATAATTTTTTAATGGATTGCGATAGGACAAGAAAATACATTAAAAATTCTTTGATGACTTGCCTTTCAACCGGCTTTGCAATGAATTGAATTTCAGATGAGACAAAATTGAGACAGTACCTTCAGCTCAAACGTGAAAATGAAATAGTAACCAACCAGAATATGACACCTACCCAAGGTGAATGAGAAAAACTCCAACATATTGGATATTCTTATGAATACAAAAAAAAATTCTAAATCTAAATGACGCTCATCTCAATCCACATTTCTTTTCAAAGGTTTTTCAAGCGACACAAAAAACTCAATGCTGTTCATTCCCACTCCCGTGAATTTAGTGGTTGCCGTCGACAAGAACACGAAATAACAAATACTTTGAGGTGGCTCCCTGTGATACCACTCACGCGTCCACTCTTACAAGCACTGTCAGCATATTCAAAAACTTACTTCCTCTTGATCTGCCTTTCCGGCAATTTCGACTTGCTTTTTCGAAGACCCAAGGTCGGGTGCTTTGAGGTTTTGAAAACGACGAATTGTTTTAGGTCCATTTAGAAAATCGAAATACTATCTAGCTACAACATTAACCACAGGACGAACCTTGTTCAGACAAAGATTGTGGTGCTAGTTTTTTTTCTTGCTTGAAAAGACGTTTAGATTTCTTCGGAGTTAGTGAATTTTCGATGTGGCCTTGGTTAAATGAATCTTGAAAAGAAGTGCTCATTTTCTCCTACAGTTTTCGGTCTTACATCCTTCGAGGAGGCCTCTTCTAGAAACTGAATTTTTTCATCTCGCGGACTGCAGGTCCGCCATCGTCTAGCGGTGCGTAGTCTGCCATCTGCGACCGCACTTCTAGCATCACCTCCTCGCGCAGTGCGTGTCGCACACTGCTCGTCAAATACCGCTTGTAGACGCGGAAGAGCACTGCAAATAAGACGAGGACTACGCACAGCAGAATTCCAAGCCGGGGGAGCGTGATCGCCAGTCCATCTCCCGACGCCGACGCCTGGTATTTGACCAGCTCCGCAAAGTCTGCGCACTGCTGCGGCCTGTTCAGATAGCCTCCGCAAACAGCACGCATGACGAGAGACGTCTCGATCGGTCCTGAGTACCGCCAGCCGTTGATTCGCAACGCCAGTGGCGACCACGCGTGGTTGCGGATTTCGTGTGACAATAGCGTCTTCCACTCGTTTTGCGTGCACTGTTCTATCTGGCTCTTGTCAATACCGTGCTTCGCCATTGTGCGTTCAGAACACGACTTGGTAAACTTGCTGAAATTCCTGCCATACGCAGCACAGTCTGCCCAGAATGACCGCACGTACTTCCAAAAATCCTCACTGTATCCGAATAACTCGCCACCGTTCTTCACCTTTGAGTTAATGAGAAAAGGGGATGACCTTCAGTGACGGCACACTGAGGTCGAAATTATTTGATGGTTCTAACATAAGGTATCCAACTATTCCTCATACACTCCTATACTAAATACAGCAGATAAAACTACCTTGCTATCCTTCCACTTCTCGGAGTTCTTGAATATGCAGAGTTGTCGCAAATCCTCCTCCACTACCATCCTTCCTGTCGCTTTACCTGGTCCATCTGGATCTGGTGCGCAAAACTTATTCTTGCTTGACGATTCGTCGTCTGGTACCTGCAAACAAAGCTCCATGCTATCGGACTCCGCTGGCAGTGAGATGATGTGGTAGTGCGGGACGAAGCTCAACAGCTCTTTGAACGACTCAGCGAGATCGGCGAATTGCTGTAGAAACCGGTTTGCTTCGCGACTCCCAGACGAAAACCAGAAATCCGTCAAAACGTAATTCGACTGCGGAATATCCCATGCTAGCTTTACGATGACCTGTTCGTTCGTTGAGGTGAAAAAATGTGAGTGATTCGACATGCTCCCTGGGAGAGGCACAAATGGGAAGTCCCTTAGCGCTTACAGAAAAGGAAGCTGCACGCATGGCTAGCTATGCACATGCGTCTTTACAGGAGCGGCAGCACAACAAACTTGCGTCCGTGAAAACGACCTCCAAGTACAAAAACAGTACCGCTTCATGATCCTCTTCGGCTTTCCGCACTGCTTCAACAAGTCTATTTCCTTCGTAATGCGCCACAAGCAAACTCGGAATCTTCACTGCAGTTCCTGTGCCGCTCTCGTCGTCTGCCATTATCGTTGCCTGTATCTGCTCTGCCGTTTTCGGTGACTCGTCTTTGCTAGTATGAAAGCGAGGTCGCGGTAAAATGGAGGATTTAAATGATGAATCTTACATATACTCCCGCATGCTGCTACATGCTCCTGTTCTTTGTCACTACCTACGCTGACACCCGCTTGGCCGGGTGTAGCCAAACATGACAGCAACATCTGATAGATATCCTGCTATTCGACAGTGCCTAAACAACTTCTTTTCACTGCCTCATAATCAACGATGATGACTGCAGCTGCGCGCTTGTCTTGTTCTGCAATCCTCACCTTCTTCGCAAAGCTACAGCTTCCACGCCGCACTAAGACTATCGGCATGAGGTTGCTTTCATCTGGCGGATAAGACGATGCCGGAAGGTCGTAATCATCGCTGGTGCAGTACTGCTCCCCTGTCTTGCTATCGCCGTATAGTAGCTTTCCCAGTACTCGTGACCCGTAGTACGGTGCGCCGAAAGTCGCCGTTGTTCCGTAGCAGAAATGAAGATGGTTTGATCAGTCATGTTGTACCTAGCAAAAGCGCGAACTCCTAATTTCTCAGCCTGGAATACTCTCTAGCAACACTTCTCATACGACCAACGCTCACTAATAACCTTTGTGATATTCTTGCCATACACAGTCGACCCGGTCCTGGCAAACTCATCTCGGAGAGACTTCGGTGAGATAACGTGTATCTGCGCGAGTACAGCTGAAATCGAAGCCACGGATGCGAGACACCGCTGTATTCTACGCTGGGAAACGGCGTAGCGTCTCCCAGTGGCAAGGCGACCGGATGTCTGTCGTTTCTTGCTGGGGGGCGCAAGTCGTGATGTTTCCTTCAACGTAGCTCGCGACGCAGATGCGTCTTGTCCACCGCAAAACGGCTGCATGTTTCCTTCACCGGTATCAAACGACCATCCGTGGTGGCAAAAATACTTCATTTCACAGTGGCACAGACGCCACTGTTACAAATAGAAACTACAGCTACTTAGTTTGATTTGGTGAATCGCGTTACCGTGAGGTATGGAAATGAAGTTGAGGTACCGGCACTGCAGCAGATGCTACAGCCAGTATTGATCATCCATATGTCAATGCAGTTCTTACGGTCTACCAGGCATCTTCCGTTGCACGCTTGAATCGCAGGAACGTCTGCTTGGCTCCTGCCCTGTCTTCCATCCCATCGTTCACTGCAGCATCCAACTCTATATCCAGAAACGATCCGCTCACTCCGATAAACGTGATTCTTGATCTGTACATAGGATTTCTGTACAATTATACGTGTGTCCGTTCATCACATCAATCACACAAGCAAAAGCGGCGATCTATGTGTGATACCTAACAAGCAATGCGCATATTGCCGGTACAATGCATCAGGTATTTTCTGAGAGTCTTTGCCAGGTGTGCGTTGCCCTGCTCACACTGCCCTTTACCTACACTCGTACCCCAGCCTTCATCATCAGATGTGAAACCCCATTCTTCATCAACGACCCCTCCGGAAAACTTTGCTTCACCGAAAATCGCTCGCCTCGAAATTCCCCCGTTCACGATCGCATAACATGGATCTGACTGTCCGTCTTTGCGATCGTGCACCTCCGCAACCGTTACTGCCCGCTGTCGGTAACCACGTATCAACGAAACAAGTCGATCCAACGTCACCTGCTTCCACGTGCCTTGGCCCTTCTTTTCAACTTTCCTCCAGGCCCACTCGGAAACTGCGTCTAGAAATCGCAACTGCACCTCTCGTTCGAAGTCGAACTGTGATTAGAGCTTCGCGCAGACTTTGTTCTGCTGGTACGGAAGATATGATACACTCGCTTGCAGCACATGACGAAGCAAGACATCAATCACTACCGAGTCAAGAAAGCCAAAGCGAAACAACCTACTTCTTATGAAGTACAACCCGTCCTTAACTCTGTTGAACTTGCCTTCTCGGAAAAACCCCTGCCAGGCGCTTATCCTCGTTTCCTTCCTCAACATCAGACGCGTTTATCGGCTGAAAACGTCTACGCGAGGATCCCACTACAGCGTCCAGGATGTCAAAGCGTGCCGGCGTTCTCTCGACGTCCGCCGCAGTCGTTTCGCTAAGTCGCTGTCTGAAGAGCTCCACCACTTCCTCGCTTGGAGTTGAATGTGTTTGCAAGTTCAGCATATTCCACAACTCGTGGAGGCTCAGTTGCTTTTGCAGCGTTTTCCGTCTCAACACAATCAGATTGTACATCTGTGTATGTTTCGGACTGTGCTCGACGAAGGTAGCCAGCCGGCACACATCTGCGTAGTCGAGACTGGCTAGATGTCGCATCAAGAGCGTCAAAAGCCGCTGCTTATCGTGGCCGGATAGACGGAAAGACAAAGATCTGGAGTTCATTCGTGTACTCGATGATGACGCCTCCGTCTCCATTTCGTTGGACGATATGATGGCCTCGTCATCGTCGTCTAACACACGTGCTCCAAGTGCCGCTCCAGCATCCTCCTCACATCCGTTGTACTCGACAAGCGCGTCCACGATAGAGGATAGCTGCTCTGTCGCAGTCCTCTTGCGGATGCCCATTGGTTCTGCTCCTCTGCCTGCCGTACTGGTCGTTGCAACGTCACCGTGGTATGCTAGAGCTCCAGCTCGTCCTCCTGCTCTCGACGAATATTCCATGAGGCTGCTGCGGTCTCCTGTTCTGCTCATCGAATCGTTCGCCAAGAAGCCACACGAGTCCCGCACCCACTCAGACAAGCCCGTTTTCCAAGCCTTCTGTAGTCGCTTCTCTGTAGCTGGTGAGAAGAAGGTTGCTCTTCTGGTTGAAGAGCAACCTTCTCGGACCTCATGCTCGAAACAAGACACTTCGCGTAAAGTCTGGAGCCTTAGAAAGATGACTCGGTGCTCCAGCCCCCTCTTCAAGCTCAAGCAGGTCAAACTCACCTTAATAACCGTCGTAAATAGTTTAATATGGATCTTCAATCAGAATCAGATTCACAAAGTCTTGCGTTACAAATCACTTGATGTCGTTCGCGGTCGCAGTCATTCACATTTTCCTGATCCTGTCATAACAATCGTTCCGATAGCGAAGAGCCGCACCCAGACAGTCCCAAAAGCTGACGAGACAGAACTTCTGCCAACGAGTGCACCAAGTTCGCATCGTCTATCTCATTATGAAAGAAACAACGAAGAGCTAGCAGAGCGTCTTGCACGGAAAGCTCCCTCTGCCGTTCCAACAACGCATCTGCAACCAGAAGCCACTGCTCAATATTATCTGGTGCCCACTGCTGCTGCTCTACAGCTCCGTTGGCCGCTTCCTTGCTGATAGTGCCATCTGGGTTTTCCGCTCCTTCCATCTCCCTCAACAATTCATCTGCGAGTCTACGATCACGTGCGAACGACTTTTCCAACTCGGACATGTTTTCTGGATGATTCTTTTTGTGGTCGGCTTCCGGCATACAAGCGTCTCTTCGAATGCACGTCTGTCGTTCTTTGAGTTTCGAGACGAGAAAATTACGCGTCGAATTCGACATCCCTGCCAAGCGGCGTTGCGAGGACGCAAACATTTTCTTGCTCAGCCTTAGTCGATGCTCCTTAGTATACGAAAATATTGAGTTTTGAAAAAATGTCGTTTACTTGTAGGAGTGACGACTGACTTTATCATATAAAACAATCTTTCTATTATCATACGTTGTCTAAAGACATCTACGCGAGGACTGATAGAAAACTATTATAAGTAGTCCCATCTATGTCTATCAGCACCCACAAGGATCTTCAACGATATTCTGTGCAAGTAGAGAACAGGTCTTCCTGTCTCTATGTTGATCTAGCGATCTCAAGAACTCGTGACATTCTTCAACGATCCTCCAATCTCCTTCGTGGCACAGAACATCCCTACTCACCCCAATCTCGGAGCCGACCAGAGGGTGCATAAATCCTTCTACATTCTTGGGTTTTTTCAATGCTTAGAAGTGATACACAATGAAAGCAAAGCCGCGGTGCTTCATAAGCAGGTACTTATGCTGCATTAGCGTTGGACGAGTGCGCGCGAAAAAATGTTTCTGTCTTGCCTGCAAGCACAGAGTCAACATGTTTCTCAGCTAACACCCTTCCAGTCAAAATGCTGAAGCTGAACCTTTCCTCTTCCCTTCCAACTATCTTGGGCATCGCCTCACGCAGCAGCCATAATCCTCCGCCTCTTTGCCGCTTCTTCCTCTCCATCGTTCTGTTCTAGTGCTGGTCCTTTTCCAGATGTCGGTACTGAAGCTGCGGTGAGACCTTCTTCTATCGGATACTCGAGTTCCCTCAGACACTTGTACCAGCGAATTCTGATTAGCGCTGAGTGTTCAGAAGTTTGCAGGCCGAGAACGCGTGACAGGCGTCGTTCAGGATCGCGTAGTTGGTATTGGCATAGATCTTGATGAAGAAACGCGTTATTGCTACTCCCACAATCTGAAACAAGCAATTTCTGCATTTACAATTTCTACCTTATATTACCATAACTTCGAATACCATGACGAGTCCGCGCCCAGTTGCTCCACAACCAGTTTCGTGTCTTTTCCTGAGCTCCAATCCACATCAGCTGCCGCAAACGCTGCTTCTATTTGCTGCCACTGTTGGCCTGATGGCAAACAGACCTGCCGAATCCTCTCGAGAACATCTCCACTTTGTGGTGAGAAAACACCATTCATGAAGGCCGTCAGCAAGTGCCCTTCCACTGTGCTAGGTGCAATCTGCTTGCTCCTCTTCACCGCTACTGCGTCTACGGAGTTTCCTTCAAGGAAGAGTTGAGCACTTTCGCGTACGGTGTCAGACAGTTTTCCTGCCTTTGGATGGGGCAACTTCACATGTGCCAGCAAAGGTTAGAGGAGATACGTCTTGTGAGCAGTAGAGCTAGATGTTTTCTATTCATTCTTGTTCTTTCGAGAAGTGACAATAAAAGGGGGTAGAAAACGAACAACTAAGCTAATCTTAATAGCCCGACTATCGCAGCGCCAACCACTTTAAAAGAACCAATCATAACAATGCGGCAGCAGAGGTAATGGGACATTGTTACTTGAAGCTGTAACTGCCGAAGCCTGGACTCCGGTATTAGTATTACCATTAATGCATGGAGGTGCTGACCCATCGCCATGACCGGAAGCTGCTGATGCTTCTTGGGCAGACCCATCTCCAGTCTGTTCCTCGGCGATTTTTGTAGCCGGAACCCATTGCTCTTGTTTCCAGCGCTCAATCTCTACCACGAGAGCGCTTCTGCCCTGTTCTTCTCCATTGTACAGTGCTCCAAGCACTTCTGCTACGATGCTTCCGTGAGTCACTGCATAGGCCACTTTTTTTACCAATGCTTCGGACATCAAGTGTGTATAGGCCAATCGAAGTCTCGCTGCCTCATCGAGTCGCCAAGGGTGAATCACGTCTGAAATCAGCGTTCCGCAAGCTCCAAGACGAGAAGGATGCTTCGCAACAAAAGGTGTTCTAAGAAACCTCTGCCATTTAAGTTCAGCCTCCAATGTAGGACCGTGTCCTTGTTCAATCTCCGATGCTGGAATCAGCGAAAGATCGAACGCGGCTGCTCTTTTCAACAGGTTGGTGGAGCTGGTCTTGCTGGCGGCGGGAATGAAAAAGAGTCTCTCTGAAGAGAATAGAGCCGGATATAGCAAGCAGATGAAACGCCTTCTCAGTAATTAAAGATGCAAGTCGACTCTAACACTGGTGGAGGCCATGGAGGTCCTGGTAGTGTTAGTGAATTATAATGAATTTATTGTACACCAAGAAACATTTCCCCACCTTCATATCTTTCGTCTCAGCGCTAGTTCTGCTTAAGGATTCCAAGTCCCCGTTCTTGAAAGACTCCAGTTCCTTCATCAAAGCCTGCCTCTTCGCTTCCTTTTCAGCACGATGTTTCACTAACAGCTCGTTTGGTGGGAAGAAACAACAATCCCTTACTATGTGCATCCGCATGTCAGCATCAGGTGTCCTACTCGGCATGGATCCATGCCCTCCTTGTGTGCCAACATTTTCAACCAACATCTGCTGTACTCGGAAAGTGGTTACTTTGTTGTTGCTGTTGTTGTTGTTGTTTGTCGTAGTGTTCGTATTATCATCCCCACCAGAAACAACAATCTCCACGCATCCGCGTAAAGCCTCCAACACCTGCTTTCCCTTCGGCGCAAGACTAAGACACTCGTATCCAATCTGAAAACTGCCAACACCGCCAGATCTGTCGAAGGTTTTGGTCTCCCTATGGATGAATCCCTTGGAACAGCACAGGTCCAAGAAGTTTTGTGCAATATCTCGCTTCCCAAATCCAAATTCAGCTGTTTTATTGGGTTCTCCTTGTTTGTCTGGTTCATTCGATGTCGATGTGGCCTAATTAGAAGAAGAGGTGGACTCCTATTTTTTCAAATGGAACTACGAATGGAGTCATGGTGGCACGAGCAGTTGCAACATCATAGTGGAATAATTATTTCACGACAACGGAGACATGAATATGCGTTAAATGCAGCTGCATCATCCGTTTGTAGAATCATCTCATAACGCAATCTTGAGGAACGAACACTCCTCTTCCCCGCTTCCACAAACCGTACAACCTTCGATGTTCTGCGTTGTTTCCTAGGTTCAACGCCCGTTTCTTCTCCGTCAGGTCTCGTTCTCCAGTTCCCATGAGGAGATCCACAAGCGTTCCTTGCGCCTTACCGTTCCAACATTGTACTACTTCTAGGATGACACGCAAAGGGATACGCATGTCCTGATCGTCTAATGTTGGTGTCGTAGAAGTGTTATCATGTGCTTCTGCTGAAGATGAGACTGCGTCGGAGTTGTTCACATCTTTCGTGTTTGTTGCTGTAGAAGACATAGTAGCGCGACGATGTCGTGTACAATTGTCACAATTGCACCAAGAATGAAACAAAGTACTTGTAGTTCCTCGTTGTAGTTCTGAAGTAGAGCTAGTACTAGAAGTATCAGTAACTTTAACTCCTACTTGATTTGCAGCACCGAGTACTCCTTGCAGTCCAACTGTTCCCGCTTGTTCACCTCCTTCCAAGTACTCTACAAGCATGGTTTGACGGCATCGATCCTCGGTCTCACAAAAAGCACGTAACGCCCGCGTTGATCGGTTTAACGCTTCGTAGTGTTGCTCGTTGGGCGGTTTGTAGAAGTCGGAAGTCAAAAAGTTGATAAACTCGGAATTGGCGTACAGCAAGGTGCACGTGCTTCGAAGGCCATCGCGTCCTGCACGACCGGCTTGCTGGTAAAAGGCTTCTAGTGTCCTCGACGCTCCCCAGTGAATGACGTGTCGGATATCAGGTTTGTCAATGCCCATCCCAAAAGCCACTGTAGCTACAATCACGTTGCAGTATGTAGTTGTTGAATGCTGATGCTCGTCGCCAAGAAGTCCACCACCAAAAGCACCACCAACACCATCGTTTCTAACAGTTCCAGAAAGAAAAGCCATGTGTGCGCGATTCCTTTCTTTCGCTGACAGGCCTGCATGATAACGTAGAATTTCCTGCTTCTTGTAGCGAATGCATTCTTTTGCTGTACTATTTGCTGAAGATGCTCGTTCATCGGACTCCACAACGTTCACGTGGTTTTCACCACTTCCTTGTAGCGAAAAAGAAGCCTCTGCCTCTACTTCCTTCCCTTCAGAACCCGATTCTGGCACATATTGTTGTAGCCATTTTTGTATGGCTTCGACCTCCATCTTTGAGTTCGCGTACACAACCGTAGGTTCTGCGTAGTACGGCTTTGAAGTACGTATCTTCTCAGCCAAAAAAGCCAGAGACTCAAATGACGTGCCAGAATGTCGCATGCGCACTTCGAAGTCTAGGTTTTTGCGGTAAAAATCACCTTGGAAACGGAACAAAGCTCCTCTCCCTTTTTGAAGACTAGAAGAAGACAGTCTCAGGGAACTTATGACGTCGTCTTGTACGCGAGGTGGCGCTGTCGCTGTCAAGGCAAGGATCGGTGGAGAACGAGATGAAGTTGAGCTTCCCGCGATAATTCCTTCTCCTTGCAGGCCTATTTCCACCTCCTGAGCTGGCGGAAAAATCTCAGTCCTCAATCGTCGTCCGAGGTCTTTGTAGTCGGGGCGAAAATCGTTGCCCCATTCTGAGACACAGTGTGCTTCGTCAACCGCGATGCAACATATCTTCCTTTTGGCCGCTATCTCTCGAACCAAGTTCCCACCTGCTTGCCCTGCCAGCTTCTCCGGCGAGAGGTACAGAAACAACACTTCCCGGTCAGAAACAAGTCGCTCCTTGATGGCGGGGAAAATGAAGAAACTCCAATAACTCGTTAAACAGCCACTGCGTTGAGCAGACTCGCCTTAAGGTAGATGTTGGAAGAGTCTCCATCAAGCACAATGCACGACTTATTGTCATTTCTGGTCTAAGCGTCAATAGATCTACTCTTAAAGTTCTTGTTTGCAGCTCCGCTTGTATGCAGTGCTATTGCGATTTGGTGGCCTTTCCAACCATGTTCGCGAACAAGTTTCCGTCCGAGCGTTTCGTTGATCTTCACTACCTGGTCGTCCATCAGGGATACGAGAGGAGACACGCAAATCACCAGTTGCTGTCGGATCAAAGCAGGAAGCTGGAAACTTGGATTAGATGCTAGGTAGTAAAGGGTCAGTGAAGAGTCCACGCTGGAGAGTCCTCCAGTTCGTGCTTACGCTGAACATGTACATAGAAACGATTAACATAGTATACAAACCCGTAAATTACTAGTCGTTGTTGCGAAGAACAGTTCCGTTCGTAATGCATCTGGCTTGAATCAAAAGTTGAAACTAAAGATGGGCGTTCGAATTTCCGAACATGGAAAAATCTAAACTGGATTTGTAGTGTGCATGCACGCAGGGTTTCGCAACTACTATGTACTCACACCAAGAAACGTGGTAATCATTCTTATCCTCGACGCAGCTGCACTTGTTATTCATACTCAAATTGAGCTCCATTTCGTAAATATCGACTTCCCTTGCCCAGTCGCCAGCACACCCAACGCATCACGACCCTCCAGTATCGCATTTACAAGTTCTCCTTGACCAGGACGAAATGTCGTAAATCCAAACCAGTTATCCAGCGCTTGCAATAGTGCTGGAAGAGGAGGAGCAAACACATTACTAGAATTAGTGGAAGCTGCTTTGTTCTTTAGGTCGGACGTCAACACAGGCTTGTCTTGATGGTCAACAGGAGAACCTGAACCAAGACCAGCTTGGTCGTTGCAACTTCTAGCGGGGTCCTCCATCGGAGGCTGAAGAGTTTGAGGCTTGGATAGCTGTTGAAATCCGGTATTGGTACCGGAGCCAGTATTGGTACCGAATCCAGTATTGGCATTGCTGCCGAACACAGTCCTATTGGTACCAAAGCCAGCATTGGCATTGCTTCCGAATCCAGTATTGCTACCGAAGCCAGCATTGGCAGTTGTAGCGGAACCAGTATTGGTACCGAACCCAGTATCGGCCGTGGTACCGAATCCAGTATTGCTACCGAATCCAGTTCCGGTACCAAATCCAAAACCCGTCGTAACAGACATTTGGGCCGCTGGTTGCACGACTCCAAATCCGAACCCTCCTTGAGCTTGATTTCCGAAACTTCCTTGTGGACCAACTCCACCTTGTGTGCCAAACCCAAATGCACCTGCATTTCCACCAAAGCCGAGTCCTCCAGCACCACAACTTGAGGAAGATAGAGATGAATTAAAATTAATGGTGTTTGACTGAAATCCACTAACTCCTCCTGGCGTGGCAGCAGCAGCTGGAGCAGCTGTTGACTGAAAAAATCCACCATTATCATTCCCAGGTTGTTGAATTAGTTGCTGTCGTGGACCAACACCAAAACCAAATCCAGGTACTGCAACTCGTTGATTCTGTGCCATTTGTCCGAAACCTCCTCCAGCGTAAGCGGCCGCAGACTCTGACTGGACAGTCTGTGAGGTGATGGCGCCGTGGTGACCTAGAACTCCTGCGTGCATGGAACCTTGACCCTGAGGAGATGCACCGTTCAGGTTCGTTCTCGACACGGGGTCAGAGGAAGGCGCTTGAGGATTCATTTTTCTCGTCGTTTCAGATTCAGTCACAAAATTTAGATCATGTTGAGTTCTAAATCATGGATCTTTTTCTTGTGATTATCTTGTTTCTCTATCAGTAACAGGATCACGTCAAAAATATAAGGTGTGGGTAGTAAAGATTATCCGGTCATAAGATGATCATTTGTTGATGCGAAATTGAATGATGAAAATAGCTCTACGGAAATGACTAAAGCTTTTGGAAACACTCATTCTTTGATTTGGAAGGAGATGAAACTAGAAATGTCATCGGGAGCGCAAAGACTTTTCAGTGTTTCTTTTCGTTCACTTTTACCGCCCATACTAATTTCCGAGTTCTACAATCTTAACGATGTATCCGGTTGGGGCTGGGGCAGTACAACACTGCTGCTGCGCTGCTTTAAATCAATGGGCTCCTTCATCTTGATGAAGAGCGTGTAAGTTGTTGTTCGTGTACAGACTTCTTGGCACATGACAAGATGGAGATTGACAGCACAAACAAGCAATAGCAAGTAAGTTGCATAATTATAGGAAGTCGACGGGTTCGTTCTGAGTGTTCGGTTTTGAGGCAGAGCTTTCGTTTTGTGTTCTAGAAAGTTTTTCAGCTTTCCAGGAAGTTTTTTCACTAAATTCACATCTTCTTTAGATTTAGTGCTGTTGATCTGTGAGTGCAACGTTGTGAATTACAATGAAAAAATCTTACGGATTCGTGGTTTGAATGTATCTGTATCTTGAGTGGTAGGATGCATGTTTAGCTAGCTTGTACATCTTCCCATGTCGGGCCTTATATTAAGATCCGAATCTCAATCATGGTGTTGTACTATAGTATAGCTTTGGAGTAGTCTAGGACTACTCCACGCACCGTCCTCCTCCTCCTGCTCCTCGGCCTCTTCGGTGGACCCGTATTTCGGCAAAGACGGAGTACTATGTTAGACCTTGCGTAAATCCATCTCAGTCCTCAGCATCTTGCTTTATGTTCAACAATATCACGACTTGCCCATTCTTGCAGCACAGACCGACAAGACGCCAAGACTGACAAGTGCTAAACTTGCTTTGTTATCTTGGACTTCAAGCTTCAAGGGTGAACGCCCTCCACTGTCTAGTACTTTGACATTGCCAATGACATGTCTCAGACCCGCTTGGTGTACTCTTTCTTTTCGTACACCACGAGCAGTCTTGATGTTTTACCAAAAGGTGGCTACTTCGACTTCTAGTGGAGGAGACACGTTCATACGTTCATATTTGGAGTTGGTTGATAGAAAGTCGGGCTCGTTATCAGTTTTTTGGTGTAGTTGAGCACTAGACGATAGTGCCAATTGGTCCTGGATGTGGATCGTGATGGAGAGGTCAGCTATTTATCCTAGTTCGTTGTATCCATCAAGCGATGAAGTGAAAGTCTAGTAATTCCAATTCGATTCATCTAGTTCTTCATTTGTGAAAACAGATACGTATACTATAGCAGAGCAATTTATAAGGTTGCACAGCTCGCATGGCATGGAGTGCATGGAGTAGCATGGAGCTAAAGGGGGAGCTTCTTGCGCCCCTTAAAGCTCTGCGCTCCATCCGCTCCATGCTACTCCATGCACCATGCGTGCTATAAACTACTCTGCTATAAGACAACAAATAATCTAAATCTTTTTGTTTTTCCGTGTTGTGGAGCTTGAGAAACGTCGCTTGTTTTTCAGTGTTGTCAAGATTGAGAAATGTCGTGGTGTTCTTACTACTTTTCTGTTCTAGGAAATTCAGGGGATTACATAGGATATGACAGTCTAGTGAAGTTGTTCTTGTTGGTTGTTGTAAATTGTAGAATGATGATGGTGAACCGTTGATGAAAGGATTGCGATTATGACATCAGTCAGCGTTGATCTGCTACGTTGTGATTATGAATTTTTAATCTTAATTTCGAGGTTGAGTCTACTACGTTGAGTCTTAGACATGAGACAGTTTCTTTGTATAATTGTACGTTTCATACAGGTCTTATGAGACCCCAATCTATATCTCCTTGTGCCGGTGTGTAGAAGTCTAACACTCGTCCACACCGCCGTCCTCCTCCTCCTGCTCCTCAGTCGACCCGTATTTCGGCAAAGACGGAGTAATATGTTAGACCTCGAGTAAATTATCCATCTCAGTGAACATCTTGGTCTCTGTTTGCCTTTCTTGAAAAAAGGGATACGCACCAGAAAGATGTTGGGCAGGAAGATGGATTCTTTTAAGACTTAAGTATCATCGCGGCGCCCACGATGATGGCGGCAGCGGTGTAAACACCAGCCGGAAGCCAAACCTGCAATAAACGCAAACGTTGCAAACTGCATCACGGCCATGGCGTCATAGTGCGCAGTGGATAGAGCCGTCATAGGGCGCTCATGTTTCGCCGAAACTCCAGCAATGTTATCTGTGAAGAAAATGAGAATTCTCTTTATGAAGGTTGCAAGGTTCGTCTTTGTACATTTTATGAAGTAGCGAACACAGTGGCACCCTTGACACACAATCGTTCTTATATCACAGCAATAGCGTGACTGTCTTTGTTTTATGCAATAGCCCAAATGACCGGTCACTGATATCAGTATGAGAATCGTGATTGTGGTTTTTGCTCCTTGTTGTTGTTGTCTTCTTGTGTGGTCATGGTAGTTGTTTAGTTTAGTAAGTTAGTCAGCCTAGTAGTGTGATCATGATCCTAATGGTGCTAGTGGTTTGATCGTTGTGTTGTTCGTTGTTGATGATCATGATCCTAATGGTGATTATGATCTTGATCATTATCCTAGTGGTGACCATGATCTTCATCACTATCCTCCTGGTGATCTAGTTACTTTGTTCTTACGTTTGCATTCGGGATCTGGGCATTGACATCCCAGCAACCCAAGAAAAAAAAGGAAAAAAAAATCGAATCTACATGCGGCTTACGTATGGTAGATGAGATATGCCTTTTAATCCGAATGCAAACTGGTGCTAGCTCTTTTCTTTTAGACAAGTTTTACTCTACGTTCTTTTGTTTTAACTTTCTTTACTTAAACCTTCTTTACTTTCTTTTAGTTCTACGTTCTTTCGCTTTTACTTTCTTCTACTTTCACCTTCTTTACTTTCTTCAAAAAGCTCCTACTCTTCCGAACTTGACAGTAGGTCGTTGTCAGTTCGGGTCTTCGTCTCCTTTTTCGCGCTTGTCTTCTGCTGCTTTTTCTTTGGTGGTTCATCCTCAGAAGAATCAGAGGAGGAACTTGTAGACGACTCACTGGAGCTGCTGTCTTCGTTGTCGTCTCCAGGTTGTACCTGTATCGCTTTCTTCTTGTTCGGTACAAGTGTCACCTTTTTGCTGCGGCGGTGCCGGCGTTTTGGTGTCGTGCCCACCTGGCGTAGCTGTGCTTGGGTTTGGCGGCCTCCTGGTCCCATGAATGCAAGACACCATAAATCCTCTTTGTCTTCAGGTAGCTGAATGTTGGGAATGAGTGCTTTGTAGTGCGCAGCACTGGTTTCCAACACTTCCTCCCAGCGGGTGCGTACTTCACTGGTCCGGTGTAAGATTCGCCCCAACGCTAAGGTTCGGACGTATCGCTGGCACTCCACTTCATTTCGCACGCCAGTCATTTGCAAACCGCGTTCGAAAGCTCGCTGAAGTGCTCGCTCAGGCACAGTGTAGACTCTACCACGGGTCGCCATCTTGATAGCTACTAGAAAAGGAATTAGATATTTATAGTATGCGAAACTAAAAAATATATATAACTATGGCTAAGTTTTTCACTTTGCATGGTGATGCCGCGTTTTCCCGGGGGGGGGGGGGCCAGAAACAATTTGCCTCTTGCAAAATCAAAAGACAAAACAGATGACATAAGGCGGGTTGTCTCTGATCGTGTCATTTGTTTCAAAGGTCAAAAATGTCCAAAAAATCAAAACAATGAGGATGATCCAGATGACATGAAATTGTCTCTGTGTCGTCCTCTCCCTTCTAGAACAATGCTTTATGCTCCTTTGTGATCACGCCTAAGCGCGATCTTCGATGCGCCGAAGCTGTACAGCTTGCGGTCGCAACTTTCCTGACTTCATGATGTCTAGAAGCTGCTGTAGCGATCTAGCTGCCCTCTTTCGCGGTTTCGTCATCGCGTCTGTCGGATTCAATACGCCTGGAATATGGTACTTGCGTGCCTCCAGAGTACTGATCTGCTCTTGAAGCTTCTTGATCATCGGAAGGAACATTAGCTCTGTGATCTGTGGATTAACAGACGAAGTTGACCGCAGAAGCGTGTCACAGTCTGAGATCACATGGCAACAAATCTTCGTAGATGCAAGCCGTGCTACCTGCATGCGGATTGCGCCCATAAGGTCCAATCCTTCATGCGCTGCGAAAGATTCGCCTGAGAGACTGTTTGTCGTGGCACGACGCTGGATGCGACTGAAGTAGTGAATTATGTGGTATGGAAACCATTCAGCACTCTCGATCGCAAATGGGTCATCTCCTCGCATAGCGGGCGAGAATCCAATCAACGATGCCATTCGCGGTCGTACATCGCCAGATTTGCTCCCCAAGCTCGCGTCGAAGATCAAAATTATATTGAGAACTTCACTCGAGTGGAAAGGCAAATATACGATCAGAATTGGGCCGGTGTAGCGTAGATACTTTACTACTTTGTTTAGCATCACAGTGCCGGAGTAGGTCGTAATCACCGTTGCGGCCTCGATACAATCAAAGATTATATCAGGTCGGGTGAAAATTGCGAGCCACAACAGCTGCCCTAGTGAAGACCGTGCTGCGGATTGCAAAGCTCGCGGCAATATGTCCTTCTCCTCATAAAGTCCGGGAAGGGCAATCTCGGAGAACTTTTCGTGGTATGCTGCTTGTGAAACAAACAGTCTGCCCTTGACTCTTGATACTACCGAGCCTAGAAACTTAAAGCTGCTCTCTTTAGCTTTTCCTTTTAAGTTTCCCCTGGGGCCTGGAATTCCGTCGAATGTCCCTACTTCGAACTTGCCTGACATGGTCCGTAACTCGTCGCAGAGTTCGTCCGTACCGGTAAAGACCATGTCGTCGACATGTAATGCCAGCAATGCATCACCATCGCGCTTGGTATAGAAACATGGATCAATCTCGTCTCGAGTCCATCCCTGTTCTCGAAGATGTGCACCCAATGTCTCCCACCACTTTCTTCCGGCTCTCTTCATGCCGTGCAGGTGTTTGTGCTTGGCCATTTTGAAGATTTCGTGTGGGCGAAGGGGGTTCGCGGTCTTCAGAGGCTCTACAAATATGTCGCGTTGGTCCTGTTTCCCTTCAGGTGTGTCAGATTGCAAGTATGCAGTCTTGACATCCAACGAACATAGTGGAGCTCCCCAAACCTGCGATAAGCTGAAAACGACCTTAGTAGACCATTTCTTTGCTGTTGGTGCCTCACACTGTAACTTACTTAGGCCTTCTTCGGTGAACCCTTTGCACACTAGTCGCGCTTTGAGCGACATCTGACCAGCAGTTATCTTCTCGGTGAATACCCATCGCGATTGGGCAACAATATCCTTCGACTTGATTTCCTTCCGATCTACGATGGTGAAAACTCCACTCTTCATGATGGACGTTAATTCACTCTGTGTTGCTGTGTCGTAGTGAGGATGCTTCTTCGCGGCTGCTACCGTGAGCTCCCTTCTGGCCAGGTATGCCTTTTCGAATTCGGCTCCTACTTCGTCGAGGTCTGCCTCTGGGCTGTGTCCTAACACTTCAACAACGTCGGAGATTGCTGTTAGTGCGGCTCCCTCGTCGATGTCCATGGGCTGGGCATCGTCGTTTTCGTTTTCGGCGGGGTCACTCTGGTCTGCTTCTGGTTCACCTTCGTTCTCTGGGTGTTCGTCGTAGTACACCCTTAGGCTTTCGCGCATCCCTGCAGATGTGCTTTTCGTGGGTAGGCGGTACTTCTTGAGTAGCCACCGCAGTTCCCGCACCGTTAAAGATCCTACTTGATCACGGCGCTGTTTTGCGGGTGGTACGGCCTTAAAGTTTCTCTTGTTCAAGTCCTTTAAGACTGCGTCTTCGTCTTCTAGAGGCTCCGGGCTCTCGTCGTCGGCTTCGCGTGGTGCTCTCGCTTCAACCTGAGGCGGCTGTAGCGGGTTCTCTGCCGGTAGGTTCCCCTGTTTGAAGTAGATGATTACAACTAATTCAAACTTTTTGCCTGCTTCTAACTCTTCACTGCTGAAGGGGATTGAGACTGCATTTCGGCAACGTGTATACCCGAAGGCTGTCACCTGAAAAATCTCATCACCATCAGGCCGGCAGTCGTCGATAGAAGGCAGTGCGTCGTGAACGTCTTTCGCGATGATCACACGCGCTACTTTCACTTCGAGATCTGCTGAGAGAAAGCCTGCGTCGACCTCTACAGGTCTGCCCGGGGTATCGCAAAGTAGTCGAAACTGTCTTGCGAACCTGTTGACCGTTTTACCAACCTCCGTTCTGTTCATGTCCATGTTGGACAATGTCAGCGGTACTCGTTGGTCGGCTTCCTCGGGCTCTCCGGCTTCTTCTTCGTTTGCGTTACTCGGTGTCTCATGTCCTCTAGGTAAAAAGATCTGCTGCGCGTCTAATGGCGCTGGGCGAATTCGTTTTCGATGCACAGTGTCAATTTTGTCTGACCCGTGATACTTAACCGTCACCATGCGCGAAGATTCACCCGTCTGCCCTGGGTCTCCTGTGTCGATGATCTTTGCGCGGAGCCACCTAGTCTGACCGAAGTCAAATTTTTGCGGTTTCGCTGGCTGTACCTCGACAAGGTCACCCGGTGAGTAGACTGCTGTATCTGAACACCGTAGACGCATATTTAGCAGCTGCTGTAGTTGTTCACTCACGTGAACCTTCGCTGCTGCCTGTGCTGCCAAATGCTGTAGCGAGATTCTCTGAACTGCTAACTTACGTGGCAGCTCAGATGGGTCTCCGTACGCACCTAACGTCGAACTTGCGGCTTGTAAGGGATCACCCACGAAGTGAGTGGTCGCTAGAGCCGTCTGCTGTGCCGAGAAGCCGCGTGTGCCTACCAGACTGTTCTTCGCTAACCCGATCGCCAATAGAACATCGCGAACGCGTAAGCTGGACATCTGATCTAGCGGGATTTCTTTCTGCACAAGTTCACCGATGATCTTGCTCACATGGATACGTTTCTCGGTGAGTCCCGTTGTCGCGTGCTCGTAGTCAGCACTTGTCAATGGGGTACACGGGTGAGGTCCTGTGGCTAAGAACTCGCGAACTGTCTCGTTTACCAACGGCTTGTCGTGTCCGGTGAGGAGATACATGGGCAATCTTCCGAAGACAAACATCCACTCATGGAGCGCGTGAAGCGTGTCTTCCGCGTTGATGTCTCCGCCGTTTTCGTGGGCGTAAAACATCGTGAACCGTGAGAGATAGTCTATCAGAATTAGGATTGCTCGCTGTAAGCCTTTTACCGTGAAGTAAAAGACGTCTGCTCCTACCACCTGGTTGACATTTCTTGCGACGATTCCCGTTTTCGGATGCGGCAGGGAACGTTTTTGGTTGTTGCAGATGGTACATCTGTCAACTGCTAAGTCCCAAGCCTGTCGGAACTTTCGCGCAAGTGTGTCATCATCTTCAAGTAGGGGCTTGAAGTGAGAACACGCTTGGTCGGACTTGTAATGCCACAACTGTTTGTGTAGCTTCGTTACACTCGCTGCATCTTTGCACAGCTCTTCTAGGTCCGAGCGTTGCCACTCGCCGCGCCAACACACGTGCTCGTCTGCCCAGTGATGTACAGTCACGGGTCCTGGTTGGGCTTCCACGTCACCTGCTAGCATAAGCAGCATGAACATGATCCACATTAAGATCTTGGCAATCTTAAATTTGGCTGCCCAAGCCGCTCCCTGGCTTGCGTTCGTAGCGGCTGCGTACTTTGCAAACGAGCATAGATTTCCGGAGATATCGTATGCGAAGTTTGCCTGTGTGTTGCCTACCATGTTGAACATGATAAGACCTCCGCGGCGGCGAAAACTCAAACTCTTCTTTCCGACTTTCAGAGTGTTCTTCCCGTAGTCAATAATAGCCTCACTTCCAAGACTATCATTGCCTAATAAGAATGGCACTCTTGAAATGCGTTGCTGCATGTCTGCTTCTTGGTTCGGCGTTAGTCCTTTGGGCGGGCTGAAAATACGGAAGATTCGCGGACCGAAACCTTCAATATTCACCGTCGCTCGCTTCGTTACTGGACATCCATCGCCGTTTCCAAACGAAATGCTGCCCCCTGCAGCTTCCTCTTCAACTTTCAAAACACGCCCTGGGTACATGTTGCGAAAGTCGTTGAACCTTGGTTCGGGCACGCAGCTTACGCCGCACCCGGTGTCGATTGCTGCTTCGACTGGTTCTACCTTTGCTAGCAAACTGATCTGGTGCGATAAGTTTGCTGTGTAGGTTTTGTTTTGTCTTCCTCCCCCGTTGGGCTTGCGGCCACCGTAGTTGCCGCTGTTGCCTGTTTTGTTACTGTTGTAACCTCCTTGACGACGGTAGCCTTGGCTGCCGTTGTTGTTGCCACCTGGTCTGCTGTTATTATTGCCGCCCCACTTCTTGGGCTGTCGGCAATCCTTTTCCCAGTGTCCCGTCTTCCCGCAGCGGCGGCACTGGTTGCTTGCCAGGTAGGCTGCTACCTCGTCGTCGTCTTCTTCTTCGTCACCCTCTTCTTCGGTGTGCGCCCCCGGTGACTGTTCTTCCCCGTCGTGGTCTTCGTCCTCGTCGTCGTGCTCTGTGAGCTCCTGCTCTGGGCCTTCTCCGGCGACGTAGGCTCTGCCACCTCCGTTTCGCTGCCTTTGTGGTACTCCACGCTTGGGCGTCCAAGGCTTGCGGCCTTGAAACTTGTTGTTGTAAGCCATGACAGCATCTCCCTGCTCGTCAACGGCGTGGCCGTGTTCTTTTGCCGACGCGTCATCGGCTGCTACGCGCTTTAGTAGTTGGGTCATCACTTCGGAGCTGTGCCCTGTCTGTCCTGCTTTCGCCAAATCGGAGTTTTGGCGAATACCCTGGCGCTGTAGCGTTGTTAGTCCTGCGTTGCAGTATAGCAAGAGGACCAAGACGGCGTCCGTCATATGCGCGGCAAAAGTTCCCTCTCTTTTTACCTCGTTCACGCGCTCGGCAACGTTGTGTAGCCAAGCCGTGATGTCCTGTCCGGCCGTTCTCTGATATCGGAAGATACTGATAAACCGCATTGCGGCCTCAATAGGATCCGAATACTCTGTTTGGCGATCCATCCAGAGGATGAGGCGCTGCACGGGTTTGAAGTCCCGTATTGCGGTCCTCTCTGCTGGATCAGCGCTGTCGTAGGCCGGGTCTTGTTTTTGTGTACGCCAGTGCGCTGGCATCTGGAGCGCGGCACGATACCACTTTTCGTAGTTCGGCTTGAAGCCCTTGGCGATGACTGTAGCGCATATCTTGTCCTCGGCGAGTTCGGTTGACTCAACGAAGAGAAGAATGTCGCGTCTGTAGTCTCGCCAAGAGACTCCGGGGAGCCAAGGGTCGATCTTCTTCGACATCTTGGTGTCCGGGGGGGGGTGTGCTTGCTGGGGGAGGGGTTCCTGTCTTTTTGGACTTCCCTGGTGTAGTGCGTAAGAAAGGCCTTGCTGTCGGAGATTTTAACTCCTGACAATGGCAATCTTCGCAACTGTCTCTACCTGGTGAAGAACTGTAGACTTTATCCTTGTGGCGGTTCCTTCTCCCTTGTTCCCACCGTTGTTCTGCTCGGGGCTGGAGCTCAAACCCGGGCTGTTGGTGGGTTGGATCTCCGCTTATGGATTTCCTCTCCGTCGGTTGATGTCCGTGAGAAGCAGCCGATGTCGACAAGGCTTGCTTGCCTGACAATGACTCTTGATCTCCGAGACAAAAGACCTACAGGACAGCGAAAACTTTTGCGTGAGAATCTTATCTACCTAACAGTTTTGGTTTGCTCCTCGAGCGGGTGCTTGCGAGAAAAAAATCTCCAAGCGGGCAGTCGGGGTGCGAAAATTTCACTCGAGTGGAATCCACGCGACAGAATGTCCGTGGCTTCCGAGATGGGAAATTTTTGCGTTTCTAATCGTAGTCGGGCCCTAGGCGGATCACCATGCTATTTCAGAAAAGAAAAACAAATCAATTAAAGTTGCTCCGTTAACGGATGTTATTTGCGTCTGAAAAAAAAATCTTTTATAGCAACTGGCAAAAGTTACTTAAAAATTTTCTAAGAATGCAAAGCGATTAAGCTAGTTACTCTCCGCTACCATTTATGAAGTAGCGAACACAGTGGCACCCTTGACACACAATCGCTCTTATATCACGGCAATAGCGTGACTGTCTTTGTTTTATGCAATAGCCCAAATGGCCGGTCACTGATATCAGTATGAGAATCGTGATTGTGGTTTTTGCTCCTTGTTGTTGTTGTCTTCTTGTGTGGTCATGGTAGTTGTTTAGTTTAGTAAGATAGTCAGCCTAGTAGTGTGATCATGATCCTAATGGTGCTAGTGGTTTGATCGTTGTGTTGTTCGTTGTTGATGATCATGATCCTAATGGTGATTATGATCTTGATCATTATCCTAGTGGTGACCATGATCTTCATCACTATCCTCCTGGTGATCTAGTTACTTTGTTCTTACGTTTGCATTCGGGATCTGGGCATTGACATACATTTTTGCTGATCTGAATCTTCACTCGACAACTACTCCCAAACACAAACCGTTGCGCTTAACGAAAAAAAGTGTGACAGTTAGAAGCGCCATTTCTATTTCACTTCAAGAAGTAAAAGAAATACGATCGCCCAGCTTGTATTGTATTGTATTGTATTCCCTGGTTTGACCCAAACTCGAAGGCCGCAAAGCCTCCAAATTCTCCTGAAGAAAGTGCTCCCGTGCCTTACGAAAAAGCCCTGGGAAGTCCGAAGTCGTAAAATGCTGCCTAGACCTGTAGCTCTCGGAGCTCCATGCGTCCCTTATGTAATTCACGTAGGCCTTGCAGATGTCCGAGAGCTTTTTTTTAGCTGTGCCAGCGTCCACACGATCATTAGCGGCACAATGCATGGGAGCAACATTGATCTAAGTATTCGGATTATCTACGACTTACGGGTGAGAGAGCTACGGGGATGGAGGGAACTATTAGGCTTCGGCGTTATTTCACCTCAGATGTTCATAGTATATTCCTCCTGGTAGTCCTTCTGGAGTGCTTCGACAACCCAGCTCGCGACCAGATTTTCGTCGACTACATATAGACGAGTCCGCCTCTTGTTGTTGATATTCCACTCCACTGAAGTTAGTTTGTTAGGAAGACAAATTCCCATGTGAAAATATAAAAACATATCAAACAGACGGTCTATACTTTTACTTCCACTTGACAACAAATGAAATTAGTTAAGTAGTAAGAGTCGGCAAAAAATGCTATACCTATATACGACGCACCAGGGCCGCACGGTGCCCCCCCCCCTGTGGTATGGTTTGTGGTGGCGCGCGCGCGCTTTTCCGCGCTGATTTTCGCGGATTCTACTGGTGGAAGGCGTCAAAACTTGGCGCGGGCCTGCCCTTGCGCCTCTCAGCGGGCTCCTAAGAGACCTCCTGGCCTCTGCTGACCCTCGCAGGCAGGAGAGCGCCGGGGCAAAAGGCCGCCGAGGGCGGCCACGGTCGCAAGAGCAAGCATCGCAAGCCGGTGGCCAAGGGCCCGGAGGGCACAGGCTGCACGGCTCAGGGGGTCCAGCCCCTCGCCTTTTGCCGCCTTCAGAAGACTTGCACAGCCGGCGCACTGCTGCGGCGGCGAAGCATATCGGAGGCACTCAGGGCACAGGCAGGCCCCCGACGGGGGCGCAGGCGATCCCTTGGGCCCCTTTTGAAGCCTCCCGCCTAAAGCCGGAGGCCTGTAGGCCACGGCCAGGCAGCTGGAAGGGAGCGGAGGAGGGAGGTCACTTGGCCCCCTTTTGAGGCCTTTCACCCCCGGCAGACGCTTTCAAAAGGGGTCCAGGGCGGCACGGTGCCCCCCCCCTACGCTAGGGGGGAGTACCGTCGCCCCGCGACCTGGAACATATATAAGCATGATACGCAATCAAAGCGGAAATATTCGACCAGGATAGTACTATCTTTCTGGATTAATGGTTCCATCTTTGTCAGCAGAGGATCGTAGAACTCACGGGTATGCCCCGGTTCGACCCGGGCGGCGGCGGATTGGGCTCCCATGCTCTCTCCAGCTGTGTCCTCGACGATGGGTGTCCAGGCTGATGTGTGTTGTTCCACCAGGAATTCGATGAAAAAGAAGATGTAGATCATCTTGATCATGATCCTAATATATTTCTATATTATAACAACTAGCAAGTGGTACTCCAGTGCTGCTTGCGTAGAAATGATAATTGATGTTGGGTCGCAAAAAAAGTATAAAATCTAATTGCAGTCGAGGTCAAGCACCAGTGTTATGTGCTGTACCCTGGGTGTTGTCGGGCGACAGCGCTGGTGACGTGGACGCGGAGGTTGTTGATCCGGAGACTCTCGCCTTACGAGATGAAAATGCTGACGACGCGCTTCCCATGATTCCTCTTCTATCGCTAGTAGTTGCGGCGTGTTGTTCCAGACTACTCCGGCAAAGTTGTCACTGCTGCCTCTGCTCAAACGGTGGCTTCCGGTTACTGTTGTTTCCGCTGAGAGCGTTCGCACTCTTATCGATTTCGTGATATCTTGATTCCTCTATTCAAAATCGGTTGCTACTACTATTAAGGCCGTGGTTAGGACAAATGAATTTAGCGTGCTCAACAGCCAACAACCGTCTTGTTTCGTTATTCTACCTCTATAATTTTGTTGATGGGACGTTGATAAAGAATCCAACAAGATTTGGGTTGAGATACTGATACAGCTTGTGAACGGCGTACGTAGAAACGGGGAGAGAGTAATGTGGAGGCCGAAATCCTATCGCTAAAGCCATAGGATCTTCGAGAACGACATTGTCGAGAGTAAACGATCAATGGAAGACAACCGAACAAGCGAAACAATCGACGTCGGAACAAGACGACGACCGAGGAAAAATGGACACCATCATGATGACCAACTTGTGCAAAGAACCGCCATTGAACATACCAACTTGTGCAAAGAACCGACGTCCGATGAAGCGGGATGCTACATTTCGACAGAGACCACTCGTTGAGTCCCAGTATAATTGGAAGGATGTGTCAGCACCGATGGAAGATAACATTTTACATTCATCACGATTTGCGATTCGAATGGAAGACCGATAGACGGTAAAGGTGAACACTGTTGCGATGATGTAGTCCGCAGAGACTCCTACATGCACATCTCTTCTTCGTGTTCGTCTTCCGAATAAGTAATAAAGCAGCCGCGTGCAGCGCGTGTGTTATACTTATAGTAGTAGAAGAAGAAGAAGAAAAGTAGAACGTCATAGTTCTTGCTCAATTTGATTTGTTCGGTGTACTTGTTGTTGTCCATATACAGACGACACCTTGACTTTTCTCCTTGCCTTGGATGGTTTAGACGTTTTCGGATGGTTACCTATGATGTTGCTAGAAGACAGCAGATCTCCTTCATTCTCAGTTTCCGTTGTAGTTGGTTTTGCTATAGATGCATCAAATTCCAAACCCTTAGTAGGCTTTGTTGAATGTTGGAAAATCTCCTCAATTGAAGCCGTCACTTCATGGACAGGGACAGTGACGTTTTCGCGGATCCAGGTGTTCACTTCCTCGAAGAATGTCAAGGCTTTTTTCGCTTTTGACGAGTCCTCAGATGGATCTGATCCGACTACGCAGAGATGCGGTACCCCAAAAAGCAGGCCAAGTCCGCCGTAGGCGTACATAGGCGTGGCGTCCCATCCAGGCCTGCAGAGTTCTCGAGATAGCGAGCTCATGTGTGGCATTAGCTCGATCACTCTGTGAGCAAACGGCAGCCAGGACAATGCCTGGCCGTGCGCGCCCGTAAAAACATCGGCGTCTCTGACAATACTGTGCTGAACTTGCAAAGAGCCCACCAGACTCAGGTCCACTGCTACTATTTCGAGATCCGACAAGACATTTTGCCCATATGGTGATGTTGGACGAGCGTCAGTTATAGCTTCACCGTCATCATGATCTTGTTCGCTTGTTTGCTGTCTAATACAAGAAAGTGCCGAAAGCAGAGGCGCGAGGTTGGTAATGCGTCGTGTGGTAGCGACCAGACGCAACGCGAGGACTATACGAAACGGTATATTTCTGCCACGGTGCTTTTCGCGTGAGGTTGACGAGGTAGAAGTTGATGGCATTGTTCTTGGAAGCAGGAGGTGTACTCCACCGCGAATGTACTTACGTTCGAGACAGGGATTCGTTGCCGCGTCTTGCGAGGTCCATTGAGATTCTAACTCTGTACGTAAGGTCATCATATGCTCTACGTCCACCTCATCCTGATCTTCGTCTTTCGTGTCGATGCTTTTTCTTTCGACCAAGGCCTCTTTATCTGCAGCTGCTTTTGAGGGAAATCCAGAGTCCTTCGCTTGTCGTGTCATCTTCCAGGCTTCGTTGACTTTTCTCACAAAAGCGGTTTTGATCCCTCGCCAAGATCCTTTGTCGCGTCCAAAGAGCGTTACGTGCTGCACGCCCCACTGAGCGCCGTGGAAGCATCGTCTCTGCTCCGGTGTTGTGAGATAGGAGATTTTCAAGGGACCATGTTGTGTATGTGGGCTAACGCGAATAGCAGAGGCATCTCTCCGCTTGTCCGTACTATCACCAGAGGACGCTGTTTCTTGTGTCGACGCCCCAGGTACGATCCAGACCACCTCCTTCTGAGTCAATGCGGGTAGGAAAGCAGCCAAAACACTGCCTGCGGCGACCTCTGTATTACACTGAGAACCTGCACAATCGAACACGAGGCGGTCTTGCGGTTGTATCTCCACTGCAAGAGAGGCATGAATTAGACGACAGGGACACAGGCACAGCTGGTACTCTTAAAGTAGTACTAGGGACCGATCATGATTTACAAGACCATTCTTCAAATTTTCAGACTTGCAATCTATCATCTAGGCCTTGGAACGCGGCTGAGGAACTCGAAACAAAACGTCAATCGTAACAGCAAGTGAAACGCATGCCACATATTCTCTGTCGCTGTCTGTGTCACGCGGACTATCAATGTGCGACCGCTTGATGTTGTTCTTGAGCTGCGCTCATCTTCTGTATCTGCTTGTAGTTCGTCACTTTCATCTACTCCTGGTCCTGCTTCAGCTGGCCCTGCTATAAATGCTCCATGGACACGACGATACTCGCTATAGGAATCGACGCAATGAGCAAGAAATAGAGGACGTTGGTGCTCCTCGTCCCCCTTTGCATGGTCGAAGTAATCTTGATGCTCACTCTCGTCTTGTTCGCTTTCCCAATTAAATTTATTTCCGTAGAAAATCGAGATTTCGCCACTCCCGTGAACACACGTCGCTGGTAGCTTTCTTACCACGCATTCTGGACGAGCAAAACTTTTTCGGAAGGGTATTTGAGGATCCCACTTTGACACCACAGGAGTCTTCATATGTGCATAATGTTAGAGAAACATTAAGAGCTTGACCCAATATCTATGCCTTGATAGTAATACATAGTATCATCATGTGAAGAGTCCCATATATTTCCTTTTGGATCATTGATATTGAAGAGTTAGAGTACTTACATCTGCTTTCTGCAATAAAAGAAAAATGTAGTTAACGTACTACAACAATGTGGTTTCGTAACAAACCCTTAAGTTAAAGTAGTGCGGACAGCTTCGGCCCCTACTCCATGTGCTCCGGTGAAGGGTGTGGAGTCAAAACAGTCATGACTTCGAACAAGTAGCTTCTGCAGATCGAGAAAATCGTTCTTGGAGGTCAATATCTTGGTTGGATCTTCTTTATCTACAACTACATGATCATCTGTTGCCAGCGCACAGGCAGTGGCTTGCAGCAGTGTGAATGGGAAACAAGTTGTTGCCGAAGGAAGCTCCGTCGCAACAGCTGATTTGATTTCGCGGGACACCGTCTCTGAACAGTCGAAAAAAGCGGACACTGCTGATGTACTTGAGCTACTGGAGAATGATTCTCCATCTCCGCTGTTGCGTAGCTCTAATGCCCTATCCTTTGGAAAGAAGGAATCGAAGATGTTGAAAAAGAAGGAAATCGTTTCCGGCAGGTCACGACAACTACATTCTGTTGAGTACTGAAATTTTTTCTCCTCTCTGTTGTACTGATCCAACAACAGATGGTATCTGCGCAAGCGACCAGCCAAGATTTGATCTGCAAGCGGGATTGGCTTCGTAGCGCTCTCAAGATCGCCACCCAGTAGACTATGCTCTTGAGCGGTATCTGAAGAAGACGCTAATCTTGACGAGGATGGAAGCTCTGGCTCCACCAATACCGAGGATATCTGCATCAATTGCCCTTTCCGTTCTTGCCGTTTCACCAGATCGTCCAGAAGAGTGTCCGTGACGTTTTTACTTGCACCTAAGAAGTTCCAGGCACCTAGAATGCGGGTCGTGCGCTCTAACCACACCCATGCTGACCGCGAACCCGCAGAACCATACGGAGCATCGTCAAACACCGTCATGATGATATGTCAACCTTTTTCTTCTGAGAAGAAGGAATTCAAATTACTATCACTCGATAGCATCCTCACTCATCTGTACATTGATATAGATGTGTTTTCTTCAGGGGGATGTTGAACAATGATGATCCTTTGAGTTTGCCAGGAGAATTAAACATGCATGAACATGACGAGTTCAGAGTCAGACCTAGAACTTTCGTCAGAATCACACTGCCTACTCACACTCACTACAAAAAGTATTTCAACAAAAACTCTCATGGTCACCATCAACCACCGACAAAGCAACTCACACTCGCTATCCGCTTTCAGAGTCAGCACAAAAGAGAGAAAACGAGTCACTTTCAAATCTGAAGGACGAAGTGTCTTTCTCTTACTGTCCTAGTAGGTGATTGATATTATAGTAGTACACAACGAAGATGCTATTTTATACATAGATGAGGATCAGCATCAGGGGGACTTGGGGTAATAAAGGACGATGAATTAGGTTTGTACGTATACAAGCTATAGGCATAGAGTAGTTTTTCTTTTGGTTGCCTGTTCAAAATCGTGGTCTTCAATTCTGTACAATTCTTTTTCTGTTGTAACATTTTTGTTTTTTCATATCATTAGGGTATGTTGAAACGTGAAAAAAGCATGGAAGCTATTAGCTCCTTGAGGCAGTGCTCGGATGAAAGCAATGGATCGAAATATCTCACAGTGTTGCTCGCGTTCGTTATACTCGATATCACAGGAGAAGAAGAAGATGTTGATGTTGATATAAGAGTTTGTGGCTTACTGTAGTTAGTTGGAGTTGTACTATTTCCTTTACTTTTTTCCAGCCTAAGCTTCTCTTGCTCACACCCAGAAGACGCAGAACCTCCAGAAGCAGAAGTTGCCTTAGAACTACCGCGTTTGCATCCCTGAGAGCATCCCTGGCTTCTTTTTCAAGTAGAAAAAGGGCCAAGGATAGTGCTGAGGATGCATCAGCGGTAGCCTTAATAATTGCCCTCATCTTTGGATATCGATATTGATCTAAAGGTACTTGCGATGATATCATTGATGGCGCAGGCGCTTCTACCTCATCTAGTTCAAGAACTTGCTCGTCAGGTATATCCTTCTTCCTCGCAATACCTGGCATCGTGCTGAGCTTTTTGTAGAATCGCTTGGCGTCGTCGTTGATTGACCATGCTAGTACGTTCTCTGCGATGGTTTTGCCTCTCTTGGTTCTGTGGTTCATCCTATCGACTTGATCTTGCTGCTCGCCAAACCAAGTAATGAAGTAATGAATCTCTAACCAAGATGAAGACGAACTAGTCGATGTTGAGGCAGTCGTGGAAAGAGACGGTGTAGCTGATATTGTGTATGGTTTATTTGGTACTGATACTGAAGAAGTAGACAAATTTGCTCTTGTTCTTTTATCGTCGGTGGAGCACACCGAGGGCGAGGAGGAAGTGGAATGACGATTGTGCTCTTGAGCAACATGATGAGATTCCGAGACACCCGCATCCTCGGGTGCACTATTGAAAACCTGCCCTCCGCCTACCTCGACTCCAAATAAGCTCATCAGTTTCTCTGCGATAGCCGTTTGAAGAGGCCCAGGACTGAAAGCAGCGGCATTCATACACCCAAACATCCCTTCGTAGAGGACATGTGTACACCCAAAACCATTGTTCAACGTGGTGGTCTTGTTGTGCTCACCAACGTCAGCCGGTGCATGACCATTTGGTGCAGGTGCTGCACGAGAAGCTTTATTAGTCGGCATTGAGTTAGCGCAAGGAAGATTGCAGTTGAGCGAGTTGTAGTATTTTCTTGCCAAAAAAAATGTTTTTGTCAAACAGATAATTAATCTGTAAGAAATGTTCGTTAGGCGCTTTCACTGCACCAGAAAGAGAAATGGCCAATCACATTACCAATCAGAACAAATAAGAGCAGGGTCCTCAGCAGGTTAACGACCCATAATTTTCATGCTAGACTCGCACGGCGCAAAGAGTTGCGCTACGGCCGCAAGACGTTGTTGCCTGTTATTTACTGCGTCTAGGCTCGTCCACTTCTGATCTCCGTTCAGGGAGCCGCTTTTTCTTCCTATGATACCAAAGCGGACAATGTCGTTGGAATTTGTTTTAGAGGATGTATCTAGAGGGCGTACTACTTCGTCGTCTGGCTTAACTTGCTCAACTGCATGATTATAGTTGTGGCCGGCACAAGAACGAGAAGAAGAAAGTGTACTTCTAAAGCGAATGGTGTAAATCGTTGCTGGTGCAGCAGCAGAAGCACCAGATTGGTTCTTTCGTTTGTCTTTACTGGTCTTCTTTACTTCAACCACAGGTAGAGGATCTTCAAGTTTCTCTTCAACCACAGGTAGAGGATCTTCAAGTTTCTCTTCAACCGGAGGTACTAAAGGATTTTCTTTTTTCTGTTTCTTCATTTTATTTGTCTCGTTTCCAGTGGAGGAAGATGGGTCGTGGTCTGCAGAAGATGAACGTCGCTTCATATTCCTTGTCGCAGTCAACATGTTCGTTTTCGCAGTTGTTGCTGTTGCTGCTGTTGCCTTGTTGTTCTTGTTCATCTTTTTCGACATTTTGGCCCCTTCAGTCGTACAGTACGACTCTATTTCATCTAGTGCGGCCTCTGCTTCTAGCGCTTCGACTTGTTCGCTCTCGTGTGCTTGTTCTTCCAGTGCTGCGCCTTCATCGTCTACAGCTCTACCAGAATTCTTGTTGTTCTTGTCTTTCTTCTTTCCGCCAGCTCCTCCTACTCGTTTGCCGGCACTGGCACCGAGCTCCCCCAATGTCAAGCCAGCCAATAGCTTCACTTCCTCTTTTGTCACTGTTATGTAGGGGCAGGCCGAAGACGAAGCAGACCCCTCTAAAATCGGAGACGAGTTCGCGGCATCATCTGCCAACTCATCCAAGAAGTCCACGACTCTACGCGTTCGCGTGCTCTTCCCTGCTGCTGAAGCTCCGCAGATATGGATCAAAGTGGGTCGCGGTCGCGTCGTCGACATGCTCGACGACGAGGCGGAGGCGGAGGAATACATGTTCTTTTTACTTTTTGATGTTACAGATACAAAGAAATTATACAAGAGTATCCGATTGTAAAGAGAAAGATACTGAGGCCTTTACCGCTATCGAGACAAATAAATCGTTTTAGGTTTTTTCCATTTATTGCTCGTAATTTTTCACTGAAGATGATGACGATCATGCGTCAGCAGGCAGCTCCGGCACAGCAAGCCTCTTACTTTCATTCTAGTTTTTGAGGTAATACTAGCGTTGACACTCGTAGGAAAACACGCTTGTAGGAGGTCCTCTAGATACTTAGAAATACTAGAAGTTAGTACTAGGGAAAATCAATCAAATTCAATGCGATTTTCGGTTCTTGGATTCATACAGATGACAGTTTGCCGCGATCTCCAAAAGGAGCCACCGCTACAGGCAAGAGCAAAAGAGTTATGGTACCTGACGAGCTGCTTTTGAACCAAGTACAAAATTCATCGCATCCTGTCTTCTCAAGATTGTGTGGAAAAAGGTGCCTGTGACAACGCCTGATGTTTCTCAACCGATGACGTTGAAGCTCTCGAAGCAGAAGTAGTAGAAGTAGTAATAGTAGTAGTGCCAAATCATGGGGTATATATGCATCGCTTTAAAACTAAAAGTCGTAGCTCACTCCAACTAGTTGATTGGAAGCGGCGTGCTATTTGTGAGCAGGGGGGCGATCATCGAAATAGATCTCTTCGCATATAAAGGCTCGCATACTTCCGTATAGAAAACCGATACCGCTTAGCTCTCTCAACTGACACTTAGTAGCAGACAGAGTCTGTCGTTTTCTTGGCGGCGAAGACAGAGCGTAGCACAGACAGAGACCTGAGACAGAGTGATGTTGTTAATGTTTGAGCTACAACAACCGATCTTCAGCCACGATTCAAAAGTACGTCCATCTAAGTTGGAGGTTCTTTCATCAGCAGAACATGCATCATTAATCAGCGCGAACACGAACACGCGTTGGCTTTTTGGATGGGGGTTACGATGTCGAAGTCGACGTCGTAGTTGTTTTCAAAGAGTAACAAAGAGTCGGAGTCCATCTCGTATAATTTCCTGTACATCTACAGAGTCAAGAACAAATGGTAGATACTCTTCCTAGATTTGGTCGAGGTTTCACTACGTTTTTCTGAAAGCCTCGATATTGAGGTACTTCTGTGGAGGTTGGCGTTGAAGTTGTCTTGGTATCGAAACCTGCATCTGCAAGGTTTGTTCTAGAAGGCATTTTTTTGATCCAGCCATCCTCTCCGACGCTGGTAAAGGACAAATTGGCTTCGTTTTCTGGAGCTATCTGGATATTTGATGGAGGTGGGATAAACTGGATTTCCTGGTCTACTTCGTAAAAATCCTGTCCTCCCGTTGACGTAGTAGTTCCAGCTCTAATTCCTCCTTGTTGACTTCTTAGATTCTGCGTCTGCGACTGGGTAGCTCCTCTTGTTCTCTGACTACTCAAATTATGCAAACTCTCATTGCGAAGTTGGGCAAGGTATTGTTGTTCGAGATCAGTCACAGGATTGCGACTGCTGTTAGCTGCATTCCGTGAAGACGACGAAGAGCAGGAGGACGAGGAAGCTGTTGTTGCTGCAGTGTCACCAGATGACGATGAAGACGATTTCATCGAGATGCTACCTCCGCTAACATTTTGCTTCTGCACATCTGCCACATTCGACGATGATTGCTTCTCCGCAGCTTGTAGTCCTTGTTGAGGATCCTTGTGATGTGCGCCTTCAGCGTGGCAATTGTCTTCGGCATAGCCAGTCTGCTCTTTGCTACCTTCATTTCCACATTCAATTCCGGACACTTCCCCTTGTGGCTTTTTGTTTTCATCACCTAGAGCCCCACTCGAATTCCAAGGGATAAAACTAGCGTCTAAAATCGGTGCAGCATTCAAAAACTTCTTTGCGGGTTGTGCAAATTTTTTGTTCCTGGCTGGTGGTGCTCCTCGTGATGTTGTCGAGGAGGACGTTGTCGGCGTGATTGTTGTGGTTCTCGTCGGCGCGATATTTCTATCCATGGGTTTGTTCGCCGGGTTCTCATTTTTAAAGTTGGAGCTACTACTACTGCTACCCTCCTCGCCTGTTTTGCCCATCTCCGCGCATGACGTTGATAACTCCTGTGCGACAAGCTTAGGTGAATTCGAAGGAGGTGGCCCTACACTAATACTTGTCGACTTCGAAACTTTCTGTTCGTTGAAGATGTTGGAAGCGTTTTCCGAGACCTCAAGTTTCCTTCGCTTGCAGCCTAACAATTCTTCTTCCTGGTGTGGATCCTGATTCTCCTTGTTATTCAACAAACTACTAGAAGGAAGGTTGGAACTGGAAGAAGCCGTTCGTATATTGTTACTAGTTGTAGTACCTTGAAGTAGATCTTCTAGTACTTTATCTTTAGCTAGTTGTACACTAGTTGGCTGTGCTGGTCGTGGTGCAACGCCAACATCGTCCTCATCAGCGCCAAAGAGTCCTCCAAGGTGTAGTGCGGGAGGAGGAGGAGGAGGTAGGTTAAGGTTTTTTCTAGTCTTGTTACTTACATCTGGACCTGGAGGTAACCCCGCACTCTCTGCTCTATCGTTAATGTTCTCTTCGTCGTCGCTAGTATCTAGGTCGACTATTTCGTCTCGCTGATGAGTACTTTTATTAACCTGCTGTACCGAAGACGGAGAATCGTCAAGCAACAGTGTCCTCTGGCCATCGTTAAGATCATGGTCTTCTTGTTGCTCAGTCGTAATAGGTCCTTCGCCAGCAACATTAACTTCAGCTTCCTGCTGTTTTTGAGCCACAAGATGAACATCAATTATACCTGCGTTACCAATAGAACGACCGCCAATATTTCTCCCTGCTGTGGAGGCAGCCGCAACCGCATCACCAACTGCATTAGGCGAGGCAGCATCGGACATCTTGTTCTGCCCAGATGAGCCTGAACTCCTGTTGTTCTGCCCAGATGAGCCTGAACTTCTTTTCGAGGACTCGAGTCCAATGCTAGCCGTTTCGCCTCCACAAGCAGCATTTAATCGCGCAATCAAGTCTGCTTTCTTGCCGGTCTGCGATAAGTGCTTTTCGCGACACATGTCCTTCAATTGGGCCACCCGAAGGCCTTCCATGCTGAGAACGGGACGTCGGGAAGGAGGCATTTTGATTCTCGACGTTTTGGTTTCTAAATATTGAGCAAGTGCTTTAGGCCGTCTTCTAGGTGGAGGTGAATGTGAACTACTATGATGCCGCGTAGGTATATGATGCATACGTTGTATTCTATTTCTAGGTCGAGGTTAATGTGTATGTGATTGTGAACTACTACAAAAAGTTCTTTGGGGTCGAATCTTCGTCGATTGACGACGACTACACATCACTTGCTCCAAAAAATGGCCTCACGGCGATGCCCTTTTTGTGATGAACGATGCTGAAGATGAAGGACGCAGGTAAGTATAATAAAAAACTCTTTTCCAATGTGGGTTCGGAATGTTCTTGAGCAGCGTGCGGACGAGAACACGCCTCGGCCAAGATCTCTGGAAAGCGCTTTCTGTGTTGAGATGAGAGGTCTGCAGATAAGCATTGTCAAGAATATCTGTACATTCTGTTTTCAACAATACTTCCACACCTTGAGGTATTCATCATCTCCTGATGTAGAAGTAGAATGATAGACTTTGTGTTCGCTCCGATCATGCTGATCATCTTGGTCAGATCTGCATATTACATGAATATTTGAGTTTGTAGTTCCATAGCAGTATTATTTGACTTCTGACGCGCAACATTGCAGTATTATATGACACGCAACAACGCAGCTGAAACGAAAAATCAACGACAAGAGCAACTTGGTACATTTTCATAGAAGTGAGGAGCCAACATGATTTGTTTACTGTTTCAATTTCCAATACTATATTCTCAGGAAAGCTCGAAGCACTATACAGTTATGGTTTTCCCCTCTAGAAGTAGTAGTAGTACAAGCAAGATTGAATCAAAGGAAGGAAGCGGTATCTTATCGGTATCGTGTTCAACAAGAATGTAGTAAGTAAGTTCATTTCATCGGAAAGTTCATTTCTATCATCTGCAAATGAGAATCTAACGCTACACTATCATCGATCTCCTCAATCAAGCCATGCTTTTTCCCTCTCCAAAATCGCTAGCATGTGTTCGAATTCCTCCACTTCGTTCCGCAAATTCCGCTTCAACCTGTACTCCGCAAAGCCTCGATGAAAAATTTTGTCATTTTTCACTCTTGAGTGCAACAGTGGCGGCTTTTCTAGAGTCCGCGCACCCACTATAGCAGGATCTTCACACTCTCCGAACTCCTTGACTAAAGCCCGCATCCTAGCCGACCGCGCACGCTGCATCCGAGGACTTCTGGTACTAGAAGATGCTATCTGATTACCACCTTGATTATTACTTGCTACCATCTGATTACCACCCTGAGGCACCGAAGACGTGGAGACTAATTGACGTTTCATTTTCTGATGAATCTGAAGTGGTTGTCCAGTACTTGTGGATGTTTTTATTCCTCCTGATCGCTGTGACTTCTGATGTGCTGTAGGTGGTGCTACGGAAGAGGCAAGGCCTAGGCCGGTTGGAGGTGCGCCCAACTGTGTCCAATTGGCGGGTGGAGGAAGACCTTGTTGTAGTCCTGGAATGCCACTCTGTGCAGTAGATGTTGACATGCTCTTCGCGGCAGGAGGACCAGCATTACTTATGGAACTTACGCCGCCCAGCTCGTCCAATGGCAACAGTTGCTCGTGCGATATGCTCGCACCCATTAAGTCGTCCGTCGGAGAGGGAGCCGGAGATGCATCTTCCATGAAGGAAGAAGCTAAGAATTCCCCAAAATCCACTGATTTTTGAAGCTTTGGCCGTATTGTGGAACGATCGATCCCTTCGATTGGAATCAGCGATGCGGGATCGATCTGGGGAGTGAAAAATCAGATCTTGATCTGTCTGCAAGAAGAGTAGAAGTCCTAGGACGAAAGACAAATAATAAAAGAGAAACAAAATTCTCGTATACATATTGCTACCTTGGATGGTGGAACTATCCCAGGCCGCTTCTTTTTTGGTGCTGGATTCACGTTATCAAATCCCGCTAGCTGTGTCGACACTTCCCATTGGTCTCTTTCTTCCACTGTTTTAAAGCCGGCTGCTCTACTAGAAGAACTTGCCGAAGCTCTTATGCTTGGCCCATTTACTCCAATACTAAGATCGCCACCTCCACCTCCATTACCATTAGCAGCAGAAGAAGATGAGGAAATAACGACTTTAGGTGTTGCTGGATTTCTTGCATTTATAGGCAGTTCGTCGCCCTGGCCCTCTTGGCCTTCCCCTTCGCCCTCCTTGCCTGGTGTTTCAGCTCCTGCTAGAGGTACTGCTTCCTGCGCCTGGTATCCAGTATCAGGACTATCGGGCGAACCCTCTGCTTCGACACCTCCAGTGTCTTCAGTTTCCGAGACCGACGGCGCATCCGCGAAAAGGTTGCCTTCGTTGAGGATCGGAAAGTGAGGTCGCAAATCCACTAGTTCGTGGTCTATCTTGTTCGGTCCGGCCCTGTGATTACTTCTCTGATGATGGTGAGGACTACCAGCAGCACTAGTATTACAGCCAGGACTACTCGCAGTTGCAGTTCTACTTCTCCCTGAAGCAGGCGGTCCCATGCTACTACTCGAAGATGTTCCCCTCCCACCTTGCTTCAGTCGCGAAGCCTGTAGAGGTACTTCCGCTGAAGATTCTGGTCGCATAGGAAAAGAGCTCGAAGGTGGTAGTGCGTCATTGCTGGAATAGGATCGCGGAATCCCATCTGTATGCTGATCGTGAAAGTCTGGGAATGCGCCACCTGCTTGCCGAGAGAAAGTAAAACCGGTACCAGAGGTGTGCATTCTTGGTGATTCGACACTGATGCCTTGTTGTGGTGTGTCACATGCATAGACCTGTGCGTCGTCCACGAACAAAAACTTGCTCGTCTGACTCTGACTAGGCATTCCCGGACCGTGTTGGCTTTCAGTTTGGGGTTGCTGTGCGCGACGAGGATTAGATGAATGGTGAGGTCGTCCGTAACTGTAACTATTAGTAGTACTGATTAGGACATCAAAATATCCGATATCTAATGGCCATAAGGATAAGCAGTAGTCCGTGATCTCAGTACTAGAGTCTTCAAACTCACTTCGAAAAATCACACTATGGAATTAACTGCAGTATTCATAATCCTATCCCGATCCACTAGTGCTCGCAGCCTGTACTCCTCATCTGCTAAAGTTTGTCTCGTCTTGCCACTAGGAGCGAACATCTTTGTCAGGTTCAATGCCCCTTCCAAATCCTCTTTCCTCAGTGTGTTTTGTTTGATAGAGTCAAAAAAGTACTCTGTTGGTGGTCGCAATACGAACCCACGCAAGTCTAAACCGTGAACCATTCCCGTGATGCACTCATGCTCTGCGCCTGAGGCGATACCTGGGGCCGCGTTGGTTGGAACTGAACGTTGGCATTGCAAAGACGACAGCTTGAATCATCTGATGTTATTTTGTTCATTTTTTTTACTCAATCTCAAAGGAACTTGTGAATAATGGATGATCTTGATCAACATGTTGAAATGCATGGTAAGATATTACCTGCATTCTCTGGCACATCCCTAATGACGTCGCTCATTTCTCCGTAGTCGCATTCGGTATCGCGCATCATTGACTGAAACTTCGCCCACAAGAGTTGATCCACGATGCATAGCCTCATATCAACATATTCCAAACGGTGCCACGGTGCCCATGGACAGAGTCTGGATTAGAGATAGGAAAAGGATTTTTGTTGATCAAGATTAAAACTGCCCATTCAATTGCGAATGCTCCTTGTACTCACCTTCACGACACTCGTCACCATGCTACGAATATTAGAAACCAGCCATAATCCAACAGCCTAAACAGGCTTGAAAGCGACTTCCGATCCAAAGCACCGTTGCCACGCAGACATAGACGCTGCAAGCCTCTTCTGCTTTCGGTTATCGCAAACCCCTGTTGTAGTTGACGCAACGAAAACTCTATCTGCGATATCACTGCGTTCAAGATCTTCATCACACCAGGTCCGCTGAACCGATTAAAAGACAGCCCCAAAAGCCGTAAGGCAAAGTTGTCGCGGATGTAATTTGAGATAATGTTTGCACCGCGCACACCAAGTTCGGCATCTGAGAGGTCCAAAGCTAAGAGGAAGATGCTCTTCGAGGCAATAAAAAGCTCAGTGGAGATGTAGGACATCCGGTTGTTCGCGAAAGACAAGGCTCGGATATTGTTGGCACGGCTTCCCTCGTTCATGAAACGAAAAACGTGCGCGAGGCTGGTCGTGGAGGTTAAATTTAAGAATATTGAGTGACTGGTCATGGTGGTCAAACAATTCAAAAGGAAGTCGTCGTGTAAATCGCGGGAAAGAACAATTTGTGTCAAGGAGTACATGCTATAAGCGTTCAAAGTACCCCACACTCGTAAGCCCACATCTGCTCAAATTCAGAACTCTCAAGTTTCGGAAAATCGGTCCAGCTCTTTTCCTCAGCAGAAGTTCGTACACGCCATGATCCCTCAAGGCGTTACCCCAGAGATCTATGTACAGAACATAGGGATGGCGGTTCACGATGGCCGTCGTCAGGTCTTGTATCCTTTCCAGATGATCGAACTCGCAGAGTCCCAAGTGCATCGAGTATGCACCGACGAAGAGCAGATTGAGCACATGCAGGACCTCCTCATGGCCGAAGCCCTCTAATGCCAGATCTCGGAGTTGGTTTCTTAGGGATTAAGGTTTTGCAGCTGATGAATTGAATCTATTCGGCGAGCTGCCTAAGATTTCCCAGACGCTATTGCAGCTATTCACATAGGTTTTGCAGCTATTCACATAGTAATCTCTCGAGCCTGTACTAGGGCGGACGTTATACGCGTACCTATTGAACAAGTGAATCCTTTTTCCAGGAATCTCTCGGGTAGGTAGAAAGTTGTATGCAGCTTGACGATGAGGGGATTGTTTACGACAGAAGTTACCTAGTGGTAGCCTTAAATTTTGCTTCGGGAATCGCCGAGCGGGAATCTTGTACCGCAACAGAGTGTTGCGAAACGGGTACTTATGCTCCAATATCGGCGGCATGGTGATGCTGTAGAGGTACTTTATGTCAAATTCAGTCTTCCAATCATGTATCTATTCCTTGCTATGTTCTCTAGCTGTTGCACTGCTTAACCCATATTTTCTTCAAAAACGATCTTCATGCTTCATCACAGTCTATTTCTCTTAGAAATTGGAAGCCATGTTCGCCCCTCAGCCGTCTCTCGAGTCCCACACATGCCGCCGTCGAACATAGCTTCGGAATGGTGGTAAAATGACACAGCGGTCAATCCATCTGGTGATAGTGCTGTCGCTATGGTTGCAATTTCGATATATCATAAGAACAATATCCAATTCCAATTCCAGTTCAACATCTGTCTCTACGTGTACATCTGGTACATGTTCATCGATCTACTTTATGTCGTTCCATGTCGCAGTCGCTTGTTGTGTGTCTAACTCTAAGGAATGAAGGAATAACTACAAAGTAAGCGGGGATCGGGTTGCTTTTCCTTGATGGGGATCGATAATATCGATATCAAGTGAAAGTGAATCTTCAGGAATCAAACGACATGAGAATGAAGCTACTTTTCAGATCTTCGTCAAGATCTTCTAGAATTATCAAGTATTTATCAAGGTAGGTGGAATTTCTGACCGGAAATAATGGAATCAATAATGAGAAAATGACTTCTTTAACAAGATATCAAGTAAATCTAAGTGCCCTATCTTACAATGACGAGATGATGAACCTCGTTAGATTTTCTAAGTAGATGGGTACAGCTATAAAAGAAGTTCTGCTATAAGTAGTAGTACAACGTCCTCATCTACTTCTCTGTAACTCCATCAAAATAAACTACTTTGAACAAGGGGTATTGTTTCATGTTCAACATACTTTGAACAACTACATCTTCATCAGATTCAGAGGTATTAGTTTGAACAACAACATCTTCATCAGAGGTATTGTTTCATCCACTTTCTGTATTTATCGTTTCTTCGTTGTTCTGCCAAAACATCCGGGTCCGCTCTAGGTTCCCTAGGATCGAATACGTCACGAGGCGGATTTGAGGATACGGACTGTGTTCCACTCCGCAGAGACGAGCTAGAGTGATTCTTGGAGGACAAGTAGGTTCCTCGAATCTGTTTCACAGCCGCTGAAGAGACGCTTCGATTGCGTCCCCCGCGTCTAGAGGATCCGTTTGAAGAGGGGGACCGAGCTCGAGGAGGAGGAGCTGGCTCAATTCCAGTAGGACTGCGATGGTGGTACATGCCGTATTGATCGCGAACAACTGAGTAGAATGAGTAGTCATGAGACCACATAGATACTAAGTAGAGTCTTCCTCAAAGACCAAATCTTCTGAGGGGAGACCTATGTATGATGTTGGAGACCTATGTATGATGTTGGAGACCACCTATGTATGAAGTTAAAAATGAGACTGTAAACTAAAACAATGTACTCCAAAGTGAAGGACTCTTTACTACACATCATAGTTATACCTAATCCGCTCCACGGCGATGCACTCCTTGAGGGTTCGTCGAAGTCGTCACTGTAATGTGGCTCTACTTCAGCTGCTTCTCGTAGCAACTCTCGTTCTCTAATCTCATTGGCGTATTTCATTGGGTCTAAATCGCGAAAAATGTCTTGCATTAGTCGTTGTTTGTCCACTTCTGAAATTCCAACATGATCTAACGTTTTGGTACTCTCTGTGCCGTCACGGTCGTCACTACTGCGCTTTCGTTTGCGGTTGCTTGGAGATGAGTTAGATGCGGATGAAGATGAACTACCTTTGGCCTGTTGTTGTTCTCCTGTTTTACGTTTGGCAGCATTATCTCCAGAAGCAGATGCACCAGGATCACCGCCAGCTTGATCACCTTCAGCAGGTAATAGCGGAGACTCCGTCGATTTTCTATTCCTACTAGCAGCTAGCTTCTTCTTCTTGTTCATTTCCTGTTCGTGCTTTTGCTGTTGCAACTGACCATGGACAAAAAGTTTTCGGACTAGTCTATCGCGCTCTGGTCCATGTGGCAAAACGACTAAGCCACCAACTCCAGTAGGAGAAGAGCCAGGACGACTGGGAGAATGCGAGGATCTGCGACTTGGACTATTCGCGCGAGAGGCGTTCCGTGAAGCCTCCATCCGTGAGTTCTCAAGTCTCACGAGCTCCGGATCCCGTGCGAGACTTGTGTGGAGATTAGAGTGAGGCGCGAGAAAAAAAGAAGAAGCGAAAGCAAGATTTATCTATCTATGTACTTACTGACTCTTGGAAAGAACAAATAGCTAGACATGATATTAAGCCGAGCAGGCCAACTGACGTCCTCTGACATTCATGAAACATCCCCTCATAACGAAAGTCGGCAAAGCGTAGTCACCGCCGTCGCGACCACCATGATTGTAGGCTGTTGGCACGTTCGCTTTGAAATGGTGGAGAACTTGAGGTTGTTTGGCATGCTTCAGCAGGTCGTCCAATGCTCGTTCTCCTTCCTTCACCCGTTGCAAAATGCCTAAAGGAGAGGATGGCATATCTTCAGTGTTCACCCGATTCTTACGCGGCATCTCCTGTTTGTAGACTTTTCTCGGACCTAGCTGTGGTTGAAACAACTTCACTGTTTCCGCTAATGTTAGAGCTACCGCAGAGGTTGCTGTTGCGTCTTCCCTCCTGAGAGCATCCTTCTTGGCTTCTTTGTCAAGTACTTGAAAAAAGAGGCCAAGGATGGCGCTGAGGAAGACGAAGGGTTAGCTCGGCTTCTTTGTCAAGTACTTGAAAAAAGAGGCCAAGGATGGCGCTGAGGAAGACGAAGAAGATGCTTTAATAGCAGTAGGAGCCTTAATAATGGATTCCGCGTGGTGTGCTTTTTAGCCCCTTTCTTGTTAATTGATAGCATCCACGATGGGTCTCGCGAATAGCCTTCTTCCCTGGTCAAATCGACGTAGTCAATACCGGGAACGTAGCCTGCACCACCAGCACCAGCAGATGCAGCATTACCTCCACTTCCAAGACTCGCTGAAGAAGAGGATGAGGAAGTTCTTGTTCCGCCTCGAGAGCGTTCATCTATAGCAGGCTCACCTTCCTCGTGAGGATGTTGAGGACGCATCTCATGTTCAGGATGTTGAGGACCTCTCGATGAACTGGCAGCGCTATTCCCAGTCAAAATGGCAGGAAGACGGACATGACTTCTCGCTGTAGGGCTAGAACTAGGTCTCGCGGGTGTGCCTCCGTCTAGCGTCGCTGAAGACGAAGAACTAGATACGCTTCCTAGGGTCCTGGTGAGTGGTAGTTTTGCACAATGTACTCCTGGATAAGGTTAAGGGCGATGTTGATCATAAAAAGCACATGCAAATGTATCTATCATCACATCAATGACCAGAATCGGACGTGATCGGAAGTACTTGCTCTTCGCAACGGTTCCAGTACTTCCCGTCGCACCATCGAATGAGAACCTGCGGTTAGCTGACCATTGGCCGATTCCTATCTGCTCCAGCTCCGTTTTCAAGGCTCCCAGGGTCCGCTTTGAAAATCCTTTTTCCCCTAGCTTGTCTAAGTCTTTGTTCAAACGCGACTTTTCTGCCTTCGCGCCGCCTAGGTATAACGCTAGGTGCGATAATTCGGTGATGCCTGTTGATGTTGGGGGGCGGTTATTTGGAAATGAAGTAGCTAACGGAGACAATCTCGAATTACAAGACAACAATACACGTCGAAAAGGAATTATCACTGTCACCAGGAGGAGATTGAATCAACCATGAAACATGAAAAACATGCCATGGTGAAACAAAAAATATTCAGGACTTCAACTTCATCCGTTACTGTTTCATTATTATATGAATAGTTGTACCAAGTCTGCTCAACTTTCGGCTAGCTTGAAAAACGTTCTTAGCGTTCCAGTGCGGAGCGCACTTCACGAGCATATCGCGGAGTTCTTTGGATATCATCTCGTCTTCATGTCACCGTGGGTAGACCACTAGTAACGGGATCTCCCAGTCCAACCCTTTTCCGGATAAATATATATTTATTAGTAATTGTTGTCCTCGCACTCGCTGTAGTGCTTCCTTGAGGAAGAGGATGTCATCAACTTCTGTTTGGAATTCAACATGTGTCTTCGTTCCGTTTAACTTTAACAGCAGAAGTTAAAGTTGGGAGTTCTCGTTGCCTACGTCTGCTGTGCGCTGCTAATTGATCATTTACAGGCTGACCATCTGAAAGTGAAATCAGTGATATCATGTTGCACACTCTATTCGTATTCTGATTTTTATTTTTTGGGAATTCACAATTGTGTCGAGACTCGAGGCAGGTAGGATATCTCTACATAAGTCACTTGACGGAAGTGGTGCTTTCCCTCTCGCCTCTTCACGATGTTGGTACCGATTTGCAACTCCACGATTGATCCCCTCAGTCTCAGAATGCAGTTGTCTTCGCCGATACTACCGATTGAAGAATCAGACACAGCGGATACACGATAGAGTCGAGCAACACGAGCGATGCACAAAGTTGCGACCGTCACTGATGGATTACAGATCGTAGCAGTAAGAACAACTATGAAACACTAATATGAGCAAGATGAGTCCTCTGACTCTTTCATTCATTTTTGGAGATTAGCAGGGCAGATAACTGTCTTGCTGAGACGACTAGACATCATGAATAGAACTGTATTCATGGGTCAATTATGGTGGGAAAACGAGGGCTTTGATTGTGGCAGGGAACAATCACAAGGTCGCGGACGCAAAGGGTAGTCTTCGTTGTTTTTGCTGTTTTGGCTGCTATACCGTACTCCAGCTCTACGAATCTCAGTCACCAATCATCAAAAGTGAAAGCTTTCACTTGTTGGTTCCTTTTTCTAGCAGCTGCGGCGTATTCTCGTTCCTCCTTGCTTAGTTGGCCCAACGACTTCTGTAGCTCTTCCATAGTCGATACGCCTGGCACCGCAGCATCACTGGCAACCTGGTTTAGGATCTTCTTACTACTCAGAGATGTTGAAGATGTTGACGTTCCATTAGACCCATTGCCTTGACCAGCAGCTGGAAGGTTCATAAGCAAAGAGGTGCCAGATTTCTTCTTTGTCGCGTCTATCTGGAAGTATTTTCCGACCTCATCCTTCCCTCGATTCGCGTGAGTCGCCATCACGTCTCTCCTGTTGTTGAACCACACTGCGTCCTTCTTTTTGGCTTCCTTCTCCTCTTCTTTTGCTTCCCATTCTAAAAATTCCACAAATGGATTTGAAAAGATTTCGACCTTCTCTATGAAGATTTTATGTTTCGGTCTCGCATTCTTCCCCTCTGTTGGTACGTCATTGGAGATCTGCTCGAGCAAAGCAAAGTTACCCACCACGCGTCCAAACGCTGTGTGCTTCTTGAACAACACCTCAGACAAATCGTCTCGTAGAGTGAAAAAAAACTGTGACTTGTTCTGGTCTTTGATTCCCGGGTTTGCCATTGCTAGAGTTCCTCGCTTCTCAAATTGCAACCTTGCATCGAACTCGTCAGCAAACGGACGTCCATCTTCGAAAGCACTCACGCCACCAGTCCCGTCACCATTTTCGCCGTCGCCACCCTGCAAGACGAAGTTCGACACTAGTCGATGAAAACAGGTCCCGGTGTAGTAACCAGACTCGCAATGTCTCAGGAAGTTGTGAGCAGCATGAGGCGCCATGTCTGCGTGAAGTTCGACATTGACTGCTCCTAACGTGGATTTGGTCTTGTCCTTCTCGATCCCGAGGATGATTTTCACGTACCCTTTGGGGTTTTTGAAATTCCAATTACTGGGTCCACCTGTAGTACTAGAAGAAGGTGTTTGTTTATTTCCACCAGCACCACCCCTTTGTCGCATTCTATCGTACAGCAACTGTCGCTCTTCAGCATCCGTATTCGTTCGATACTCATTCTGCATTTGCGCCGTCATGCGGGTACTGGTAAATCCCCTCGCCGCTGTGCCAGTGGTGAAGAGCTTATGTGTCGTTCTGCTTTTCTGTCGTTCTGCGAGCTTCGCGTTTTCGGCGTCTACTTTCGCTTGTTTCGCCTTTCGGTCTTCTGCTAGTTCGCCCATCCGCTTCTTCTGGGCCACCAGCGCTCCTCGCAAACTCGGATTCAGATTGATGAACTCGGAATGCTTCTCGAGAAAAGTGTCTACCGAGTCAGCATCTTCTTGACCTGCACCACCAGCTGCTAATGCAAGTTGCTGCCCTGCTCCTGCTGCTGCAGAGGAAGAACTACTCGAAGACGACGATGACGGTCCCGTTCCTACTTTCAAGATGTCCTTGCTCAGTCCTATTTTGCTGAGTTTTTGTTTGCTTGTCGCCAAAGTCGTCAGCATATTGCCTTCCGCGTCCACTAAGCCAAGTTCACGCGCGTTCTTGACGTGCCAAAACTGCGTGACATCGCGTTTTTCCGGCTTCGTGGGATCTTGGATGCTGACGATATGCGTGGCCCAATCGAACTTTTCGCCAGACACCAAGTCCTCATAGTTGTTGGCTTTCTTGTTCATCTGCAGAACAGTGTCGTACAGGTAGACAACGCCACTCTTCAAGTTGCAAACAACGTGGGCATTTTCGTGGAGCACCTTCTCCGTAACCGGGTCTACGAAAGAGCCAGTTTCGTTCTGGCGGATCTTCATCGGCGTCAAGTGCTTGATGCTCAGCGTCATTCCAGTGATGGGGTTCTTACTGTGCTCGATTAGGAACCTGGAGATATAAATATGTTGGTAGATGAAAATCAGCATTTTCATCTAAATTTCATGTAAAATCTAATTAGTACAGTACGTAGGAGGTAGTAATACAACACGACCATATTTGGTCGTCCTGTTGTACAAAATCAGAATCACAAAACCACAACATCATCAAAGGAACCAGAAGAAAATCAATACGGAATCAAATTCTCTGCATCGTAGACTTCTCCGGTATTGGTGCAAACCGGAGATGTGAACTTTTGGAGACTGAAGCCGCAACACTGTATTGGCAGCTTTTTGAAGGGGAGCATCTTCTCCATGTAGCCACCCCAATTCTCCGCATACTCCTGCGGGTTGATGTACAGCTTGTCCTTACTATGCTGATTCTTCCCCATCTTGTTGCTCTTTCTTGGATGAAAACTAAGAAAGAAGAGAAGGAAATGAAAGGAAAGATGTTGGAATATACGTCTAGAAACAGCTACAACAAGGTGGAGAAGTAGTTATAGCAGATATAAGTTCTACCACTACAAGATGTTACTGACCAACTCATCTCATCAAGGTGTGGAATCACTTACTACCTGCGAATTGTTCTTGTAGATGATGTATTGAACGTCCTCATTTTTGCATGAAGCCTACATATCTGGTCGCGATTATTCAGACACGGCGTCGGCGTGCAACATGACGTGAAGCAAGAACAATTCTGCAGTGACTCACATCATCTGTAAACCACATCAAGTAAGAACTAGAGTGAGGAGATCAACGTCAGATATCATCTTCAGATTCTTATGCTCGCAAGGGTACTGTCAGACCAGTGCAGAAGAAGACCCCAAGGGATTTCATTCCAGCAGCAGCAACTCGCATTTTTGGCAATGGACATTTTGTATTCAACGTCCGCCCTATCCTTTTTTTCTATGAACAAGGCCGAAGCATGTCGTACAGGACGCTCATTTTTTTGATTCGATTCTTCTTGATGAAGAAGTAGGTATGAACAAGAACATCAAGAAAAGGTCGCCGTATTCTCATTAAAGAGTTGAAGATGCACCATTTCCATTCGCCACTGGATTCTCATGTGTGTCACGACTTGACTATATTATGGCTAGTATACCCGACCTCCCTGTGACGTGTGCGGCTAGTATGAGTAGGTAAGTATGCTGGAAATGTGTTGATCATTGGCATTGGGGTGCTGCATCTTATATATCATGACTTGCTTGTCCTTTTACGGTAGTACCAGAGCAGACATGGAGAGTCTCAAAACTCAAAAAGAACTAAAAAGATCAATGGATCGATCACGATCAGGTTCACTTCAGGCAGGGAAAAAATACTACAAACTTCTTCTAGAGTGTTTTCTTCAAACCTCGCGCCGTACGAGTACATTCTTCAGATAGCTTACTTTTTCGACTGGAAGCCCGTCTTCTCTGGCTTTTCTTTCTCCAACACACTTCATATCATTCGCCCACTCACCTGATGATCGGAATGTGGTGATGAGAAAGATGAAGATGTTTGGCAGGTGTTACAACATCGTTAAGGATCAGGATCTTGTAGTTCGTCAAAACTATAATTTCTTGATCAAGCTCAAGCTCAAGGAAAAACAAAAAAGCAGTTGCTAAGGATGAAGTACCTGAATAGCTCTTAAACCGTCCTTCTTCGTATACGACTTCCCCCTTGCCATGCCTCTTGTCGTCGACAAAGCCACCAGTATATACGCCAACTCCTTTGATTTTTTGCACTCCTTGGCCATTTTTCTTGTCATCTGTTGATGTTCAGAAGTTTCATGGAAGATGAGGACGGTGATTTACTCTGGTCTGACGTTCTTCTTGGGGTGAGGTCGTCACACAAGATGGCATTATCATGCCGGAACTAGAAGATATAAGTACACCCAAAGCAGGTAGAGTTATCATCATATTCATTTCGCAACAAGTATCATACCTCTCCACTCCCCATTGTAGTTCTCGTTTTCGCTATTCAGGATGCCTCGTCCGTGTCGCACATTATCTTGAAATTCGCCGTCATAGCTTATTCCAGTAGAGGTATAAACCATGGATCCGCTACCGTTGATATTATCGTGCTCGAACTCGCCATGATAGGTGAAGTCGGGACTCGTCATTTTGCCACGACCATGTCGGAAGCCTTCGCACCAATCGCCGTCGTATCTGATATAGAATCACTGTTTATCTATTTTTTTTTACATGGCGTAGTTGGAGTTGTATTAAGTTGGTTTTCATCGAAAAAAGTCGTCCGTTCTTGTAGACACTTACTTTGCATTACCTCCTCTACCTGTAGATGCCCTCCGTTACCTTTACTTTTACGACTAGACAATTTTCATCATGCTGAAACAAGTAACAAAAATTACTCCGTCTTCTCCGCTGGATTCACAAAGACGCCCTTTCCATGCTTGTACGACGCATACCACTGGCCTCTGTAGACGGTTCCACCTTCGTAGAAGTAGACGCCGTGGCCCTCAAACTCATCCTTTACGAACTGACCTTCATATCTCGTACCAGGTGTCTTGGAGAAATGGTACCTGTTGGTTTTGGAGGAATGGCACGTGTGGGTGCGGTGGTCGTTCGAGGTGGCGAAGGAACTAGGAGATGGTGGACTATTTTCATGGCAATATAGTTTTTTATGTCTCACGAGCGTGCTTTAGATCCACCGTGGCACGGTTCAGCAACTGTGAATTTAGAATATAGGTACGTTCCAGTCCCATGTCGAAATCCGTCTCTGAATTCGCCTTCATAGACGTCTCCGTTTCCGTACTCTACCCGCGCAAAGGTATTACGAACCACCGCCACAGAATGCTTGTGCTTAGGTGCGTCGTTATACTCATATTCTTTGGTGAGGTCCAACATTGTGGTGTAGTTGGACGAGTGGTGTAGCCTATTTGTGTGTTTTCGAACGATGAAAAACAGGTTCAAATTAAAGACATCACAGAAGATTTCAAAAGTTGTAAAGTGAAGCAATGGGGAACAAGTAGTACGTAGGAAGCACCTCAGTAGAAATTACTGCATAACAAAACAATCAACATATTAAAACCAATGTTGGGGGAGTGGGACGCATGAAAATTATCAGCACGGCTGGTTGCGGTGTCGAGGTTATCCACTTGCTTGAAAGGGACATCAAGACTATCTTATTTGCCTCGACGTGATGAAACAGAGTCTTTCGCTTTTATCTTGTTCGTACACAGCTCCACTACAGAGATATTTGTTTGCCAAAATGATTTCAGCGCACTCACGACAGACAAGTCATCTCGGGACTTCTCTCAATTAACGATATGGGATGCAGAAATTCTCTTCCCACTCAAAAACAGAAGTAGATTGTAGAAGACGGAGTCAAAACCATTTCCTCGCCTTGATCATAGCTGAATTTTTGACATTCCCTTCCTCGTCCATCTCTTTAGTTCTCGCTCCACTCACTATGACAATCACTTGGACGTATGTCATCCGGCTGGCGCTGCAGAGTGTAGACGTGTTCCTCCTGACGACGATCAATGGTTCAGTTGTGATTGCATTTTTGAGATTCGAAGCCAGAATCGAAACAAATGAAATCAGAGCGAAAAAGACTTAACATAAAAACTATGCATGGTTGTAAATATTCGAAGACTGTAAACTTAGTGGTTATTGACTTTGACGATACCAAAACTATCAGATGTGTTCCACATGATACACTTTTTTATTAAAGGGAAGATATTGAAGACGCAACTAGTATACGGACATCGAAATGATGATCTCTAGATACCCTCCTGTAGTTTTAGATAGACCAGGACGAATTACTTTTTGTACAAATGACCTGCAGCCGCTAATGTGTAATTCGTCGCATGAGCTTCGACCCCAATGCATGTTGTGATTCTCTTTCAATCTTTCTATGGTGGAAGACTTTATGCCGATATGCTAATGCTTCTTGTCTATACAATAACAGTTTACATTTGTACATGTAGCAGTATGACCAGCATCAAGTATTTCTTCATGTCTTGTTTTTTCAACAACATCAACATGTCAGTTTCATATTCCCACACCCACCAATCATTCTGTACGTTTTTGTCACTGTTGTTAGCTGTATTCACCACCAGCCGATTTCTATACAGGAAAATCAAAATCAGTATGAATGTTGTTGTGTATCTATGTATAGTATAAGAAAATCTGCAAGATGAATGACTCAACATGAATAACATTATCATTATCATCGATCTACTAGGAAAATTTGTCTACCTACTTCGTTACACAGAGAGAAGTCTGCCCATGGTTATCAGGGTCGTCGTCCGGAACTGAATTCCGATGGTACTTGTGAGACGTTCGAACTGCCACCTTCTTGTACAACGCTTTCTACTCCCTCTACTTGATGTTCTTTGCCTAGTAGAGGTTGAGGTGATCTCGTTTGTACTAGTTGCTCACCCTCATCATGCTTCTCTTCTTCTTCTAGTACTACCTTGTAGTCCTTCATCTTGTCCTGCGTGGTAGAAGAAGATTTGTTCATCAATTTGTTCTTGTTTTCCGCTTCCTCTACCATGTTATTCATTCCCGAATAAGTGGTATTCTTAAACCCTTTTAGACTATGGTGTAGCTTGGCCCTGAAATCTTCCATCCAGCAATCGACAGGGCGAACCAACACCGAACGCGTTTCTGTAGGACTTGTTGCCTGTGTGCCTGTTTCTGCTTTGCAGAAGTTATCGGAGGCCTTTGTAGTTTGATGGTCCTCTTCAAACCTTGGTGGAAACAATCCAAATCGTGCTAGTTCTCCTGGAATCCGAGCTAGTGTCTCGATGGCTTCCCTTGCTGCACGTCTGGCGACACGATATTCTTGGCGGAGAGCAAGAATTTGTCGTCGATCTTCTTCGGTAAACTTGATGTGAGTTGTTGTAGACAGCACATGAGTAGCGTTTATCTTGTTCTGATGTTGGTCTGGTGTCTCCAACAACTCCAAAACGTCCTCAGGCGAACGCGGTGTCCGCTTATCCTCTTGGGCACCATCGTCATAATGTCCTGGGTCTAGGTCAATTTGGACCAACCTGTGTCGACCTTCTGAGAAAGAGCAATCCTTCGGCAAAGTTTTGTCATTGAGACGTACCAGAAAGTCGAGGTCATCATGATGTTCGAGGTGATGGCCATGATGATGAGGCTGGTGCTTGCTGGCGAGAATCTTCTTCTTGTTGGAGACCTTGATTGTCGTGTTGCTGCTGTAGTTAGTGGGCACCGGTTGTGCACCAGCGAAGTAGAGTGTCTCAGATTGATCTTCTAGTAGAAGTCACGCCTTTACCATACTCAGAACAAGATAAGATAGTCTCACTATCTTTCACATTGAACATCGCTGCTATCCTAGAACGCTCCTCCCGCGTGAGAGTCACTGCAACAACGTGAGTTGCCTTGCAGCTCCATCACCAGAAGCATCTGACTTGTCACCAGTTCCTGCACAGTCTACTTACACCAGGCGAATGCCATGATCTCGTTATGTAGTGCATTGAAGTCAAGATAGTCAAGGAGAGATCGCAGATCCTCCATCCGTCCACCCGCGCAGCGGATGGACGTACCCGTTGGACACCTCGGGCCAGGTCGGTGCTGCCCCTCCTTCGCAGCACCGCGTCAGCACCCACCTCGTGAATGTGCTGTCCGGTCACATAATGCAACACCTGAAAAGCATCACATCATGCAAACTATACCAAGATCCAACCGAAGGAAGGATGATACTGTGTCATTGTGCTAACGCTAGACACCTAACCCACATGAGGCTAGTGCTCGAAGAGCACTCGAAGCCTGGCCAGTCAACAGACAGACAAGTCCGTAAGGCTCCCTGTACTGCCACCCCAGTTACTGCCTTCCATCACGCACCAGAGCAAGCGTCCTTGCTATACTCGCTGCGACAGCAAGGTCCTGTCTTCTGACATTCCAACAGATTCGCACCCGCAAGGCGCGGCTGCTACATCCAACTGCAGGCCACGTCTGGCGTAGGATCGGATATCCTCCGCAACGCTCTCAAAGACTTCCATGACCAATGCGCAGACATAAGTCAATCCTAATGGTGTCGCTAGGCGAAGCCTATCTAGACATAACCATAGCGGCGAGCGAAACTCGCTTACTTCCAAGCCGTTTCCATCTATGGCCCCATTTTCAACGGTGTCGCGCGGTCTATCAACAACCCATTGCGGGTCTAGATCCATGGCAGCCATTTCCCTTCGAAATGGCACAAAGTGAGACTATCTTATGCTCTAAAGTGAGTCCGGTAACTACGAGTATTCCCATAGACGCCCCCAGGACGACGTCTCATGTGAATCCGGCTCACAACATATAAACTCGAGTCACTGCATGCCGGGGTAAAGGGGGATCAATCCTTTACGCCACCAGCCATCCAGCGTTCCCTGATTCGCAAACCACCGTGCCCCAGCCTGACTAGGTTGATAGACTTTGTTGTTGCTGAGCTAGAACAGGCCAAGAGACAGTCGGCCTCTTCCCGAATCGATCGGACTCACTTCACCCACATATAACCAGCCCGCAGAGTTTGGACATAGCAGCAAAGTCCTTCGTTAAATAATGCTAGCAAGTGTTTATCTTGATGTGCGTAAGCCCACCCAGACAAGAACAGAAGAAGCACGGTCTTGGTCCGAAGATTCCAAGGCCTCAGAACGGAACTTCCATCGTCCCTAGATCTCATCCTTCTGATCATTGTCCTCCGTCATGAAGTCTTCCCTCGTTTTGCCCAACATGTCCGCCGTCGACGGAATATAGTCAAGCTGTCCCAAGAACTGGGAAACGTGAGAAGACGGAACTGCTCGCGTAACCAGATGCGTAGGGAGTTTTCCTGCCGCCGCACCGGTCGCGTCCTGATTATGCAGATCGGTAAGAATAATATAGCGCGCACTGACCTTTTTTACTTTGAACAAAGCTGGATAGTTCTTTGGATCGAGCGACTCCTTCCTTGCTTTATTGTTCTTCACTACCGCTAAGTCTCCTACAACCAAAGGAGTCCACAGATGCTGCCCCTGCAGTGTCGTCTGCGCTATCGATCGAATGTTACTCCTCTCGTTTCTAAAACGTTCAGCTTCTTCTGTTATATTCTGACGAAATTTGTTCGCCTCTTGCAAGTAAAGGTCGGTCCCAGCGTTCCCGCCGAACGCAGTCCGGAGGGTTTCCGAGAACGCGTGTCGTGGTTTACAGCCAAAGACCACCTCATACGCAGATCTTCCATTCAACACCTCGTAAGGCGTTGTGCGCGCAATCCAATTCAAGTAAGGAACAAGCTCAATCCATTTTGAATTCTCCGCAAATTTCATCAGCAACTTCCTTAATGGCTTGCGCAACACTTCAACCAACCAATTCGCCTGCGGGGAATAAGGCATCACTGGAGCATGGTGCACCCCGTACACCTGGAGCCATTTGCCTAAACTCTTGTCGCCCTGTTCGCCGAATCCTCGATCTGATCGAACAGTCACTGGGTAACCAGTTAAACAAAATACATTCGCCACCAGCGCTTCCGCAGCCTCTCGCGTGAGCTTCGACTTCACCGGGATAAACCAGCTGAACAGCGTGGCGTGATCCCTTACCGAGAGCAAATACCTATAGCCCCGGTCCACTTTGAACGGGCCCACATGATCAACGTTCAAGATTCGAAAGAATCCCAAATGCGTCTCGTGGCCTAGCGGGGCCTTATTGCGTGTGTTTGTTGCCTCAGCAATGGTGCACGAAATGCACGACTTGCAATGATTTTGGACATCTCTCCACATCGTCGGCCAAAACACGCTCCGATCAAGTAAATGATTATAAGTCAGGGTCGGCCCGCCATGACCGGTTCCCAACAAAGAGTTATGCGCGAGGATTAAATAATATTTTCTCCAGGGAACCGCTTTCCCTCCCACCGCAGCTGGTTGCTTCCCCCCTAAAGGTATACAAACAACAGGATGGTCTCGAAAACGAGTCATTAAGAGTCTCGTGTCGCCGTCGATCCAATGCTCCGGCATCCGCGATGTTGCGGCTCGACCGATAGCAAGCTCCTTGCATTTTCGAGCTACATCGAGCTCTATCTGTACTAAGTCCCGTCCCTTATTACGCGCAAGACACGCATAGTAAATAGGTCCGCACTCGCGGCATTCCACCTGATCCCTGTACAGGCTACTGCGAATACCAGCACCCTGCAGAGATACCAGTGCGGGAATTGCCGAATCCTCACCACAAAACACAAACTTCCAAACTCTTAACGACCACCCTGCCTTCACAGTGAAGGAATGACCATCCTCACTTAGTAACGCAGGAAAAGCCGAAGGAGGCCCCGCCTGTAAGGACGTGGCTTTTCCCGCCATCCATAGCGCTACCCGCGCGACCTGTCCTTCACCTGCTCGCACATCCACACTCCCATCTTCACTTACATTGTCTCGTCGGGCAATGGTATAATTCTGCTCCACCACTGGCAGCGTAGGGAACAACACACGAAATCCCTTAACGCCATCTGGGTTGGCCAGAAACTTCGTCCGCATCTCGGCCGTGAGGGTCGCGAGATCTGTCGCCGGGACAAACTCTGTCAAGTCAGGAGCTTCGCCGGAGTGCGTCCCCTGCCCGCATTGACATTTGCAAAGTATTGCTGGCACTCTCCCAACATAGCATCGCCGAACTTCGGTATAATTCTCACAGGGAGGATCATCCAAAAAACAAGACTGAGGGCCCCACGAAGCGGAAACCGTAAACAAATCTTGTGAGATATTCTGAGTAATGGCAGACCTCTCTGGCTTCTTAAACACATGAAAGAACTCACGGTGCCCCTTACTCGTCTCATTCCCCTGGACCTCTCCCGCTCGTCTCGCAGCTAGCGTTTCTGCTTCTGCGAAAAGCTCCTTCAACCTTTTCCAGGACGTATCATATGCATGGGTAAAGGTGGCATTGCCCGAGATTCGAAAGAATTCTCTATCCACCGGGCGTCCGTCAATAGTACCATGCACCACAATATTATCCTGCCGCGGCTCATGGCGACGATACAACCGTCGCGGGAGGAAAATCCCTCGATATCGTTCTGCCACAGCAGCAGGCCGAAGCTGTGACCTCATATGCTTCATGCAAATTCGAAGCCGTTTATTGGCTCGCGACGGCCCCCCAAGGTACTCCAGGAACCTCTCCCAAGACAGGAGCCGCGGACGATTATCCGCGGTGAGTAGCCCCTCTTTCCACTTGAGATCATCAATTGAAGTTACCCGCAGCAAAACCCAATGGATCCCCGCGTCACTCAAACTTGGACACGTAGGGAGTTGCGCCGCTAACGCAGACCCGTTATGTACTTGCTGCGTCAAATACCGCTGCATGGCTGATATTACACTCTCACCGTCGCTTACTGGCCCGCCAGGCAATCGAAGAATGAACTGCCCTCCAATGCCAAACTCATCTACATCAGCGGCCAACACACGACCCAGGTGCGTAATCACCACGGCATATACTCGACGCTTAACCTCCTCCCCCTCCATGCCTACATCTGCTACCAGATTCGGCGCGTCCTCCTCCTCTGAAGCAGACGGCAGCCCCGCATTACAGGGGTTACAGGTCAACTCTTCGCCTTCACTGGATCGAAACACGTGAAACGCGCCTCCATCCTGACGAAACTCACAACTATCGAACGTACTTTCATCCAAAGTAACACCTCCTAAAGGTCCCGCCCTATTTAGTTGGTTCAACGCTTCCACTTTCTTTCCTACCTGCAGTTCACTGGCCCCAACATCACCGCCAATGGCCCAGCCCGATGCCAATGCACACGGCAAGTGATCGTGGGGATCATCCATCAATTCACTGGGGTGAATTGGCGGTAGGAAGTTATCCACCGCAAGGACTCTTTTGCGTTCAGCCATCATTTCATCCAACTGCTCGGGATTACAGAAGATGAACTGCACCAGTGATCGGATACGAGGAAGCATGACAGCTAGGTCATCTAACTCTTGCAGGTCCTCACTCACGTCATCCCCATCCTTCAGACGGGAAAGGGCATCCGCTACCACATTTGCCTCGCCCTTTAGATATACCCTTTTTCCGGTGGACAAAGGGCGGGCAATCAGATAAAACCACCTTAGCAGCTTCCCGCCGGTGGTCTTGTTCGCACAAAGGTTGTCTAACTCTTTCGTTCCTAGATTCTGATGATCCGTGTACATCACCCATTTGCTCCCCTTCACGAGGTTATACCCATGCTTAACAAAGTCCACTATAGCATAAAGCTCGCGCTCCAGTGTTGACCATTGCTTTTGCGTTTTATCAAACGAATGGGTCGAACATTTCCATACCCGGAGTTGTCCCGTTGCCGTTCGTTGACAGATTGCCCAAGCAAACCGATGCTGACTTGCATCGGTGAATACTTCAAACGGTCTTCGCCAAGTATTCGCCGCGTCATAGTCGGGCTTGATCAACACCGCATTCCTTGAGACGACTTTCTTCAACGCCTCAAAGGCTGCGACCGCCGCTTCGTCCGAGTGAAACTCGGCGAACGGCCGCTTCTTTAACTCATAGTCCTTTAGTGGCGCAGCCACATTCTGCAACTCGCTGGTATAACACTGCAGATAGCGCACGACATGCACAAACGAGACCAAGTCCTCCCGGTTCGTCGGTAGCGGCCAACTTTCAATCTGAAACAATTTCGCCGGACTCGGGTGCATTCCCTGTTCATCGACAATATGACCTAGAGCTTCGATTTTGTCGGCACCAATGAGCGTCTTGGTTAACGACAATCGTGCTCCACTGGATTCACAGGCTTCAAAGACGCCAATCATCCGATGGATGAACACGTCTAAGTCATCCTCACCGAACCCGATATCATCGATGAACACTTCGCTTAAGTGTCCGAACGCAGCCTCAGTCTGAGCCTGAAACCAACCCGGGGCCGGACTCGGTCCTAACGTCAGACGTGTGGGCAAATATACCCCAGCATGCGTCACAACCGCCAAAAGTCGCTGCGTTTGCTTGTCTAGCTTTGCTAGGTTATATGCCAGCGACAAATCCGATCCGAAATATAGCTTTTTCCCTTTCAGATTATGGAAAATCTTCTCCTGATTCGGTGCCGGAAGCGCTATCGGAGTTAGCGCTTCGTTACACTTACGATAGTCCACCACGATCCGGCCGATAACCGAGTTCTTCCGTGGAGCCAAAAAAGCAGGACTGCAGAAAATTGGTCGCGTGCTGTCAGTCCCATCCCACTTTTCAAACAAGCCGTCATCCAGCTGCGTTTGAAACAGGAAATCCAGACACCGCTTCCCATACGCACTCAACTGCAACGGATGCGGCAGGCTTCGATGGGTCACTCGATTCGGATTGTAGTCGAAATGGCACACAGTCTTCAGACTAGGGAAGGGACATCCTTCATCGTAGAAATAGTGCGCATTATCCCGAATCACCATCAGAAGCTTATCCCTCTGATCCTGCGAGAGATGGCCGTAACCCTGTAACTGTGCCGAAAACACTTTCATCACATTCGCAGACCATTCTTCGCTTGGCACCTGCCACTTTTGATTCCTCGCCCGTTTTGCCGTTCGGTCGTCAACTTCCTTCTCAAGGTCCTCGAAATTCTTTGGCTTGGACTTATTCTTATACTTTGCCATATTCACTATACCCTGGATCTGACACACGCTCTCCCACTCCTGGAACAGGGCTCCCATGTGGGCAGTATCCCTTGCTTCAGGAAGTTCTTCAGAGAAGACATGCGTTTTATTCGTCGCGGCTGCGGCTGCCGTCCCTCGAAGCTCCCTTGTGCCAGCTTCTCGCTGCTGACTTTTCATCCACTTGCACCATTCCCATCTTACATTAGGGAGGTCCACCGGCGGATCCACAAAGTTATGCACTTCGCGGTCCCAATCCGAAATTTCAGAGGACTCATCCGCAAAGGTTCCCCCGAGACGCCACACATCTGCGCATACTCGGCTGCCCAGTGCTGCCATGCCAGGATCATAGTCCGTGCTATTTACTTTCATCAAGGAGGGCTCGCCCCCAGCGAGCAATCCATGCTTGCCCACGATATCCCACAGACCCAGATCGGTGATCAGGGCCGCAAAGGTCATACACGATTTCCACCCGCTGAACGGATCCCAGCGGTTATTTTGAATTTTTGAAGAAATTTTCGGAGAAGCTGGGTTGTCCTGCGATTGAGGGTGTTGAGTATCCCTATGTATAACACCCTCGCCCCCTGGCTGTGGCGTAAAACCTCCAGGGGTTTGAGCTACAGTCATACTGTTACTCACCAGGGTTTCTTTTGTTACTGGTTCCAACGGCTGGATTTTGACATGCTCTCGCGTCAGCGCGACACTCCGCGCCTTCGGTCTATGATTAAAAATTTCCACCACGTGCTCGGTTTCTTCAGTATCAGAGGCCTCGAATAAAACTGGAAGGAACGAAATTCCATCTCTTGCAGCTTTCAAACTTGGCTGCACCACGGCCATCGTATTCGGATGATTAATCGGCGGACAGCGAAGAGTTGCTGTAATGGAGGCGAAAGCCGCTACGTACGCCAGGCGCGTCATCGCATTGATAGTCGGTTTGTTGGTGGAAGTATTGAACTCTACAGTGGGGACCTCTTCTCCAAGGAGCTCAACCCATTTATTCCCTTTGCTAAGTGGGTTGCAATTAATTCCCAAATCGTATACCGCTGTATCGCCTGCAATGATACATCCCGGGGTGTTTAATCCGTCCACAATCAGAAACTTCCGCTTAAGGTCCAGATATTTTCCAGATCGCGTAGCAATCTTAAAACATAACACACACTCTCGATTTGCGGTATGCGAAAACTTTTTTCTTCCAAAAGAGATTTCCACCGGCTTGCAGCTAAATGGTGGCGAGGCCACCGCTTCGAGCTCTCTCTTACCACGCAGCCTCTCGTAGCTTGACTTGTCAATCACGTCGTAGCCCAACCACGCCCCCGGATCCAAGTATAGGGGTACTGGCATGTCCCGGCCGAGAAACCCAGCGATATACACTGGCGCTCGGCGTGGTCGCTTGGCTTCTTGCTTTGTTGCCTCCCACGCTGAATTCATCATTGAAACAATACCGTGGTCACGCTGGAAGCGTAACTGGGCCCTTGATATCAGTCGAGGCAACGCCGTTGGCGTGCCTCTCAGATAGCAAACCCCCTGCTCCAATACTTTGCACACCATCCACAAAATAACAAATAGTTGGCTCCATATCCACACAAAATCCCTCACCGAGTCGCCAGCCCAAGATGGTTCCGGCACTTCCATTCGATTCCCTACCGTTGCAGTTAATTGGACATCATTCCAGAGCGATGCATCGATCGAGGGACCAGTCTCATGCTCATTGATTCTGCAGAGACAAGTCATCCCCTGAATCATTGCTCATAGAATTCAGTCGCCCACCTTTTCCAGAACCTTTGCCCTTGCCTGTCCCTTTCACACCTTTCCCGGTGCCTTTCCGCATCTTGTCACTTGGCTTTTGTACTCCACGATTTGGATTGAGCTTCTTCGACTTTACCCACGGCGGCGGGTGAAATTGTTGTGCTTCCGTAGGCGAAACAAATTTACACAAAGGATCCGCGCCACTTGCTTTTACCTCGGCTAGCTCGGCGGCGAGCCCTGCTTGAAACTGCGGCTTCGAAAAACTAGGGTGATGCGGCCTTCCTTTCTCATCCACAAGGACATCACAATACACTACTCGCGTCTTTGGTCCTCGTTTCAGGACCCGGCCTGCTTGCCTTGCTAATAAGTTTGGGCAGCAGAGTTGACCAGAACGATCGACAGGATGTCGACGACCATTACATGCGGGAAAGCTGCACACCCGGGGCTCCTTTGTCCAATCTACATGGGCCACACAGGCATAGTGCATCCCTCTCATGTGATTCGGATCACCACATAAAAGCCACTTCTTGCCTCCCTTATCGGTGTGCTCCTCCACCGGATCACAAGTGATAAATTGCGCACTACGATCTTCTTTCGGGTAAAACCCTGCAGCATTCATAGGATTGTCCGGAGGACTCTCCTCAGAGCTTATCTGCATTTGCTGGAGAGGCTTCCTCGCATGTCGATTGATATTATAGTCATAGCGCCGTGACTCATAGTATGTAGCCTTGACGTCAGCCCGAGCTACACAATATTCGACCACCATATCGATGGTGGCATTCTCCACACCTCCCTGGTTGATGAGACTCTCCTCGAATGAATCGGTATAATCAAACGGGAGAGATCGGAGTAGACCTCTTACAAACCGCTTTAGTTCTTGCGATGTCCCCACTCTGTCTCTCGTCGTGAAAACTTGACCAGAGTGCTGCGTGGCTCGCTCGCTCATTAGCTCTTGGAACTTATTTCGAAACTTCTGGCAATATACTCCTACTTCCACTCCCGTAGTCCCAGACGGCTGCAACCGATAGAGCTGAGCTTCCAACTCTTCCTGCACCACAATAGGCCGAAGGCCGCATTGTTTGTTTGGTGAATTGCTCCCGAAATACCATCAAGCAGGCAGCACAGAGGAAGTCCCGAGATAAATTCGGATACCTCCGCGCTTCTGCCTCAACTGACTCCACCACAGAATCCGCGACGTTATCGCCGGATTTGTGTGCCCCATTCACGACTGCTTGCCAGCCATGAGTCGGCGACTGAAGGCGTTCCAGCCGCAATCGATCCAATGCCTGCCTGGATGCCAGAGAATCTGCAATAGACTTTGTTTCCAACCTCACCGCTGAGGCGTGCATTTTAGAAAGCACGCCCCCGTCTTGGGACTTGGAGTTGTCAACTGTCATTAGCGCCGCTTCATACAACCTTCCTGCAACCGGTCTAGCTAATACACTCTTTACACCCTCAAACTTGACGCTATCAAGGTAAGTGTGAATGTCAAATGCTACCGTATATCTCTCAAGTGTGTTCGTGGGAAAATTCGCCCCCATCTTTTCAATACAAAGTCCTATACCACTGGAGCGCGTCACTGTATCTACCACTGGACAACAACGAACAATTCTAAAACCCGCAAGGTCTAAATTGTCTTCTACTGTCTTGCGCAACCTGCTAGTACCTTCGTTCGCAGCAGATTCACAGAATGCACTCTGCTCCCACGGCTGGAGCGCTTTGTCAAAGGAGCCAGAGCCTAAAAAGGAAGAAGCCAAGAAAGGCGCTCTTTTGGAATCCTGACCCGAAACCGAAACCGGGACTGGAGCCGAAGGGTCCTTCTCGGTGATGCCTTGGTAGTGACTGTACATCTCATAGGCCATCACTGCAAGAGCGAGTAGCAAACTGAGGTAACTCAGTGCCACGGAAACCGCGTCGAGGAAACCGGACCGGGCTAACGCAAACCAGCCGTAATCCGAATCCCAGTCGTCGCACTTGTCTCCAGGGTGATGGTGAGCTCCAGGAGGTGGCGGTGGTGGTGGTGGCGATGAAACCGGCACGGGTGTCCGCGACATGTTGCTTACGCTTACCAACCCCGATAGGAAGGCAGAGGCGACCAAGAAGGTCGATAAACCGTAACCGCATACAGCGGTCGCACGAGGAGGAGCAGTCAGAGTAGTCATCCTGTAGTTGTGGGAACCACCCGCTATCGCTTTCTAACCTCTCTCTCCTAGGGTGGTGTATTTTGGGATGAAACAGAAACCGCAAAGAATAAGCAGATGTAACATGTACTATTTGTCGTCCAGTCGAAAAAACTGAAGCACCGCATTGGCCTAGGGCCCTAGATGGAGAAATCACAACTAGTCCTACCGTAAAAAGAAACGATCATGATCAACGAGGATCGCAGCTTTCCATTCGCTGGCCTCGGCCTATTGCCCTAAATGACGGAAAAAACCATCTACCGTTCTAACCTCCTCTCTTTCGCTCTTCGTTGTGTCCACAAAGACAAAAGAAAAAATCCTAAACCTACTCTCATTGAACTCACACCAGCTAGAACCGAACAGAACCGCCTGGAAGACCTACAACAAGGCATCATCCAGAAATCCAGTATAACACCCTAGATGCATAAACTCAGCAACCTACAAGAGGCAGCGCCAAGCTTTACAACCATGGCAAACATTTCCGGAAGCCCTACGACAAGGGAACAACCAGCGGCTTGCTCTACTTTCTTGTTCGGTGTTCAACATCGCCCCACCATCGCGATGAAGTGTCAGCACCCGCCTCGCTACTGTGCTGTCCATAAAACACCATGCTGGCGAAGCAACAGCATACCGATTAACATGAATCCATCGATGATAGTTCATTCTTAGTTGAACACCTCACTCTTTCAGCTTCAGCTTCAATTTCGCACCATCGGCGCAGAACCTCGATTGGCCCTATGTGTTTCTTCCCTTCTCCTCCTTGATTCATTTCACGGTCTAGAAAAAACTGCTAACGTAACAAAGATAAGGCATGGGATGGGGAAGTTCGTTCTCAGACAGGGTTGCAAAGACTCAGCGATAAACTGCCATCTATGCCCTTCTCAAACGTTGTTATGAGCCTGCCGAATGCAGTGCCTAAAACAATAAGTCTTCTCGTCCCGTCTGACATCACCACGAAGGTGCACACCCTTTAGCTTCCACTCAAATTCATAGAACTGGTAGCGGCTGCCGGAACGCTTGGAGAGGAGCTAGCTGCGGGAGCAGTTGCACGCACCGTTGAACTTGAGCTCGTGGCTTGTAGTTTACGCCGTGCCAACTCTTGGCTGAGCTCCATGAGACGAATCTGTGCTGTAAGCGCAGAATCGGATAAGCGTCGCACATCCTCGGTGAAAACGTTTTGAACTTGCGGCGCCGAGCGACTCATTGTTGATTCGCGTCCAGACAACACAGTGTCCCCTTCTTCCTCCTGAGGTCGAGCGTCCAGATCCACATGGTCCACCAACGCCACCGACTGATCGTCCGTCGGATGACGCAGCCGCAACAGTATCCTTGTTTTCTTCAGCCGCCTGCTTCTCGTCCTCCTCAGCAACTGAAAGTTGGATGGATTTGCGTGACTTCGGCGATGTGAATATGGTTTCTCGGCTGGAAACCGATTGCGAAATTGGTGAGAAAAATGGTAATCGACTATTGCAAAGAGTATCCACAGATGCAGACGAAGTCCGTTCAACTGGTTCAGGTGATGAACAACGTTTTACTGCAGAAGATGTAGGTCCAAAATTGTTATCAGGATTAGTACTTGGATGATCTAAAACAAAGCGCGCAAAACCTCCTGCGAAGCTTGCGGGATGCGGACCGACGGCCGGAGTGGCTTTCGACGTAGCGGAGACTACACCTGGCAAAACCAAACGCGTCGTCTGGACTTCCGTTGCCATAGGCACCACTGTAGTGGAGGTCGTGGCTGCCGAATTCATTTGGGTTCCGGAGCTGGAAGCGCCCGGTGTTGATTTATTCGAGACCTCGGCTTTCATCTGGTGTTGGCGCTGCACTGGTAGTACCAGGCTCAGCTCGTCTTCATCGAGCAACGATTGCAAAATCGCGGTGCGATTTTCGCCTTTCAATCCCTGCAACCGGTGTAGCGCCTTCTTATCTGCCTTGGTTAGTGCTGCCATAGGGTTCTTCGACCCTTGAACCTTACGCAGTTCCCGCACTTCACAAATCTTCTGGTAGTACGTAGTCACCTGCTTGTATGGTCCGCCGTAAATCTGCTCACGGATCGTAGAGTCCGAATACACCACATCGTAGATCTGGTCGAGTGAAACCAGTCCAGGGAACCGCATCCCCAACTCGCTCATGGCTAGCGCAAAAAGGAGATCCGCTTTAGCTCCCGCATTGTAGCACTGCCACAGCAGGTCCGTGAGGGACTCATTGGACCTGTGCTCCACTAACGTGCTCATTGCGCTCGGAGCCGTTACTTGAAGTTGCGGCTTACCCGGTCCCAGGGCCAAGAATTGACCCAACAGAGTATCAGTCAAACTGTCGTCCGCCAAGTAGGTCGCTAGGTTCTTGTCAAGCGCCGCCTGTAAGGTTCAGTGAAAACATGACTCCTTAGGATCAATAGGTCATGGTAGTTCTTTTTTCCGGAAGAAAATTTTGTACTTCTAAATGTTTCATTTTCGCGTCTTGTGCCGTTTCGATTCCAACTATCATTACACCAGAAACTCCACGGAGCAGAGCTTGTAAAACTTGTATTGACTATCATTCTAAAATCCAACTTGAAGTACGGTTTTGCAATAACCAACTTGGAAAAGTTGATTAAGCATCTGCGGCGTGGAATCATCCGGATCCACTCCTGGTAGCGCCGGCGTGAGCGGTAACTTCTTGAATTCTTCATCAGTCAGCCGACCTTCTTCGAAGAAGACTAGTAGCTCACCTTTCACGAAACTTTCGCGAATCTTCGTTGCACTGGCACGGCGCCAGGTCTTCTGCGCGAAATGTGGATGCAGCGAAACTTGCAACTCCTGATTGAAGATGTTGTTGAGGACAGTATTGTCCACATAGACGACTTTGAGGTTTTCTGGTCGAATCGCCACCTTCGCGCGTTCTTCGTCTCTGGCCGGACTCAGGAAGAAATCATCATCCTGGTCCATTTCCTCCGCAGAACGCGAGTTCTTCCATCCCCACTGACATGCGGTATTATCCTCCACATTCGGGTCCATCGTTTGCGGTACGTACTTCGGGGAAATACCTTCCATCTCCACCGCCGCCGTGACCTTCGTTTGCTCATCGAGCATCATCACATCCGCCGCTGCGGGAGCAACAGCCGGAGGTGGTGCTTCCAGAGTCGGTGGACCCTGTGGTTGTGCCGCTGTAGTGACGGCTTTACACTTGTCCGCCTTTTCGCGGTTCCAGCGTTTCCACTGATCTCGCGAATATCCATGGATATATGGATCAGGGCCGCTGCCGTCATCTCCCATCGCTCCGGGTTGAGCCAAGAGCGCTGCTCGCTCATCTGGCGGGTACGTAGTACCTCCGGATGTCGGGTAGTTCGAACCGCTGCCGGAGCGATACGACTGGTTGTAGCCGCGGTCTCGGCCACGATGCGGCTCGTTGTAGGAGCTCGAAGTGCTCCTGTTCTTTCCGTGAGACTCGCTTCGCTGGTTCTCACGGTCTTGTCGTCTCTCCTTATACAACGACCCGTCTCCTTTCCCTTGACTGTGGTTGCGGGCATGCCATTGGGCATTATCCTTGTGGTCGTCGGATTTCCGAACCGTCTTCGAGGAAGACCGGCTGGGTTTGCCGTCACCGTATTGTCCGGATTTTCCACCCATCTTGTAGTTTGAAGAGATGATATCTCAACAAAGATTTTTACAAACTTGATTAGCACGATCGGAGATCGTTCGTGGTTGCCTTAGAATAAGGACTTTTCCGTAGTCAGACTCTCCCTGGGGTTGATAAAGATTGGAAGATGATAAGATTTGCTGATTCGTCCTTACTTGATATTCAGTAATCACGGGTATGATGAAGCTGAAAGCTCGGAAAAATGTAGAAACGCAGTTTCCTAACTTGTTCACAGCCTTGCACAAACATCCATCGTCGTTTACGCAGAAAGATCCATCTTCAGTTCATGCAGTAGCACGAAGTGCCAAAATTGAAGCTCGCTTTCTCACGGACACACTGCTGAAGCCGTCACCTATTCTCACACGCCGTTGATCGTCAATTTAAATTTTACAGTCCTGCATTCTTTCCGAAGGAGAGATCTTCACCCTTGCATTTCCATTTTCATTCTTGCTGTTCATTCAGTCGGAACGACTTGCAGAGCGCGTTTTCATTCCTTCCTTAGTTCAGGTCTTCGATCCCTTGCAGGATCAAAGCCATATGAAGGCTCACGCTAACTCCCTTTGTGTTTCAAGTTTAGACTTGACTAGGAACTGTTCTTCTTCTCGATTGTGATCATGTCAAATGTATTTTTCTTCGGGAAATCGGACCCCGGAACAGCCCCCAACTAGTAGAAATCACGCCTTTACCATACTCAGAACAAGATAAGATAGTCTCACTATCTTTCACATTGAACATCGCTGCTTTCCTAGAACGCTCCTCCCGCGTGAGAGTCACTGCAACAACGTGAGTTGCCTTGCAGCTCCATCACCAGAAGCATCTGACTTGTCACCAGTTCCTGCACAGTCTACTTACACCAGGCGAATGCCATGATCTCGTTATGTAGTGCATTGAAGTCAAGATAGTCAAGGAGAGATCGCAGATCCTCCATCCGCCCACCCGCGCAGCGGATGGACGCACCCGTTGGACACCTCGGGCCAGGTCGGTGCTGCCCCTCCTTCGCAGCACCGCGTCAGCACCCACCTCGTGAATGTGCTGTCCGGTCACATAATGCAACACCTGAAAAGCATCACATCATGCAAACTATACCAAGATCCAACCGAAGGAAGGATGATACTGTGTCATTGTGCTAACGCTAGACACCTAACCCACATGAGGCTAGTGCTCGAAGAGCACTCGAAGCCTGGCCAGTCAACAGACAGACAAGTCCGTAAGGCTCCCTGTACTGCCACCCCAGATACTGCCTTCCATCACGCACCAGAGCAAGCGTCCTTGCTATACTCGCTGCGGCAGCAAGGTCCTGTCTTCTGACATTCCAACAGATTCGCACCCGCAAGGCGCGGCTGCTACATCCAACTGCAGGCCACGTCTGGCGTAGGATCGGATATCCTCCGCAACGCTCTCAAAGACTTCCATGACCAATGCGCAGACATAAGTCAATCCTAATGGTGTCGCTAGGCGAAGCCTATCTAGACATAACCATAGCGGCGAGCGAAACTCGCTTACTTCCAAGCCGTTTCCATCTATGGTCCCACTTTCAACGGTGTCGCGCGGTCTATCAACAACCCATTGTGGGTCTAGATCCATGGCAGCCATTTCCCTTCGAAATGGCACAAAGTGAGACTATCTTATGCTCTAAAGTGAGTCCGGTAACTACGAATATTCCCATACTTCATCTAAAGAAGTAGGACTCGCGCCGTTTACGCCTTCTTCAACTTCTTTTGAAGATGATGATGAATCCTCGCTACTTGAAGCCGAACTGCAATCCTGACTATCATGTATTTGACGTTTGCTCAGCTCCTTCGCATCAAGCGGGACTACCTCTACTAGACATAGCATCCTAGGTGCCACTGTGGCTTGGCTACTGCCAGCTAAATCCAGGTTCGCAGGACACCATGCTGGAGACACTGCAGACGCTGGCTTCGCTCTACTGAGATCCAGCGCAGACACAACTTGGGGACGAGGCAGATCCAATGTTTGCTCGTAAGTATTCTGAAAAAACGCATGTGCGGAGGACACAGACGAGTCACTCCGAATAGAGCATCCGGGTAGAGCATCTTCTACTGGTTGACGATCATCTTGGAGTTCTTCTTCTTCTGCTTTCACTCTGTCTTCGTCTTGTAGTTCTCCCACTTCTTGATCTTCAACATGATGATGAGTAGTTTCTACAAGAACATTTTCATCCACCACAGGTGGATTTTTGTAGTTGTCTTGCTCTTGTTGTTCCTGAGTTCTTCTATCAACATGAAGTAGAAGATGCTCATCGAGTAGTGCTTCGACTGCGTTGTTTTCGACATCAGCGAGAGGACCAACGATCTTAGCAGAGACAGGTGAACAGCCACCACCTGCGGTCTTCGATTCACTTGAAGTAGAGTAAGAATTTTGCTCCGCTTCTTGTGCTTCAGCAACAGCATCTTCGACGATTTGTGGTTCAACACAAAAAAGGTCATCATGTTGAACAGGATTTCCAGTCCCTGCAAGAACATGATCTTCTTTTTGCTGGTGACCCTCATTGTCTACTTCGTCCACCTCCATAGCACTACAACTTGCTCCCAGATGATGACCTGTGGTCGTGTCCTTGGTCGTCGCTGTTTCTTTGGTCGCTGCAGGAGCGCGAGCTCCGAAATAGTCGTGGCCACTGAAGGACTGATCGGCCTCAGCTGGAGAGGTGACAACGCTAATTTCGTGGGCCTAGCGATTAGAACTAAAGGGGAACGATAAAGCTTGGTACTGTCCATGAATACGGAAGATTGTGTAGTTTCCGTGTTTCATCTGGCACATACGTCTCCATAACTTCTTGATGCGCTGTTTCTTTGGATGCTTTTCGTGCCGCTGCCAACTTGCTCTCAAAAGCCTCTTGAAATCTGTGATGCAGTTGAATTTCTAGACGATGTTGATGTTACGTCGACAACATAAAAGTTATTATTGTGCGCGTAGGAAAAAGATGGGACGATTAGGACCTAGTGTCTCAACAAAAAAGGGCTAGTTGCCGCCCCTTGCGCTGGTGCTTGCAGCAATGCGAAGAAAACTAAAACATGATGTTGAATATATATAATGAAACTAGCTCGTGATATAGATACGATTTCCAAGATCCTCCTTCTCCCTCCTGAACATGAGCCTGCGGTTGCGGCGTTGTCAACAAATGATCAGTAACGTCCAGAGCATGAGCAGTGGTTTCGCTTTGTTCATCCTGAGCTTGTTCCGGGACGCCTTCGAGTTGTGATGTGCTGTCGTGATGTCGTTGGCTATCGTAGTGCTTGTTTTTCTGGCCCATGATGATTGTTTTCGTTTGAGGAGGTTTGTGAATTGCACCGGCTCTCGTCACAACGTATTTTGATCGATCCAGATTGGGTGTTGGTGACCGACTGGTCGTGCTCCTTCTGCTTTTGTTAGTAGCCGGACGTTGGTGCTGTTCCGATTTCGATATTACCTTCGACGCAGGTCCTGCAGTACTAGACGTGGAAGCTTGCTTTTTTTTGCTTGCCCCGATCGATTTTGAGGCTGTCGTTGTCGCTTTATGGGCGGCGAAAGTCGCTGATGCTCCAGGTGGAGCTTCAGAACCTGCACCTGAGGGAGGAAGGTCATGACTGTTTCTGTTCATCATAGTGGATTCCCAGCAAACAAATTTTTGTTGCTCTATGTTGATCTTACAACATCAAAGTCGTGTGAGTAGCACAGATGAGAGGACCATGGAGTAGAAAAAAGTAAAACTCCTACTTGCAGCAGTCTTCGGTTTCCGATTACTACCCCCAGTAGATGCAGGTATCAATGTCCGGGAAGAGGCAGAGCTCTGGAGCACAGGAGTGTGCAGTTGCTCCTGCTGGTGCAACGGACTTCGTCTACGACGTAATAATGTGGATGCTGTACTAACCACACCAGATGGATTTTTTGCGGATGCGCTACTAGGAGATGCTGAGTTGCCAAGAAGAAGACCGTGGGATGAACTCGTTGCGGCATTCTCCTGAGCAAGAGCTTCTACCTGTTGTTGAAGCAGGTCATCTTCTGGAATTCCCAGACCAGCATGTTGTCCACCTTTGCTAGAGGGCTTGTCTTTTTTCGCACTGTTGTTCAGAACGTCCCTGGTTGCTTGTAAGATCTTCTGCGCGGCTGACGTGGTTGACGAGCAGTGTGTTCCTGTTGGTGGAGACCCAGGCGTCATCACATGCATAGGTGGTGACATGGGACTTGGCCGTTTACTACGTGGCTCGTGCAAGTTCTGCGGAAGTTTATCATGATGCGCTACAAGGTGGTGATGTCCTGGACCTCCTCTATTGCTAGTGCTGCGAAAAGAAGAACTTCCAGGTCCAGCGCCCAAAGCCATGACACTCGCAGCCGTCCTGTAGTTAGCGTAAGTTTTGTTCATCTCCTGCTCTTGAATGTTGCTGAGCCTAGAAGTTGTTCCTGTCATCGCCATTGGAGTGCACGATCGACTCAAATTGACGGCAGTGCGCAGGAGCTGGAAACGACCACCAGTTTGTTGGGTTGCAGCTTGTGCGGGTGCTCTTGTTATTCCTGGAGTAGTCGCGCGAGGAGGATTTTGTGCTTGAGTACTAGCAGCAGCTGGACCTCCTGTAGTACTACAACCGTTCATTTTCAAGCTTCCGCGATATATAAACGGTTTAGTATTAGTGCTGTTCAACAACGTTGTTGTGCTCGTCGTGGTGGTGTTTGCATTTGACGCGTGCACAACGGTCGTTGCAGGACTGTTTTGAACGGCACGGTTAGCACCACGTACTACACCACCAAGGCGCCCGGTTGACAACGAACGTCGTGGTGGTGCGAAAGCAGCAGGCACGACGCCGGCTCGCGAGATCATCGTTGTACCTCCAGAACGCCCACTAGCCGCAGAAGAAGCTCCTGTACCTCCTGCTGTACTTTTAATACTCGCCTTACCATTACTTCCAGCAAGAACAACGTGCTTCATCGAAGAAGAACCCGGGGAAGAATTCCTTACTGGTACTGTAGTGTTCTTACCCATCGACCTTTTGAGAGTAGAGGGAATCGGAAGTTGCGAGGTTCTCGTCTCCTGTGCCACGGGTGATTTTTTCAAACTAGCTGCTGGCGTCTTTCCATCCACTGTTGTCGCCTTGATATCGCTGCCATTTATTGAAGAGGGCATACCAGATGACGATGTCGGTGTCCAAATAGGTCTCTTCGCGAAGTCAATGGCTGTAAAATTCCAATTTCTTGAGGCTCCTAGGAGTGACGAAGAGCGAGATCTGCTAGTACTACCTGCAACTACTGTGTCATTAATCTTCATAGCTCCTTTCTCAGCAGTAGCATTGTCGAACAAATGTTGCTGGACTGAGTCTTCCTGTTCATTCTTTAGGTGTTGATGTTGTCTTGCCTGAGCTGCAGGCGCACGAAGAACGCTCTTGTCTTCTTGTACTTGACGCAACATCCCTAGCACTGGTGCTACGACTGTCGCATGAACATGAGGATCTCGTAGTTGTGCATCTTCTCGCTCTCCACCATAATCACCTCTTGGATCCTCTTCCTTGATGCCTAAAGGGTACGAGTTTTTCCGCGATCCGGGATCGTCCCTTTTAGTCGCGTCAACGACACGAAGATTTGTGTTGCTCGTTGTATTCAACATCGTGATCGTCTTACGAGTCTTCTCCTTCTTTTATCGTGATGTAGATGTTATCATGTTGTTCTTGTTCGCCAATTATTTTTACAGGAGAAGTTGCATCTTAGAAGTAATAGTTGAAGGCCGACGGGTTCCGTCCTATTTGACTTTGATGTGGCTAGTATGGTGGACATACCAAACGAGACAGAATTTGGTTCGTTACGAGGAATCAGAGAAAATTTTGACTTCTACAAGAAAAAGCATAAAGATCTAGTTTCACAACACATCAAACACAAACTAGAATCTATAACTTGCTTCGATGGACCTCCAGCATTTCCAAAAATGCTAAAAACCATGAAAACGAAGCAAAATCCAAGTTTCTGTAAGACAGTAGGTGACCGATTTGCCTGCCACAGACTCGTCCGTTTCTATAGTGATGAACTGGAATACGAACATGTTTATGAACAAGAAGAAACCTGAAGATCAGAAATCCTTGATCTGCTGAGATATCACTCTCGGAGCAGATGATTGATCTTACCGAACATAAGGAGCCTCCCCAAGAATAAAACAAAACAAGAATCTTCGTGTCTGACCGAAGGGAACCGAGACAGAAGGCACACCAGGATCGTCTTTGAATTTGTAAGGACGGGGAGGAGCATGTAGAACAGCATATCTTCATGGATGACGACCGCAGAATTTCCACGATGCTCTCCGATGATGATGGTTCGTTCCAGTGTCAAAAAAATACAACGGGTTTGAAGCGGGAGTGTTTCTTCACAACTTCCTTGTCACACGAAGATAACGCTGGGTCGTTATGGGGTTCTTCGGGTCATGCTAAAGCGGACCCAAAATGATGTAGTTGACTGAGGAAGGCTTGAAATGTTGACATGGTGGTCATAGAGTGGTTCAAGAATGACGAACATGTTCATAGATTGTTCGCTAATCAAGTGACGTCGACAAAGAGATGAAGGAGTCTCGCTCGGTACTTGTCCATCCGAAGCTTGATGAAGATAAAAATGGTGCTGGGCATGGTCCCTTGACAAGAATAACAAAGACGAGGGAATCTGGTGCTATGATGTCTCGCGTTGCCTCCTTTCCGAATTTTTAGCAACATCCTCCCATATTTCCGCCGCCTCCCATCTGTCCTTGTGATTAGATTTTGCTAGAACTAGAAGAAGTATCAACCTTGTCACCGGGGCTACATAAAAATCGTCCTAGTATTCTTAAGAAAGTGTACATGATCTAGATCTTCTAAGCAAAGCCATCCTATGCGACCTATTCCTACCGATCTAGATCTTCTGAAAAAATGTATAAAAAGAAAGTGCTCCAAGATTGTCCCTGCTATTATGATCTTTGACCTTGATCATGGTATGATCTTCTGAAAAAAAATTCATTTTCAGCCTTAACCTGGTCCTCTTGCTTGGTCTAATCTCACATTGTTGTTCGGACGTCGCTGGCCCAGTGGAATTGTCCCTTCGAGCAAATCTGGACTATCTAAAATCTTCAATACTAGTTCCGTGAAGGCTTGTTGGATGCCAATCTTGGTCTTCGCTGATGTTTCAATGTACATCATGCTGTTTTCCAAAGCAAAATCCTCTCCTTGCCTACTGCTCACTTTTCGCTCATGGGCTGGTAAGTCGACTTTGTTCGCTACTAGCATGGAGGATGAAAGGGGGAAAGAAAACTTTAACTTTTATGTTCAACATCATGTAGTTATATCTTTTGTAAGTACAGAGTACATTTAGATCTTCTAGTAGAATGATCTTCAACTCGTACTATTAGTGAGCCACACGACGTACTCAAATTACTGGAAAACGATGAACTATGATCTGCTATAGCTATTCCGACATCGATAATGATCACATATCTCATCATAACTTCACAACATTTTTGTTGTAACTGTCTGCTTCGTGGAGCCATTGCCTGACGTTTTCGAAGGTCTCTGGTTCACTGACATCGTAGACGAAGATAATCCCTTGTGCGCCTCTGTAATAGCTCGAAGTGAGTGTTCTAAACCTTTCTTGCCCTGCCGTGTCCCACAAGGCTAGCTTAATCCGCTTGCCATTTTCGGTCACGTATTTGACTTTGAAATCGACTCGGCAAATGAAAGGAGAACAGTGCTGGCAGTGGGTATGATCATGGGGTGAAGACAACAAGTCTCCATGATCAGTTCTTCTAGTGGAAGAACGCATTATATCTTCTACACATAAATATCTATAACTCGTACAGGCGTTTCTTTGCTACAAAGTTTTTAACGAAGTTCCTTATATATTGCAGCCAGCAGGCCATAACAATCGTCGCCAGTTGCTTCTCGTTAAACGTGTCTTCCGTGAATCGAAGCATGAGACAACTTTTTCCGACTCCGCTATCGCCAATGATGAGCAGCTTGAATAAGTGCTCATGCTGGCCGGGAGGATCCATCTTGTAGTAACTTATTGAGTTGTGCTATGTTGCTATGCTCTCCAAAGGAAATGTTCTTGTAGAATTATTCATTCATTCATTTACCTATCAAGTCTTTTCGTTCTTCTTGAGTCATCGCCGACTACATCTTCTGTTGGAGATTCATATTCTTGTGCGTAGTTTTGTCAAGAAGTAAGACGATCTGCCTTTTACATGTACTATTACCTAAGATTGATCATATCAGGTATTTTCAAATCAAAGTCGTGGTCAAAACGCCTAGAAGATGGTCACTGTGATGTTGTAGCGATTAAAACTAAAAGTATCATCGACGCAGCAAAGACTGGGAACAACTCAAGTAGGTGAAACAGTGACACAAAAACCGCGGATTTGATTTTTCTATTTCGCTCTCTCGTCGTCCCAACATCGGACATCATGCAGCCCAGCGGTATCAACGAGAACGATAACAGAGATCAGACTCATACCTTCAACCACGGATTTTGGAAGAAATCTCAAGCACATTCGATTCTGTCGAAAGAACAAACGTGAAGACGCCAGCACGATTTTACTTCTCCGATGAGCATCAAAAGGTCGCCTTAATGACCAGATAAGTCATGGAAATAAACTGAAAATATGTTGACATGATAGACATGATTAGAACTTCTGTAATAAAAATTGTTATTTAATTTGTTCAAGAGGACTGATTTCATGGTGAACTTGTAACTAAACGAATTCAACTAGTATTTGGAATTCTTTAACAAGTATCACAACAAACTGTAACTGCGTCCACTCAAAAGTGAACAAAACATGGTTCTGTGAGTGCAGTTTTTTGTTTCAACATCGTCTAGTACTAGAACTAGAAGTAGTATCTTTAGCTAGCTCATCATCTTCTCCAAAGCTATTTTTCTTCTTGAGGACGTTCCTCTGTTCATCCCCTTCCCCTCACGGCGATGGAGGAGGACAGAAATCTTTGACTAAATCCGACACCTTCTGGATCAAGAAGTCGGCGTCCGCTTCTGAGGCAGCTTCCGCGTATACTCGGATCACATCCTCTGTACCAGAAGGCCTTACGAAAGCCCTGCCCTGTGGGATGCGAGTTACTAGATGGTCAATGCTCTCCTGTAAACCAGCGGGTGCGGTGCAGATGGTCTCATCATCGGGGAGGGTTTCAGAGATTAGAGAAAAGGAGATGGTTCGAGTGCGTGATGGGCGGGGACACTCACAAAGACAGAGTCACCGAACGCTAATCATCATGATCAAAAATCAAAAAAAACGCTAAACACCATGATCAAAATACAGCATGATCTACTTGTTGAGCCATAAGACCATCGTTCTATCCGGTACTTCCACTTTCGCTAACCGATTTGGCAAGTCTTCATATTCTGCTAGCCAATCATGCTCACTCCAGTCGTAGAGCCGTAGGACAGCCTCAACTGCTAACATGTCACTAAAAGCGTCACCGACTGCTTCGTTGATCAAATCGCGGAAAGCAAGAAGTTGCTGGGCAGCTATGAATTGGGCGTGCTGTTGATGTTTGTTTTGGGGCAGATGAATGCTTAAATCGATGGTCGTGGGGATTGATTGAGAGAAATGAGATCGAAGGAGTCAACAATTTATCGAAGTCAACAAATACCGTAGCCCCTGGTGCCGGTCTTGCCTCTCCCGCACCTGGAAGAAAGCCACCTACAACTCCTCCACCTGCGATGAAGGAGCTCACTGAAGAGACGAATTTGTCGGAAAAGACTATCGTTCCATGGCCATTTGCTTCAAAGTAGATGCCTACGTCCATGTATTTTGCTTTGGCGTGGCAGAACTTCACTCCGGTCTTGGCGATGACGGGTTTGCGCCCTTTCAGCATGGTCTGTCCGTGTGCTACTGAGGCTCCATTCGCATAGCCCGTTTGGACAAGCCCGATGTCTAGTTTGCCATCGTTCAGACCCAAAACGGCAAGTTTTTCGCCAAGGAATTTTGCATAGAGCGTGGCGATGCGATCGCCATCTAAAAGGGCGAAAAGAAGCTGGTTCTGCTCTTCGTCTTTGTGCAGGATGTAGAGTGGATGAAGGAGGAAGGAGCAATTGTGAAGTAGAGGAGGTGAGGGAGCAATTGTGAAGTAGAGGAGATAACTTGTTGAGGATCAGACACTTCTGAGGAGAAAGAAAAACAAAAAAGTTCTTGTCTGATTTTATTTTGCATCTACTACAAGAACTATTCAGAAGTTTCAGGTGAATATCTTCGTGGCCATACTAAATGAGTCGATCCGCGTCTCCGTCAAAAGCGGCATATCTACCCACTTGGCCACTGCTTCCGGCTGACGGCGCTCCCTTCGTCTTGACGAAATCAGCTCCGCAACCTTTGTTCAGTTCACCTTCGCCTTGGTTGAACAATGTCATGGATAAACCTGACAAGAAACTATGCTGGTCAGAAGCAGAACTACTCCCGTCTTCTTGTTGTGCGGCAAGCTGGAACAAACGGACAGTTTTGGCACCAATGCCATTGGCTGCATCGACGAAGACGTGAGGCACGTACCGTTGCTTGGTAGGATTTTCGTCAAGCGACACAAATCGGTTCCAAGCCGCTGAGTACTTGGACCGATAACCAAAATTGTCAGGTACCTGGTCGTGTGAGGAGGGGTCTATGCGTCGACTGAACTTGAAGCGAAAAAAGTGTCGCATTTAACAAGGATGAACGACAAAATGAAGTTGTAGAAGTAGAATTTACAACGAAAAAATGTAACGAGAAGTAGAATATATGCATACCCATTATACACAAGAACGGGGGATCACCATGTACTATCTTCAACTTCATCTCAAGTTCAACATCAAAACAAGTACCCCATAGCTCGGATTATTAAAGCTTCGGACGTAGAAATGGAGTTGTGGCGTTGTACAGGTTCCCATATATCTGGGATTACCACCCATACTTGCGACACCCTCAATCGCAGCTAGAGCCAAGTCTGGGGAAGAAGGGCGTGTATCGCTTCCGAGAAAAACGAGGGCTGGACGAGTCTGGTGGATTGTTTGTGTTATGGGCAAGAAGATTCAGGAAGTTATTTTCATCCGGAAAATAGCTGCAAGTTTTTGAGTATGTTGAGAAAGAGAATGGTCGAGGTCGTGTTTCAAGATGGACATGACAGCAGTGACTGTGAGGTTGAAGACCAAACTTCTCAAATCTTCTACTCGAAAAACTGAAATAAGCGAGTAACTGATCAGAATAACCGAGATACTGATGAGAAGGAAAGGTAGCCTTGACGCTAAGCTACCTCCCATATTTCAGTCAGTCACTCGGTTATTTTGAGTTTTCGAATACTTCTAACTACAAGAAGAGCATTGTGGTCAGTACCACATCAATTCCATGAGTATTGATAATATCACGAAGCTGTTCCGTCAAGGTTTCGTCAGGACAGTTGCACAGGCTAGTCGCGATTTCCTCGAAAGACTCTACTAGCATATCCCCAAACGGGTCAACTAACTTGACACCGTTGTCTTGCACAGGATTGTGGCTTGCGGTGATCATGACACCTGATGAAAAGTAGACGAGTGAGAGGAGGGTGGAGGTCCTGGTTGATGCTTAAAATGAAGCAAGAAGTCTACTTTAGAAGAGAACAGGTGAACAAGAAAAGCATTTAGAAGGAAGTTCCAAGCGTTGGAATTATACCAGTCGCTCTCCCCGTCTGCCTCGCCCTCAATGCTGCAAGCAAGCCCATTCGAAAGAGACACGCTTTGAGATTTTCTGCCTTACTTCGAAATCCAGCAGTGCCATATTTCAAAATTGGTGTTGTCTCACCCCTACCGTACGAAAGTTGATTTCGCAATACCACGTCAGCCAACAAAGACTCGACGGTCGCAGCAGGATGTCTCTGAATGACCGATCCACCTGGGCTTAGGCTCACGTTCATCTTAGCTTTCGGTGAAGAGGTTGTACTGGTGGACACATGATTCGTTTGTATGGCTCCTGCCGAAGTGGAAGTGTGCAGTTGAGGTCTTGGTGCCGGATGAATGTTCTTACCCACTAGCAGATTGCTAATACCCATCTGGCACGCCGCAGACGATGGCGTTGCCAAAGCGCCAACTCGCGGCTGCAAGACACTTTTTGCGCTCGCGAGAGCCATGGCAGCACTTGCTGGGTTGTTGAGAAGGCCAGCTGCGCCTGTAGTTGAAGTTATTAAAGGAGCTCCACCACCAATAGGAGACTTAGATCTGGGCTTCTCGCTTACCATAGTTGCTGCTGAATTCGAGGTACTGCTTGTAGCCGGAACAACACTTGCTCCAGAGTTTGTTGCTGGAGTTTGGGGAATAGCTTGTTTTGAGGTACTAGTAACGCCCTTGCCGCCAATGACAATTCCTTGGATTTTCGCAGGAGTGGAAACGTTTGAAAATTAGAAGAGGACGTGGACGAGCAATTCTGATACTAATTTTTTGTGTATCTCACATGATGGAGGAAGTACATCATGATAGGCACTGAACTGGATCCCGCCTGTGGAATTACAATCCCCAATACGAGAGGACTCGACGTTCACCTCATGATCATCATCTAGTACAACAAGAACTCAAATTCATTTGCCGCCATAAAATATAGACCCGCCTCCTGCCGCTGCAGGAGAATGCTCAGGGAACGACGGCGCAGACCACCCTAGACCAACGCTTTTCACAGTAAAAGGAGCTTGCATCCTAGGAGATCCAAGAAGGTGATGCAGTTGCTGAATACTCCTCAAGTTGCTGTAAAAATAGTTTGTTGGCGATGTCTTCTCTGGAAAGAACGCGGGTGATGTGGATGTTGTGTCCTCTGTGTGCTGAGTAGGTGTGGTGATTGTTAGGTGATCAGGAGGTAGATGAAAATGCTGGTGTGTAGATTGTGGAGAACGACCAGGAAAGAACGGAGAAGGTGGGATGGTGTATGAGCGACAATCTGCAGGAGCTGTAGCTGATGAAGCTGAACAAGTTGCAACTTCGTTGTTGATGTTGTTGTTGTTGTTGTTTTGTCCTTCGTGTTGTTGTTGTTGGTGTGGTCGTGTAGTGCGATCCACTTTATCTTTTACAACGTTTACGGCAGATGCACGAGCGAGGACGAGAGCTACATTCTCCTTGTTATTGATATTGATCTTGACTAGTTCTTGCACGAGTACATTCACATGAAATAGGATGAGTGAACGTGCGAGGAGATGAGATATGGAATTCAATCGCATGAAGGACGATGCTATGATGTGGGTAAGGTTACAATTACATATACATCGATGAATCAAATATAAGTCGTGAGAACTTTTTTTATGCCAAATAAGCGGAATGATAACAGAGAACCGCTCCCATCGGTGCTAAAGCTAAAGTATTTTATGTCGTGCAGTTTTGCTCTCCCATAGAAGGCTTCACCCACTCGCTTGCAACCTCGCTCAGCAGCCGGACGCGCTCCTCGTCCAGCACTTGTTCCAAAGGTACCTACAATTCACTAATAGTACGATCTCGGAGGTGCACGTTCACCTCACGGTCTTCATCACCACATGTTGAGACTTGATCTTCATCTCCAGCTACTGCTGGTAGGAAACACAAGAAAACACAGGAGAAACCGTAATGAAGCACCCGTCAGAAGGATGGTGTTCGGCACGACACGTACGCTTCATGCGACCAAGCGCAAGCAGCAAAAGTAAAAAGATGTTGAAAAATGTGAGTTTGTTGACGTGAAGATGCAGTTGCAAAATGACTTCGATACGAAAAATTGTTACATTAGCACAGACATAGGCATATCTCTTTACTCGTTGCTCATCGTCATCGCTTTGTTGAAGATACTTGTACATGCATGATCGTTGTTGATGTTGCTGCCGTATTTTTTATTTTAGCTCAAGAAAGTAATTCCATACTGCTATGAGTGATTATCATGAGAAGCGTGATGACACGAAGAAGTTGTATGAAGACAATGGCTCCACTATGCAGCAAAACTAGAACTTCTACTGTTGTTTTAGTTTTTGTTCTACTTTATCTGTTCATAATTTTTACACAACGTGACCGCATGTCGATGATAATCGCTATAAATATCTGTACATATTATGCATGAAAGATGACTGTCCTCCGCTACTTCCTTTTTTTACAGATGATAGGTGCCACGAACAACTTCTTATCTGTCTTCAATTATTCGTACACCGCATGTGTATGTGACTATTTTTCACGTTGATAGCTGCTCCCAGACGAGTCTATTGAGGCTGTTGCTTACTTTACTGTTGAGAGCTAGAAAATCCTAGTGAGTTTACTTGTCGTGGTCATAGTTACACCACTACATAGTTACTTAGGAGTAAGTAGACCCGTTTTGTGTTAGTACTTCGAGTTAGAGTATTCTTTTCATCACTTTTATTTCACCTGAGTATTTTTTTCACTGATGGAAGGTGACAACGAACAGTATTGATGACATGACTATGTTGGTGTTGTGGTGGTTGTATGCTCTAGACGGTAGATCTATTTACCTAAAAAAACTATGGCAGCTTCTATGTCTTCTTGTAATTCTTTTCTTGTTTGTTCGTAGTTTCGTAGTTTTATCATTCTTCACAAGAACAGCAAGTGAGCTTCATGATCCGTTTTCATCCTCCACGTCCACCTCTATTCCAGTTTCACCATCCTCGAAATCAAGTACAACCCAACCGCTAAGGAGATGTATCCAAATTTCAACACTGATGCTGGTGCAATGCGAACGTTGTAGACGAAGAAACCGCTGTCGCATGCAGCGATATGTGCTGCCACGCACCATCGGTCGTAGTCCAATTCGAGTCCGAAGTTTAGGCTGTTGACTAAGTTAGAGGTATCGGGAATTCATCTCAGGGATCATCTGGGTCCCTTTTTCCTCTTGTCTTTCTCTTCCAGATGACTGTGGAGGTGAATTCCCTACACCCATAACTAAGGCAGGTAGTCGTTGGCACTTGATATTGATGGTTGCAATCCCGTTGAGGACAATGAGACCAAGAGCGATTAGGACTAGAACCCACAGGATGGCTGTGTAAGAGAGCATCACGTCCGAAGCAGTCGTGGTGGTTGATGATGTTGCAGTCGATGAAGATGTTGTAGTAGCTCCACTTCCTGTCCCTTCTAATCCTTGATAATGCTGCAAAAAGTGATGCAAAACTAGGAACATCAACGCAAAACCCGCTGTCGTGTAGCCGACTAGCGGCAACTGTACTGCGTACGCCCCGCGACGCATTACGGCTTTTGTTAGAGGGAACTCGCACGAGCCTCTTTCACCAATACATTTTTCACAGGTGCAGAAGTTTTAGTTTACTTAGGATTAGGTCCCTACTACTTACGATAAGTACTTGATGTATCCAAAGTTACAGCTCTTGAGGACCTCTGAGATGACTATCGATTCATCATCAAGCATGATCAACTTCAACAAGTACAACAAGTAGCCATACATTCAGAAAATTGAATTTCTTGATGAGTCCGTCCAGCACTTCGCTGTTGACCAACTCCAGAGCGAATGCGTCCAGGCCCAAAGAGCAGAAGTCCAACACGATGAAAAAGATAGCGACCAGCGTCAAAATATACACCCACAGGATGTAAGCGAGAACCATTCTGCCTACCAAACGTCTGGGAGGTGGCGTTCGGGTGGATTTTTCAGGTGGTGAAGATGACGTGGTGGAAGTTGTGTTTTGTTGGACGAGACTCCTCGTCTGCTGGCTGTAGTTGGATGCGCCGTCATCCTGCTCAAGAACATTTTTGCTAGTACTACCGCCCACTTCTGCTGCAGGTGTTGTCGGTAGCTCTTGATAATTATCCTGTTTTCTATTCCTGTTTGCCGCGAGAAGTTTGCGGAGACCTCGGAAGGATCTAGTACTCCTGTGTCCCTGTTTGCTCGAATATCCTCCTGTCCGAGTACTGGCGTTTTCAGGTGACGTTGGGACGGGTGTCGTCACAACACCAGCAACACTATGAAATTCATTCCTGTAAGTGGAGTCTACGCTAAGGCTAAAAGATTGATGTGCGTCTTCATCAAGAGTTTTTGTTACTGATGAAAGAAGTCGGCCTCCAGAACCGCCACTGCTAGATGTCTGATCCTCTGATGTTGAATCTCGCAATCCAAATACCACAGCCAGATCTCTGGAATCTTCCCTCAAATCCAAAACCACGGCCGCTGACAGCAGCAATGGCAGGAGCAAGGTTAAGACCAGCAACCGGCGTGCTTTTACGGCCCACGAATAGAAGAAGCCATTCCTTTTGGCGTAGTTGGCCAGTGCATTGAAGGTTGAACTCGAAAAAAACGCTATTCCGGCAAGTTGACACGCCAAAGCCATACCGAAAAGCGAGATCTGGACTATGTCGACGAAGATCACGCCGTAGGACAGGCCAGTGCTGTTCTCCTCGTCTCCAAAGAATGCTGAATGAAAATGTAAGAAGTATGGCAATGTCGCAAGAGTGAGAAACAAGAGAAGCATGTAGAGGATGGACAGGAAATGCTGCAAACGCGCAATGCGTAGTTTGCTAGCATGTGGATCGATGTGCTGTCTTCGGACCTGGGTGCTACTCGCGATCAAGTTGCGAGAGGATGCGCTAAAGCGAGATAACATACGAGAAGATTGGTTTCTCAGGAAGGACATCTTGGTCGCCGGACTGGTCGTAGAAAAGCTGGTTTCTAGGTGTGGGAGTCCTCGAAGATGTGGAGGTAAGTGTTGTGGTTGCCTCGGTGTAGTTGACCTAGAGGACACTATCGCATTCGAATTGTGGTCAACATCGTAATCAACTTCTTGTCCTGGTGGTACTACAGGCGACGTTGAGGTTTGTTGAAGTTCGTGCATTTCAACAATGTTCGTAGTGCCTCTACTTGATATAGTGAGACTAGCATCTGGACTCCCACTACGAGATGAAGGCCGACTGCGCCGTGAAGACTTTTCGCGACTTGATGCCTTCTTGTTCTTCATATTTGATTTTGCTTCCTTGCTATTACTCTGAGAGCGCTGACGACCGGTTGTGCCGCTATTTTTCTTCTTCTTGTGCTTTTTCTCGCTGGGGGTCTTCTTTATTTTCTCAGTCTTGCTGGAGATGCCCTTATTATCTTTGTCGTTGTTCACCACGACTCTTGCTGTGTTACAGCTTTCCACTGGGGATGGTGTACGGGAGTCGCTAGCTCGCGAGGTCATACCAGAGTAGGCAGGTGAGCTGGATGCGATATCGTCGTTGTCTTTCGGTTTTTTGCTTTTCTCCCTTCTAGCATCTTCCTCTGCGCCTAGAACAACTTTCTCTTCCTTATCCCCCAGTAATGTTTTCCCCTTCAGAGACTTGTTCTTGCCTCCACCGGTGGGAGTCACCGGCCGCTCTGGTGAAGGAGCTTGCGGAGTAGGAGAGGCCGCGTTTTTACTGCTATTAAGATGAGTTGCTGTCGCAGTATTAACAACTGGAGCCGATGATGCTGAAGGAAGCGATCGTATGGCTCCAACATCTGGAGAAGTCGCACTCGCGACCTGAAGATCTTGTTTTTGTTTACTTTTCGAAATAAGACAAACAGATTGACCTCCACCAGTTTGGTGTTGTTGTTGTTGTTGTTGTTGATTCCCACGTGGGCTACTTGAAGCAGTTATCATTTTGTGAGTTGCGAGATCGAAGTTGGGATGCAATGGACTCAGATGGGAAACTGACATCTTCCTTGCCATCGGCGTTCCACCACGGTCAACCTGATGGGGCACTAAATGCGGGACACTGCTCACACTCCCTGCAATGCCGCCTGTGCTGCTGGCACCATCGCCAAGCGACGCAGTTTCGAGACTTGCTATTCGACTCAGTTTACGTATTGGCCCTATTTCGTTGTTTAGAGGTCTCAATGTGATGTTGGAATCCATTATTTAAGCAGATGTATCTTGGGACAATGCCACCAAGACGCTTCTACTGAATCTGAAAAAATGGATTGTTTCCTCATCAAATGATCATAACTCTTGTTCCCTCTGCCCTCCAAACAGAGGCTGCACTGATGCAGACGAGGGTGCGCCAAAGTTCCCAGAGAAAATGCGGCCTAAAAAGTTTACTGATGGAGATCTCGAAGGCGTTCCTCCACCGAGTCGACCGCTTGAAGTACCTCCACCAGGTGCTGCTCCCGCCGATGTCGGGGAGGATGGAATCACAAGAAAATTATTCGGCGATCCAGGAACTTGAGCACTTTCACTGCGGTTGCCTTTGCGCGTGAGGTTGAAGACTGAGGGAGTTGAGAAGTTCGGTGGCGTTTTCCCGAGAACACTCGACATTTTGCCTACACTAGACAATTCGGTTTTCGAAGAAAAGGTCTTGGTGATGTTGAAGTCCCTACCGAGTAAGACGTCCGCTTCATTCAAGCGCCCAAGCTGCTGTTCGCCGGCGCTGAGTGTGCCAACTGAAGAGCCTGGTGATTAGAACTTCTTATGTAGGGCAACCTTTACCAGTCTATTCTTTCCTTTCAAATCTTGATAGAATGTTGGGGATGGGCAGAACAAGACATAAGGGGAGAGAAGAGCAAGAGCAAAGCAAGAATCATAAACTGAGCTGCCGGAGGACAGCGCTGTTACAGTAGCACGCCGTCTGCGATTACTCTTATCGAAGCCGATATTATTCGGATGATGTCCCGGAGAGGTAGAGGAAGAGCTATGAGGCTTTACTATCTGCTGTGACTGTGTTACCACGACTCCACCTGCTGTACCTTGTTGAGGCGAAGGCGTGCCACTTTTAGAAAAAATGACTCCAGGTGGCGGGGTGTTCGTAGGCGATTTACTTCTTGTACTATTGACAGCGCCTGCAATAGCGCCTGCAGGTGCAGTTGCGGGGGACCTTTTCATCCCACTAGGACTAGCACCTCCTGACTTTAGTACTTTTGACGGCGCTGGTGTCTGCACCAAAAGAGCATCAGTTGCTCTTGCAGCGCCTTCCTCGTCTATACCTGTTCCACCTCCAGAAGCTGCAGCCACAAGCACTGCACTCGTTCTCGTTGATGCGCCGTTTTTGTTCTTGCCGCCCATAAAGGGAGCCGTGACAAATTTCTTCGCAAAACTACCAACTGAAATGAGGCGTGAGGACCGTAGTTTGGGCAAGTCCTGTAAGGACGGCGACCAGTCTAAAGCGCCACCTGAGGGACTGGTAGATAAGAGGCCGGATTTATGAGTACGTGAAGGTGACGATGGCGATAACTCAGCCTCTTCTCGAAGCAGTGGAGGTGTACTATTTCCCTTGGCACTCGCACTCGGAGGCATATCGCCAGTCGACTTTTTCGTTTTCTCTTGTCCACCAGTTACCCCAAGAACTACTGGAACCGGAACGCTTCGTATGATCGGCGCCGATACTGCTGTCGTTTCTTTTGAGGGTATTGTGGCTGTGCGAGATTCAGAATCAAATTGAGAAACAACGCTGCTTGCTAGTCCTACTTCTGCTGAAGAATGGCCACGCTCCCGCAGAGGACCTCCACGAGAGGTTGGGGATGAGACACAGGATCCTTGTTGCTTGATCTCCTGCGTATTCATGATGTGAGGCTGAACCGGATGTGATAGCGGCACTGCAACAGAGGACTCCTGTTCTAGTTCTAGACGGCCGAATGGGAATGATGTAAGATCATGCTGCTCATTTGCTTTGGTAGAAGATGGCGATGGAGTCGAAGCCACACTTCCACTGCTCTTTTTACAACTCTCGTCCTTACAAACAGCCTCGGCAATTGGCCGTTTCAATGGTGTACTGCCGCGAGGGTGTTTGTCTTTAGATGTGCGCCCACTGCCCCCGCCACTGCTCCGTTTATTTGTAGCTTTAGTACCTGAGCCGGCGATGTTCATCATGTTGTGGTGCCTCAATGAAGCCGATGTTTTCATACTTCCCACCGTAGTGCGCGTCTCTATCGTTGACCTGAAATTAGCTGCAGAAGAAGAAGCGAACCCGTCCTCCTCTTCATCGTCTACTTCAGACCACTCCCTCTCATCTCTGTCAGCTGTTGCTGTTAAAAGTGCCATATTGGCGATGCTGCTACCAGGAGGGTCTTGTATGGACGTATTCGTTTCATAATCAGGCCAGCTCATGTTTGGCGCAGAGGCAGGAGAGGTTCTGTTGGATGAAACGCCTTCCCACGACTGATGCTCCTCCTCTCGGGCCTGCGCCTCTGCTTCCCGTGAGTGCTGTCTATCCAGAAAGGTCGGAAAATCGTGTGATTCATCCATACGAGGAAAGGCCCAGCCACCTCTTGTTGCCGCTGACGCGATTCCCGTAGCGCCAGCACTTGAAGGCAGCGACGTCGCACTCGACCTACGTCGTGCGGCAGTGTGCTGGGAACTGATATCGACGCCTTGTTCAGAAATACCCTCCTCGAGGACCCCCTCGTCATCCTCACCAAGACCAAACATTTCGTTCACCTCCTCTAGATTGTTGAACGCCGTCGAGTCGTCACCAGGCTCTTCGACTATTTCTCCACTAGTAGCGGTCGCAGGAGACCAATCGTTGCCACGTGTAGCAGGTGTAGGATCATTGCCGCTCGTAGGAGAATCCTCGTCAGCCTGAAGGTGTGTACCTTCTACATGACGGATATCGAGGGACGATGATGGCAGAAAAGCGACGGGAGCTTCATCTGTTTCCTGTCCGGCTCCCACTACATCAACAGTCGTCACTTTCTTAGGTGTCGCAGTATTCGGAACTTCCACTTGTTCAGCGGTCGTGTCCTTCAACTTCTCGCGTGCTGAAGATGCAGCGTCAATTATAGTGCCGGATTGCCATGGTTGCCCTTGAGTCAGAGTCTCCTCAACAGCGGAGCCACCCGCTGTGCTGTTTCTTGCCGTGGAAGGCAGAGATTTAGGACTGCTTAAACGCGAAACCAACGAACCTCTTTGCGAAGGTACATCAGAAGGCACGTTGTCGCGGTAGCTAGATGCATATAATAGTGCGTCTTTGTTTTTGTTCCCGCCTCCAGAAGAGCCAGAACTAAGTCCAGGTCCTGGATGATGATCTTCAATGGTCTTATTAGATTCCTTCTTGCTGCTTGTCGTGTCTTCGGTCATCTCGGTTGGAGACCCGCTCTGCTCCTGTGCACCAGCAATTTGCTTCTCTGGCAACGGCGTGGTGCTATCTGCAACTTCCTTTTTGATATCGACGATGGTATTTGACTCGTCTCGTCTGTCGCAGTTGCCTTTTCTTGGTTCTGCGGCACCTCCCTTAATATTTG